CAGAGCACTTCAGATTAGAGAAGACTGAGAAGCTTCTAAAATATAAATACACTTAGAACAAGCTTCAGACAGATGTCAAAGAGTATATTAAGACTTATAATATCTATCAAAGAATAAAGATTCTGCAGTATAAGTAATATGATGAGTTAGCATCACTGCCTGTTTCAAAGAGCTCATGATAGAATCTATTAATGAATTTCATAGTTGATCTGCTGAAGTTAACAAGAGTCAAAGAATATGACTTGATTTTAATCATTATTAACTGCTTCATGAAGATGATCAGATATATCTCTACTTATAAAAAGATTAAAGTCTCTGAATTGACTGACCTATTTTTAAATATTATTATTTATAATCACAGTGCTCTGAAATTATTGATAACAGATTAAGAATCTCTCTTCATCAGTAAATACTGATCAGCTTTTTACTATTATCTTATAATAAGACATCTTCTCAGTATTACATTTCATTTGCAGATCAATGATCAGACTGAATATCAGAATCAGATACTAGAACAGCATCTTCAAGTGTTCTATTTATATTATCAGAATGATTAACTCAAACATCTTCTGACTGCTGAATTCATATATAATAATACAAAGAATGTAATCTTAAAGATATCTTCTTTCTATACTTATTATAAATATAATTCTTCATTACTCAGTGATGTTGTGAACAATATTTCAAAGAAAGAGATAGATAGTCAGAATATTGAACAGATACAGAGAACAGAGTATCTCTCAGTGTCAGAAGTAAAAGTAAGATTGAAACTTTTGAATAAAATTCATGAGAAGATGATGAAAAGCATTCACTGTGCTCAGAAGTGACAGATAAAATACTATAATTAAAAACATCTTTTAATGAAGTTCTTAATAGAGAATTAAGTACTACTTTCAGCAAAGAATATCAAGATAATAAGATTATATAAGAAGCTCAGTGAGTGATGACTAGAATCTTTTCTAATAATAAGAGTGATAAGTAAGCAGATATATGAGTTAAAATTACTTACAGAATTGAAATCAATTCATTCTATTTTTCATATTTTCTATTTAAAGCTCTATAAGCAATACTCTGAGACAGAGTCATCTTAGCTGAATGACATTGAGATTGAGAGTGATACTGAATATCTTGTAAAGAAAATATTGAATAAGTAAACATATTACAGCAAGCTTCAATATCTTGTTAAATGAGAAGATTATTCATTATCAGAGAATTCATGAAAACTGCTTAAGTATTTGAAAAATGCTGAGAAAGAGATTGTAATCTATGAGATAATTAGTAGAGACTGCTCTGTTATATATCAGAGACATTGAGTAAGAAATGCTGCTTAAAACTTCTCATTTTTCTTAAAGAGTTTTTTAAAGATGATTTTACAGTGATGAGCTGATATCTTGTAGACTCTGTAGCACTCTTCTTCTATTTTCTCTCAAAGAGTTTTTAGAAGTTTAATGAGACTACACAAGTGTAAAATTCCTGAAGCAGTTAATAAGAAAAGAAAGGAATATTTGAAATTAATAAAAAGGTTAATATTAATCAATTCACAGACTGCTGCTAATCTAATAAGGCTGCAGCTCACTGAAAAAGTAAAAAGAGAGAATCTCAGAGTCTACTTATTAATAATTATACTCTTATCAAACTCATTCTTCACTGTTGAAGTCTTCAGTATTAGTATCTTTATCTGTTAAGAAGTTAGTACTGCAGTGCTGCAGAGAAGCATGCTATAGAAGAGTATAAGAAATATATGAAATATTAATTTATTAACTTACAAAGCATCTTAGTTATCTGTTTTAATTGAAGTGAGATTCTCTTTAATCAGTAATTAATCTTCACAGTGCTTTCAGTGATGATGTCAGCTAATCTCTTCTTAAGATCAGTCATTCTGAGGTGTTTTTTTATCTTGAAAATTCATACTTTTATCTTCTTTTACAGATAAGTAAGAGAGATCTTCTTAGTCTTGATAAAATTCATCAACACTTAAAGCTCTGAGACTCTCACTCTGTACTGCTTGAGTATCTAGACTTCTTATCAGAACTGATACAACATCTTTCTGTGAGATAATACTTACAGAGAGACAGAAGTTATTATTACAGATACAATAAAAATAACAGAAGTGAGAGAAGAGATAGATGTATAAAATTCTTCTCTTCTTCAGCTACTTGATACAGTGCAGACAAGTAGCAGTGCTGATCAGAGACTGCACTGAAGCCTTCTCACAGAGAGAAGATGAAGAAACTGTGAGATTCTGCAGACTCAACTCAGCAGTGTTCTGAGCAGGGCTCAGACATGTCATAAGAGAGAAACTACAGATTGAGCTTCTCAGAGTCACTGTTTCTGAAATCAAGCTCTCTTCAAGTTTCTCTCTGAATGATCACACAGAGTCATATGTCACTGTATTGACTGAGAGAGAAAGCAGTGTTGCAACAGCAGTGAGAAGGGCAGAGAATGAACTGAATGCAGACACACTGACCAGCAGAATCATCATGACTGTAAGAGAAGCAGAAGAAGATGTGACAATGAGAGTAAAGCTTCTGCAGCTCATTGACATCATCTTCACCTTTAACCTGGCTTTCTTTGCAGTCATGAAGGCTGCAGCTGCATCACAAAGACATTTACTCATTAGAAAACATCAGAATAAGCTCTCTATTGTTCTTCAAGAATGATACTCTCATGCACTCACTGTTGTAATTGAGAGAGAGAAGAAGAAAAATATTTCACAGAGAGAAGAAAATCTTTTGAAAAATCCTGTCACTACTGTTAGCTTTGTCTCTAAAACACATCACTTTTGCAGAGAATTTCATATATAGAACAGTATATAATAAAAGATCTGTAAGTCACTTATTAACTACATTTTTCATATTTTAAATTGATATATAAGAAACTCACTTATCATATGTTTGATTTAAATGATGATGAAAAAAGAAAGATCTACACAGTCAGCAGAAAAACTCATCTATTTCTTTATATCACACACAGCACACACACTGTTAATCAGTTAGTAATCATTGCTATATAATAAAGATAATTTCTAATTCAGTAATCTTGAGAGTATAGAGACTATGCTCTTAAAGAGAAGAGTATTATCATGCTTCTAGTCATATCAAGACTCTGCTGCAGTTTCACACAGCTCATCACTTTCATATGAATAATTTCATTCATTCTGCAGATCATCTGAACCAGTTAGCAATCACTCTATAACATTATTCAGATATATCATAGAAAGATTCAATTGATAAATATAAGAATCTCACTTCTATATAAGATCAGCAGATTACTTTTTCTTAATAGTAAGACATCACTGAGATATCACTCTGACTATTCTCACTTATGAAATAAGAGAAGATATTCACTCATTATCTATATAGAATAGCTAGATACTAGCTTCTTATAAAAGAAGTCAGTGATTTGTCTTTTTCTTCTACTGAAATATATATGAGAGTTACTGTGTGTCTTATACAATCTTCTTAGTATACTAAGTATCACATCTGTGATATTCTCACAATAATCTTATAGCCTACAAGCTCACTATTCAAGCAAGATAGTCAAGCTCACTTATACAGCTTCTCAAACAACTACTTCTACATGACACTGCTGACTAGTCACTGCTTCAGTTCTGTCATATTACAATCACACTAAGCTGCAAACATCTGAATAATCACCTGTGAGTACTTATTCTTACAAATATTCTAATAATTTCATTAATAGAGATAAGAATAAAGAGAAAGTTTAACTTAAGTTAAAATATTTATCACTATCACTGAGAACAATTATAAGAAAAAATAATCAAGAAACTTATAATTATAAAATATAAAATTATTAGATAGTTTAATATCTCTGATTATAATATATCAGAGAAGTGTAGTTTTTATAAAAAAATAAAGAATAAACTTATATAAGAATGTATTTAGTTATTTCATAAGTATTATTAATAATTATTATTAAATTCTAATTATATAAGTAATTACTGAATAAACTGAATAAGACTGATTTTAATCTTCAGTCTTAGTCTTATTCTAATTTTGAAAGAATAATCATTTTTCACAGTTTATTCTGAGAAATTACTCTTATTTCACTGTTCTTGAATTAAATCTGGTCATTTTTCACATCATTTCTCTCAGAAATGATTCATTTTCAGATTTTTTTAAGACTTAATTCTGATGAAACTCACATCAAGAAATGTATAGAATCAGATTAAATGAGATTAAATGTGAAATTCATGGTCCCACCGGCCAGTCTAGGTGGTAAATTGGCAGGCAGATTGATATGTAGATTGACATGCAGATTTCATGTTAAATAGCAGTGAAGACAAGGAATAATCAAGAGCTGAATATTCAGTATAAAATACAGTGTGAATTTCTGCCAAGATTTGTGGCGCTGTCTAGCTGTCTTTTTACCGGCGCAATTCTTTTGATAGCGCCCTTCGTACGGAGTACTGTGTATTGGGATCAACGAATTTGGTAATGAGACTATGTAGTGGTCTCAGAGCGATCTCGGATTGGAACAACCTTTCGCCGGGCTTCGCTGCATATATGTATCAATTCTTAGATGATTCTTATGTGTGGTGTTTCCTACGTGTTCAATTTGATGATATTCTTTTGTGTGTGTGTGTATATAGCTATTCTTTGTGTGGTTATTCTCGATGATGCTTCTTTGATATTCTTATTATTGTGGTTCCGCTGGCTATTGTTCTCGTGCCGCAAGAAGCGCACACCCCCAGCCCCATTACAATATTTGATTGAAAAAGACGTATATTGGATGATATTGAATGATTCTAGAGAAATGTGGATATTTTGATTTTTTTGTGGTGTTTTACTACTAATTTTCAGGGGACTGGGAAAATTCTGTTTTCGCAAGCAATACGTCCACCACAATAACCCATCTGTGGAGTAAAGTTACGCTGCAAGACGGAGAGTAACGCTGTAACTTTCCCAACAAGCGGTAACTACAGGAAATCCAGCGCGCTAAAAATAGGTCGGCTTGTAGCAGCAGTTACTAGGCACCGATGCGATGACCATCAGAAAATATTTTCTGGATGAACTTTATTGAATTCCATTCCGGAGCGAAAGACTATGATAAGATCCGTTTATGCTTTGTTGTTCGCCCATCCCACCACTTCTGCATTTACATGTGTATCCTGTATCAGTGGATCATCGTCGGCGGGGTTTGTCTGCAGCAATACTATATCGAAGAGTTTCATTATCGGGTTTACCGGACGGGTTTAAGTGGAGTGAATTTAAAGCCTTGGCCTGCCCAGGGGCGGCCCATGTCCGCTGGGCCTTCCGAGGACCCATCCATGGAACCTGGCTGAGCAGCGATCTGCTCTCACTCGTCTGTTTCATCCCTCTTGGGTATGGATAATGGCGGTCGAGGTCCCTCCGCAGGTGTATATTTGTGTTTTTCTTTTTCTCTACACGGTAACTAGGCAAGTGAAGCTGGGCTGGTTCCTGGCTGCAAAGCGGGTGTAGCCACCAACTCTCTGGCCAAATGAGAAATACGAGCTTGCGGGCTTTAAGGGAACATCGGATAGTGTGGAGCTTGTTCAAGCGAAAGTCGTGCACGAACTTTCACTAAAAAAGAAAAAGAAAAATCCGAAATCTCGTAGCAAACCAACCCCTCTTTCCAGAGAAACGTCGACAGCGCAACAATCAACACGAATCGATATGAATTGGCGCCTCAACAGCTCCCCGACGACCATCCTGCCGGAAGTAAGTGGTTGGTTCAGGGCATCGGGTAACGTGACTGTCCCGCGCACTCAGCCTCATTGTAATGTCAAACGTACGTCGAACTTCAACTCCTCCAACTCCGGCTTCATTTCGAACAGCATCTTGATTTCCAGCTTCTCTCTTTTCGCGCCGGGGGAACTGCGTAGTTCCTCATTTCTTTCTTGCTTTCTTGCTTTTTTCTTCTGTTTTTCTCCTGCTCGTTCTTGTTCTTTCCCCCTCCACCTTCCCCGCGGTCATCCCTCAATGATCGGCAGCATTCCTAGGCCAACCCTTTCATTCTTACCTGTCTCCTTTGGCATTTAGGCATGCCGCCCGTCAGCGCCCTCACCTTCTGAGTTATATTTAGATCTTCTGTTTTGACCGCTGCCGCCGTGCCCATTCTGCCTCTCCCCCCGCCCCCCTAAACCGCCCACTCGCTTGTACCCAGCCAACCCCCGGTTGCTCCGATGCTGCACTCCTCGGGGTGAAACAACTCCCCGTCCAAATCCCCCTCCCCCTTTTCCTCCAAGAGGCGCGGAAACACCACTTAAACCTATTTCCACTCACCCGACTGCCTCCTTAGTGACCTTAATGTCCGCCCAGACTCATGCAATTCTTTCATAAAAATAGATCGCAGGCGTCACTAGTTGGTTCTGTCGACAACTGGTCTAATCACCCGCAGCATCAGCAACAGCAGCAACAGCAGCAACAGCATTACCACCACAACCAAAATCACCACCAACCCCAACAAGCCCCTCCCCAGGCCGCGGGCGAATCACTCGACTACAACATTGAGGCTCAATACCAGCGCTCTTCTTATGCTAATAACGAGACATACGACCAAGGCTACGCTCATGCTCACCCTACCCACGCGGTTCAGCATCCTTACAGCCATCAGAATCAGCAACCGACCGATCCTAATCTCATCCCTGGACTGGCTGTCACTTCCTTTTCACCTGCTTCTCCTCAGCCTGCTCCAAATTACTCCAGACGACCGACTCTGAATCTTGTCCCGCCCTCTGCAAGTACCTTCAGTTCCTCTCATACCTCTGCAAACCCCGAAGTGAGCTCGTCCGAGTTGTCGTGGACCCTCCATAGCCCTCAGACTTCTCCTCCATTGGAATCGCTCCCAAAGAAGTCAAGAAGGAGTATTTTCGGATTTTCTTCATCCAAGGACTCTACGACGCCTGCACCCAAAGTGTTGGGTCGGAACCTCTCCGTGCGAAAGAAAGATATAGTGCAGACAGTTCCGCCAAAAAAGACACCAGGCGGGAAGTCTATTGGTCCAACTCCGGAGTCTACTGAAGAACAAGCTGTAGAATCCCCTATGCCGCTCTCGAAACGGGCTCCACAATCCCACCACCACCAGCAGCAGCATCCCTCCTACCCTTCCAAAAACGCCAATCGATCATCTTCACATCTTGAAGCTCAGACATACGACCAGCGCCCTGAGAATCGTTCTATACAGCGTGTGAATACTGATCCACTATCAAGCCAAGAATCCTTCTACGCGCACCGAGAGTCTAGCGACTCGTTCCAGGCGAAACAATTCTCAGAAGTGCAGCAACCCGCACCCCTCAACCCTCAGTTCCAGATTAGCTACCCCACACGACGTGACTCGGTTGCCCACTTTACAGAGCCAACTTCCGACCCACCCCCGTATTCTTCCCAGCCAGAAGCCCTTCTTACTGCTCGGCCACCCTCGCAGCAGTCCGGAGGCCCGCCGCCATCCTCTCTCAACCAATATCAATCTGCTGACCAAGGCCACCAGAAGCCAATTTTCCGACAGACCCTCCAGCCCTCTGCAGGACCTGCGCAGATTCAGGGCAACATGCCACCAGAGAGACAAACGGGACTGCGACAGCAGGTAGACTCTGCGCCTCAGCATGGCGGGCAAGGTCGAGAAGGAATGGCTGGTGGCCAACCCCAATATCCACCAAATCTTGCCCAGGGCGGGAGTTTCAAAGGAAACCATTCCCAGCAGAGCCTAGGAGACCAGGATCGACAAACACCACCGCCAACTAATAATAATAATAATAGTAGTAGTAATAAAGGCCGCGAAGACCTTTCAGAAGCCGAAGTCCGTGCATTAGTGCAAAAACACGAGGAACTCCGTACGTGACCTTTGCGAGAGGCTCTATCTTCACAATATTATCTAAACCCCCGTCTACTTCAATCTCTTGGCTCTACTGACCATTTCCCTACAGAAGCCAAATATCTTAAAGTTAAAAAGTACTATTTCGAGAAGGATGCTCAGGTTCAACTACTCCAGAATACCGTGGCTCATCAGCGAATGGCTACATCTCGTACAGTCCTTGACGATAGTGAATATCTGACACGGTTTTCCCGCCTGGATGGCGCGATTAACAATCTTGCTTTCAATATTCGCAAGGAGTGGAGGAGCATTCCGGTTTGGTTACAAGGCTTCGTTAATGATGATGCGATTGCCGTCGGGACTAAGGAAATGACGGCTGTCGGACGAGCATGTCTCAGTCGATGGCTTGTCGATGAGATATTTGACCGATATTTCCATCCTGGTCTCGAGCCGAATCTTAGTTGCAATTTGAAAATGATTGAGCGCAATGTGCGGTGTGGTGCCAAGATAGCCTCAGAGGAGGATAGAGAGAACCACCTTTCCAAATTGTCTGCTTGGCGCAGGACCACGCTGGATGGATTGGGCGAGGTGTTGCAGAGCCGAGCCTCGGAGGAGAATCGATCGCAGTTAATTAAAGGCCTTGTCGAGAAGCTCACGGCGGCTTTGGAAATGCACTTAAAAGCCCCACCGCCCCCAGGACTCGAAAATGGTGTTTCCATGATTGTCGAGCTTGCCGTTGGCATCTCTTCAAATGTCCCCTTTGAATCGAGAGAGATTGCTATCGAGTACTTCCTCCCCGGATCTCCGATATCAGATACTTACATGAAATTAGAGCCATCGCTGCCTCCACTCGTCAGCTCCTCAGAACCCCAGTCTGCCGTCGATCAAGGCTCAGCGACGAAAACTATGAAGCCCGGCCTTCCAACGGAGGGTTCTTCCATGCTGGAGCTGGATAGGGAGAGCGGGAAAGATTCCTCATCTGCCTCCACCACCCACTCTATCCAAGCTCCCGTGCCTTCCGCACAGCCCAAGGAGTCGAGGAAGAAATCGGTGTTTGGGTCGCTGATTAGCAAAAAGCCGCATTCCGGCGGCCCTGGTGGCGCAAGCCAGGGTCAAGCTGAACAGCAAGCCCGACCCGCCTCTGCTCTTACGCGGGAGAGGGAACGGGAGGAAGCGGAGTTTAGAGAGGGCGAGTGTGGAGCCCCCAACACCAGCAATAATCACATTAACCGCATCAGGTTTGCGGCATTTGTTGCCGTGGAGGTGAGGAGTAAGGGAGCAGGCAATGTGATTGTTCATGCACCAGTCTATGGAGTAATGTGATTGCCTTGTCCTTGTTTTGATGGATTTCGTTTGAACCCCGCTTCTCGTTCGCCTTCTGGGCTGTTGTGATTTGATTTTTGTTTGGTTTCATTCTTCTATACCTGGGGGCGGATATCGGAGATTCTTGTTATCTCTTCTCCCTTTTTACCTTTCTTTTGGTTTTTAAATTGGCAAATATATACTCTTGCTTTTTCTTGTTATTTTGCCAATGCGAAAAATACTGGAAAGTATATGATGATGAACGCAACCTCTTGTTTCTTTCCCCCACTAGTTTCCCGTTTAGCCCCCTCCCTATTTTTCTCCCAGCGATCCTTTTTCTTAGTGAACTCAACCACTGGATCTTGGGGACCTTGACGAACCATGTCTCTTTTAGCGTCGTTCGCTCGTTGCATTCATCCCTTCCCCCATTTTCCCTTGTGTGTGAAGTAGGAGTTGAAATCTTAGGATGGGTGAGATGGGATGGGATGGCTTCATGAGCCACATTATTTATTTTCCTCTATATTCGATTCTTCCCACTCATGATGATTTTTACTTTTCAACAACGAATCGTGAGGTCTCATTGTTTTTGACGGATAAGCCCGCTTTTTGAGATTTTCGCGATCTTTTTTTTTTTTTTTTTTTTTTTCCTTTTAGACTTGGTTGTGGAGGAGATGATTTGACAGGGATCCCGAAAATGTACAGCCAATGTTGGCCTTTTTTGGTTTCTTTTTTAGAATTATACTGTCAACCCGAGCGAGAAATTTGTTTTGAAAAGTAGGAAAAAGTGTAGATAGTAGGATATACGTGCGCAGAATATCTACATTTCCACGAGCGCCCGAAATAATTCCCATTTTGGGTAAGCGACGTCTTGGCACACCGCAACATCCACTTACATAATCTCCAAGCGAACCCACGCCAAGCCTTGACCCGCGCTAGTCTGTTTCCAGCTAGCCGAGTATTTTCGATCCCACAACGGCAAACATTCTCAACGACGAGCAGAACATCACCTAACCTCCTGTCCGTCAACCAACCCTCGACTACACTCTCCGACAACCCCTCCCCTTTTCAAGCCAAGCGACGATATACCCGCCTCGTGCGCCGCATATATCGCCCATCATGTGTACGTATTGGCTCCCCCGTTGCTGCGCACTTTTTCCTCCACGAAAAGTTAAAGAGGAAGTCGCTCGCTGACGAAAAGGGCTATTGAAACAGCGCTCGTGTCCGGCGAGAAGACGAACTTCCAGTTCATCCTTCGTCTTCTTAACACCAACGTCGATGGCAAGCAGAAGATCATGTACGCCTTGACAAAGATCAAGGGTGTTGGCCGTCGCTATTCCAACCTGGTTTGCAAGAAGGCGGATGTTGATTTGACTAAGCGGTGGGTTTTTGCTTGTTCTTTTCTTTTTTTGCTTCTCTTATTCCACTTCATTTTCCTATTGGGGCCGTTCTTGGAACACCTTTTTTGGACGGAACAATGAGGATCGGGAAGTCGGTTTGGGCTTGGATTGGGATTGGGATTGGGTACTTGGATTCGAAAAAATTTGACGTGGGAGTGGATTGGATTGGGATCAGGAAAATGAAAGATGGCAATTGGAGGCCACGAATGTCGATGTTACAAGACGACCATCCGAAGAGTCGCTCCCAGTTTGCTCCATGAGAGATTCATTCCTCTTTTGGAGCCATCCACCCATCCATCTCAATGTCACCAAAGAAGCCTTTCCCGAAGCCCGAAGAGCCACATCTCCTCCTCCCCTTTGAAAGTCAAGCCGTTCTATGTGGGTAATAAACTAACATGAAAACTGCCCCACAACAGCGCCGGAGAAATCACCTCCGAAGAACTCGAGCGCATCGTCACCATCATCCAGAACCCAACCCAATACAAAATCCCCACCTGGTTCCTCAACAGACAGCGCGACATCACCGACGGCAAGGACTCTCAGGTCCTCGCTAACCAGATGGAGTCCAAGCTGCGTGAGGATCTCGAGCGCCTGAAGAAGATCCGCGCCCACCGTGGTCTGCGTCACTACTGGGGTCTCAGAGTGCGTGGTCAGCACACCAAGACCACTGGCCGGAGAGGGCGGACTGTTGGTGTCAGCAAGAAAAAGGGTTAAACGGGTGTTTTTTTATGTTTTTCTCGTTTTTCTTGCCTGTTATTTTTTTCTTTCTCTTTTGTTGGTTCGGTTTTGGGGGGATTGTGTGAGGAGAGGAGGTGAGGGATGTTTGTAAGGGACTGGTCAGTTACAATGCTTTCTACGGCATGTACTCCTTGTGTCTTTTATGCGGCTTATTTGCTTGCTAGGCACTTATGGGAATGAAATGAGGGTGTTTTTTTTAATTATGAATGGAAGGACAAAAAAATGAACTCCAAAATGATCCATCAAGAGATCTTGTATGAATCTAATCCATCTGTCAGTTTCCTCACCTCACTATGAGTGAGCCTGTTTTGCGGAAGGATGATGCGATGCATGTGTAGGGGGTGGGACAATTGCAATAGAGAGAGCCAATGTCCAGGCAGTCACAGCGAGTTTGGGCTAGTACTACTGTGCCTGATCTGTTTGTCAGCTGCTATATCCTTGATAAGAGCCAGGCCATTTTAGATGCTCTCTCTCTCTTTCTCCCTCATCTCTGCCCTCAACCGTGAAGTTCAATGTAACAATGAATATTATAATTGCCAAATCCACATGTATTAGGCACGCGCGTTCGAATATATATCTAAGGCGTCAAATGTATCTTTGTGACATCCCTTACAGCTGGCTCTAATCTACACCATCAATTTAAATCAATAAAGTTCTACTCTCCCCTAAGAAACAGATGCAGCCGCCCCGAGACGGGAAAGAAGATACACATTCATAATGTATATGTATTGTGTTATTTCTTCTAGTTATATTATACCTAAGTAGCCAGGCGACCGCATTGCCGCTTTCATGTGGGAATGGCTGACTAGAACTGAGGAAAAAACAATGTCATGAAATGAGTGAAATAGAAAAGAGATAGCGCTGCGTGATAAGAAGAATGAAATTGGCAATCTTCTGCAACTCAAAATGCAAATACTAATATAAACCGCATAATTAAAACCCCTTTAAAATAAAAAGAGAACAACGATAAGACACTACTAGAAGTGGAGTTGTGGACAGCTTGGAAAGTATCAAAATAAAATATATCCCGTAAAAAAAAGGCCTTGCATGCATCACAGGCAGTTCGCCCTTTTTCAGCTCTAGAATCTATAGTTTATCGTTATGAAAAACGTATAGAATAGACAGTCTAGGATGACGATTTAGCCGACCATTCACCCTTCAGCCAGCGGTTCATGAATTCCAAGCTCGCCTCGGGTTGGTCGAGCGGGACCATATGTCCGCCTCCGTACAGGCGCATGAAGGTGAAGTTACCGGCGGACTTCACTTGGCCGATAACCTTACCCTTGCTCTTGTTGTCCACAATAGTCAAGTTCTTCATTTCAGCCGCGGCAAATTTGGCATGACCGGGATACTCGAGAGCCTCTGCCCAGGCCTTATTGCCCAGCCAATTGCAAATGAAATCGGCATCACCGGCATAAAGGAGGACGGGCATCTCAGCGATGAGTCCTGGAACGAGACGGTGGAATGGTTTCATCCAGTCGCCACGGAAGAGGAAGTTGCGGTTAATATCCATGTTGCAGGAATCGTAGGTGCTCACTTCGGCGCCAAGAGCCTTCATCACCTCAGCCTGGTTCAAGTATTTGCTAATATCTCCCAGTTGAGTGTAGCAGAGGTTACCGCCTTCGCAATCGGTCCGTACATCGTAGGGGTTCCGACCGGTGCGCTGGTAAGGGCCGATGATTGCGTTGTTGCAGTAGATAGAAGCGGGAACACAAGTCCATGCGCTCTCGCTGCTGTAGCAAGCTTCGATCATGGAAAGGCAACGCGGCAGAGCATTATCCATGGATTGGCAGCTAGCTTGATCCAACACCGCCGGGTATCCACCTTCACCACAAGCCATGGGTCGATAGAGTGGGTATTGCGTGAGAGGATCGGTCAATCCGTTTCCAATCAGAATGGACTTGAGGTTGATATTGCGTTCCTTATGAGCCATAATTTCGGAAGCAAAGACTGGAATATAATGTCCGGCATAAGATTCACCAGCGATATGGAAGTCCTGCTTCGCATATTCCGGGAATTGCTCGAAGAATAGCGTAAGAAGGGCATAGACATCCTTGCCAGCAGCATTTGTATCGCTAACGGAGCCACCACTATAGGAGTAGCCCACGTTGACGGGCTGATCGAGGAAAATAACGGACGCGTTCGCGTTCCATGAGTACGGGTTGTAGTTAACCTTTAGATCTTCTGTAATGGACGACGGACCCAGTTCAAGAAAGAGACCTGTGAGTGAACTGCAGCCAGGACCTGTTCAGCGGGATCATGTGGGTTAGTTCGTTTGCTTGTTTTCAATTTCGTTTGTAATGATTGTAAAGTAAGTGCGTAGGAAAACTCACCGCCGTTGAGCCAAAGAACGACCGGGTCGTTCTCAGGATCGTTGCGAGATTCGAAAAACCCTGTTCGTTGGTTAACCAATAGTTACTGAAGGGGTTGTGCCTTCTTCTTTCAGATGGGAGGAGGTAGTTTGGCTGCCCTACAGTAGAAAAGATGTTTATCATTCTCGTTATCATCGAGATATCCACTGTACTGCCTGACAGTATCAACACCAAGCGATTTCGGGTCAACAGCCTTGACTCTCAAGTCATAAGCTTCAAGTTTTCCGCCGACTTTGCGATGCTTCTCACCATCGTCGCCTTCCACCCAGACGGCCTGGATTTCAGCACCGCGGACGATGTGGTTCCATTCGGAATCCGGGCGACGGTTAAATTTCTTGGGTGGAGGGGTATGAGTAATGGTATCCATGATATTTGGGACTTTGTCGATTACATCATTCCAGAGGTTTGTGGCCTGTCCGCGTAGGTGGTCAAAGGTGTCGGCGATCGTTTGGAGTGGTGGTTCAGCGACATCGGGGTTGTCTACTGGTGCCTGGAGGACCTGTTGCTGCGGCCCGGCGGCGATTGCACCTCCAACGAGGAGTGCAAGGGCGAGAGACTTCATAGCCACCAGGTACAGACCGACTTTCAGGGAATCGAGAATTGTTATAATCTATGATCCGTACGATGTTCGATGTTAAACGCGAGCCGGGAAGCGAGAGTAGGAACGAATGGGTTGTATATATACATACCTATAAAAAGGTTATTCGGACAATGGAGCTGTTTTAGATCTGAAGTGTAGATGAAACAGGATGGAGCTCGGGCCGACGGAGGAGTGAATGGATGAAGTTGATATGGGAGAGAAAAGCAGAGTTGTAGATGGTTGGGGGAAGGATGACGATGAAGCGGCTGGGGACTCATTGCGTCACGAGACTTGGCGCCTGGCGGCTATCGGCTCAGGGACGCCGATATATATAACTAACTTATCGAGGCACAATTAGCGAGATACGATTAGTGTACCAACTACGCTGTTAGCTCAGAAGCTACCACCAATAATTTCTCATACTAAATTCTATGCAATCTGATTTGTTGATACAGATTTTCTGCTCTATTCTGTTGTACCCAGCATATGTATACTTACTGTCAACTTTCCTGTTCATCATCATCAAATTTCCCTGTCATCTACTCAAGCTTGTGTCTGCAGTATAAAAGAAAGAGAGAAAGGAAGAATAAAGATAGAGTTTCAAGATTAAGATTTGTTTGTGCTTCTTATATCTAGTGGATGTCTTAATTAGGGTTAACTAGGTCAAATAGATTACATAAATTACACTAAAACACGCCAATGTAGCTGATCTCTCATATAATCCAGTAGTTTTCTTGTATTTAATACACTAATGTACACGATAAAAACCACGCTAATTGTGCGATCGCTCTCTTATGGTCCAAGGCGCCTGTATATTTAAAAGAAGAGGGTGAAATACACATGTAATTCTACCAGCATTTGAGTTGTGCAAATGACCCGTCTGCGGCTTCATGGATGGATGGTCGAACCAGTATGCAGTTTCCTACATGTTTATGTGCCTCAAACAGCTTCCAGGATGACATCATCCCTTGGAAGCGTATTGGGATCATCATATCGGACATTGCTCCAGAGTCTGCAGCGCCTACTTCTCAAGCCAATCATGAGAGGCATAACCAAAACAGTATTATAAACTTTGGCATTATTCTACCGTTGGAACTGCCCTGTAGGGAATTTGATGTTATATACCCGGTGGGGTCGCTCCGCATTTGTCCAGGAGCCAAGGTTGTATACACTAACAAGTTTTTGCGAACTGGGATAGAACTAAACTTGGGCTGTGGCCAGGCTGACATCTAGCACAAAGTGTTACCCAACCATGGCGATGGCATTATCTATGTTGCATTACAGGTTATGGAAGAGTCATGGTATGTGTCTTGCAACGGTTTCAATTATAATAAAAAAAACATGGACATCGTACCATTCTTTAGGAATGGGGTTGATAAAATTACCATGTAATGGAATATCCGCCGTCGATAGGATGATCTGCTGCAACTACTAGTCCCCAGTTAAGGAATTGACCAGACTCTGTGCGTAACGGAAAAGCCTGACGACCTTACCTGCCAGGCTCCAAAGCGGAAAACCACAGACCCCATCCATCATATGTCGCGAAGACCCCTCCCCTAAGTACTGTACATCCGGCGTGTGTGGATTTATTACTGATGGGGCTCTTCCGGGTCATCACTCGCAACCCACCGCCCTCCCCAAGGCCTATTTGTCCCCTCCCTGTACCCTGTGGATGGGTTATTCATGAAGACAGGACGTCTAATGGCGTATTTGCTGACTTTTCAATACTGTGCAGCCGAACCGGGGTGCCCCCCAGATAATTTTCAAAACACTTGTAAAACGAAATGAAATATCTGGGTGCCGTTGGACGAGGGAAACACCTATCCAGGGTGACAGCTCCTTCGTTATTGTCCTTGATTCCTCTTCCATTTTGCCTGCCACGGGATGAAAGACACGCGTGTTACGCAGAAGGCCATCATTATGTACTTACTTATTTCCCAATTCGGCTTTAAGATAGGACTCGGGTCGACGTCAAAATTTTCACGACCCTGAAACTGTTTTTTTGAGCCCAGCATGACATCGGGGAGGAGTGTCTCATTTTGGGCGATATCTCCTGTCGGTTCTATTGACCTGCATGTGGGAAGTTCCGTTTGATATGGCTGCCCATTCGATTTTAAAGAGGCAATAGCAAGGCCAATGCGCTATCACACTTGGAACACCGTTTGGATTAGAAGTCAGATGCTCCAGCACAATGACTGCATAGCTCTCCCAGTATTGCGTCCCTGTGATGGAAATATTCATTGTTATAAAATAATCCGTAATGATATTGAAGAGCAGTTCAGGTTCGCCAACATCTCGTCGGCAATCGACATTCTCCGTCTCTTGATTGAATCGGTAGGAATGGTTCGTCATCCAACGGAACGTTCGAGGATCTGGTGTAGTTGGCAAGGACTGCATGCGAAATAGGAGAAAATGGCCGTCCAATGACACCGAAATACCGCCTGGGAAGAAGGGTCCAGCAGTGCTGAGCAGAGCAGCTATATTTCAAGAAGACTCCTAGGATCCTCTTGAAGGTTCAAGACGAGAACGATGTGCCGGCAATCAGGAACAACCTCTGAGGACGATTCCTTACCAGTTTCTTGTTCTTTTTTGCTCAGGGGTCGGGTGAGCACATTTAAGCGTCAGAGAAGTTCTCTCCGCTGGAATGGGGGGGATTGTCAGTAAGGCGACTGACCACCGCTTTCTCCCGAATTGAAAAGGTATTTCCGAGAATAAAATAACAGTGAGTTCGCGATATCAATAATAGTATCACAAGGAACGAGGGTAGGGGGAGCCAAATTTAAGCATCGATTTGAAGCTGCCGACCCTAGGACGGATCACTTTTTCTCTCACGATCCACGGATGACAGAGATTGCATAGTCAGAGAGAGTCTAATAACCTTCCCCTTGAATCAAAGGATCTTCTGAATGCATCACTGGTCATCTGAGGTATGTCACTGAATAGTGCAAAAACACCATGAACTTGCAAATTGAGCTGCAAAATTGAAGGCTGTGATTTTGATTAGCTGCGCTGATTTACAGATGGTAGACCAAACGAGAGGCGCACAAAGATAGCCTGATTGGAATCTTAACTTCACTTACGCCGTGGTCATTAGTAACTTGGTTTGCGAGCATGGTGTTTCTTTTCTTCTTTTCTTCCTGTATGGAGTCAGTTCTTGACCACGAGGAGGAGGGGAACTAGGTAGGAGGCTAGCCGGCACGTGAAAGTTGGCACCGTCATGTTTGTTCTGTTTACAATTTTTCCTTCCCCCTCTATTCTTCCCCCCAAGTCAACCCATCCACGTATATATGTCTATATGTCAAGACATCACTCGATTTTATATGAAGTATTGGTTTTATTAACAAAATAAATACCGTTACCACCATCATATTTTTTGTTACAATCCTGTATTGAATCCCTATATAAGATTCCAGCATTCAAACAGCCCCATCCCGTTAAAACCAACATTCAGCTGCCAATTACCCCTCATTTCCTCTCAAAATGCCTGTAGGCATAAACCAACCCTCAAACCAGATTCGATTCACGAATGTCTCTATCGTCCGGTTGAGAAAAGGTTAGTAAAACCCCCCCTCGTCTACTGTTTTTCGTTACTTCAACCATCTCTCACACGCATAAATCTAACCACAACCATCTCCAGGCAAGAAACGCTTCGAGCTAGCTTGCTACAAAAACAAGCTCCTCGAATACCGCTCAGGGACTGAAACGGATTTGGATAATGTCCTTCAGATCCCCACAGTCTTCCTCTCAGTCTCCAAGGCCCAGACAGCCCCTGCTGCAGAGTTAACCAAGGCGTTCGGCACCAAGGCGTCTAACGATGAGATAATTCAGGAAATTCTGCGGAAGGGTGAGGTCCAGGTTGGTGAGCGTGAGAGGAGAGATGTCCTCGAGCGTATTGAGAAAGAGGTAATAGAGATCGTCAGTGCGAGGTTGGTTGATCCTGTGTCAAAGCGGGTTTATACCACTGGTATGATTTCGAAGGCGCTGGATCAGCTGAGTGCTGTGAGCGGGCAGCAAGGTGGCACCGCTGCTCCCAACAAGGGTAAAGCTTCTGAGACTGCTGATACGCCTGATGCTGCTCCTGGGGAACCAGACACTGCTGAGGAGGATGAGAAGACACCCAAAAAGCCGATGTGGACCGGCGTTGTGACGAAGAAATCTGCCAAGACTCAGGCCCTCGATGCCATGAGAGCGCTGATTGCCTGGCAGCCCATCCCCGTCATGCGGGCCCGTATGCGTCTGCGGATCACATGTCCCACGTCGATCCTTAAACAGGCTGTCAAATCTTCTCCTGGCTCTGGTGGTGGTGGCGGGAACCACGGGTCATCTCCTTCGAAAGGTGGGAAGAAGGGTAAAAAGGGCCACGCGCGTTCCGGTTCAAATGCTTATGTTGAGGATGATGATCATGACCAAGTGCACGAGACTGCCGCACCAAAGGCGTCCGGCACAGTCAAAGATCGCATCCTAAGCTATTTCGAGCAGGTCGAGGTACAAGATGTGCTAAATGCGGATGAATGGGAGGTTATTGGATTTGCAGAACCAGGGGCCTTTAAGGGTCTGAGTGAATTCGTGGGAGGAGAGACGAAGGGGAAGGGAAGGGTGGAAGTTTTGGATATGGCGGTTACTCACGAGGAGTGAAGGGCAAGTGAAGAGACTGATGTCTGTTTTCTTTGTTTTTGTTTTTGTTTTTGCATTGGTTTGCTATGCGTTGTTTAATTTGGCCGGTACTTGATATCCAGATGAAACTATGGATGGTCATAACTTTTTATATACCTCCGGGCTTTGGTTTTTTCGACATGTTGTTATTTATGAATTTCATACTGGTTGAGAATAATGAACCTTTCTCACCGGATTACTCCAACTCTAAATTTTGTTTTTCTACAAGAGCATATGCGAATTTACAAGTTTATCGTTTAAGTTCTTGCAAGTTTCACCCTTGTCACGGCCGATCAGCCAAGCCATAGACACCAAAGAAAGCCCTTATAAATATTTCGCGAATGGCAACAAACCCTATGTTAACTGTGATACTAGGTTATTCATTAAATTCAGACCCATTTCAACTCAGTTACCCCACTCGCTGCCTTCGAGTGTCATTCATAATTCGTTGAAGGGGAAAACCAACTGGACCAAAAAACCACCGGAGATAACCCAGTTGGTTTACAGACTGCGTTGGCTCCTGTTATAAAAACTTGGTGCAGAGAGAGCGTAAACAAGGGAGCCGCAATTAACTCAGGTATTTATTTAGCCATAATCTATGTTTCAGCATGACCTAATGTCTATAGATATGTCTCTATCAATCTATAAGTATAGACTCGCCATAAGTTTGAAACATTTTTGAACATCAAATCGGCCCGGTGTACTGCCAAATTGAATTTCATAACAGTTTCAAAACTTATGGCGAGGTACTGAATGTATCTAAACCTCTGTCTATGTACATGTTTAGCATAAATGCGCGGAGAACAAAGGGATAATAATAGGCCACACAAAGACAGAAAAACAAAGAAAACAAAAGAGGAATAACAAAATAAAGCAACCTACATACGAATGACAATTCAATGTAAGAGAATTCGCGCCACCACCCAGTGCTTATATGCTCATATCAAACAGAAACCCAAGCGCCCGGTAACCAATTATCTAAGCCAACAGACAAAGGAAAAGAATGAACCGATACATCGTAGCAGTGATATAATACCAACACAAAAATATCATTACTCATGATCTTAGCTTTATCGCGTGCAACGCACTCGATAGCTGCTCTGACGAGACGGGCCGGGACATGGACGGTGACACAGCTTCCTTTTCTGCCTCTGAGACCCGATTTGGTTGAACGGCGGAGATTGTTGCTGCATCCACCTGAGTGGGTAGCGTATCTTGCGTTTGCAATGTGAGGAGCGTAGAGGAGCTCATGTTTCCGTCGACTGGTTGTAGTATGGTAGCCCTGATATTAGGAGCGATAGGAGGACCACTATCGATATCCCTTCGTTCTGAGAAGGTGGTGGTAATTGGTGATGTGGAATACACAGTAGACGAGATAATTCCTGATGCGTCCTTCGACGGCATTAGCGGATGCCGCTGATGCACATCCCCTACTCCGCCATTAATGCACTGCACAACCCCTCGCTCGCTCTCTACGCTCCCTCTGCGGCTCGGTGGTGCCCTCGTCCCCATCGGAGAGAGCTCTGAGAGCATCGACCGCGGCCGATCCGCACTCAACATTGCGTTGGATATCGAATACGCCGCCAGCCGCTGGATATGGGCTTCATCGAATGGGCCACGGTATTTCGACCGCGGTACCTCGTGTGCCTTGTATAGCTCTATCTTCGGCTTGCCGTTCGCTCGATATTTGATCTTGCCCGGTTTGACGCCTATCGAAGGTCCGATTCCGCCGCCTCTGTGATCGCGGGGCTGGCTGGGCCAGTAACCGTTCTTCGGACGGCTTGATTTCTGGTTCTTGGAGTCTTTGGACGTTTGGGTGGGAGAGGAGCCAGGGAGAGACCCGGAATCGGAGCGGGAGAAGACGCGTTTGATCTTCTCGCGGAGGGGTTTTATTGACATATTGGCGAACGTCCGAAGATTCGACCTGCGAGGAATTGCGCCTTAATCGACGTCAGAGGGAAGCGGCGGAAACGGATTTGCTGGTGAAACGAGCGTGAAAGGTAGAGGAAACCTGTCGAGAAACTCTGACCATGGCTTCAAGACGTAAGATGTGCCTTTTTTGTCCTGCCGGGGAAGGGGAAGGGTTAAGAGGATCAGGTTTTTAAGGTATGGTCACGTCAGAACGAATTCAGGTCCAGATTTATTTTGGTCCCTTGGTTCCTTTTGATTTAGCCTTTCTCCAACACTCGCACCGCCTGCTGCGTCTAGAACGAAAATTTAATGCTATCGCCGGGTGGATCGGAACTGGGGAGAGAGGAGAATAGGTGTTTTTATACTGCTTCCATCAGGGTTTTGTGCATGATCTGCTGGCTATCCCTTTTCCGTACGCAAAAATCCACCACGGAATGGGAAATAATAATAATAATAATAACAGATCTCCACAAAAGACAGGAAGATGTGCTTATATAGTTAGTTCGCAAAATATGGGACCCTGTTAGCCCGCTCTAAGCCTCCAGGCTCGACTATTGGGTGGCCCAGGGGGGTGGATGAGACGGAAATAATCAGACCCCATTTTGTTGCTTGTGCAGTTACTGATTCCCGACGGGAAAAGACCCACAGATGTAACCACGTTCTTGATAAACACCTGTAGTTGAAATGAAGTGCCAGCACTGCCGAGTGGACGGAAGCGGAACAGCTGCGTCCACACCAACAAGGGTCGATCTAGGTCGGTTTTGGTTTGCAAATGTGTTTAGCCGTCTCCACCTAGCGACGAGAAAGTTTGGGGTGGATGTGCAGATGTCCGCCTACGAAAGCAGAGCCAATCGTTTATTTTGCTGCTAGCGGAAGAATGTTCCAAGCGCATTCGGTTGCACCCGATTTCGTACTTTCTTACATGCATCAGCGATGCCCATTGCATGGCGGCCAACATGGCTCATCACTGGTGCATCCGGTACAACCACAAGCCTTGGCAACCCGCAGGTGGTATGATTCTTCTGGGGAAACTCAGTTGGGGTTATCTGATTCATCCACCGATCTTGGGGGGCATGGTCTTCGATTGAATGGGTCGCGATCTAGATATACTCGGCGGAAGTTCAGGTCGTGTGTTTTATATCGTTTTTCATTTCACGCGCGGAATTATTATGTCTTTCATGACAACTGCGCCGTATTATTTACGCTGTATTTTACCACTCTGCCGGCAAAGACAACTCACACGTCTGATTGGCCCGCTTATTTCTGCGCTAAACTATTCCGACACTAGAAGCTATTCCTTTTCTGGAATGAGAGCAAACGCGTCTACCCCGGCTATTTCTTCTTGGCATCGAGATCTCGCTTACCTCACGTTGTTTCTGATATCAAGTTGTTGCGTTGTGTGAGAGATTGAGTTGTTCTCTATATGTAGTTATGTGTCTTTAGAGCTGCTTATGTTGTAGTAGATGATTAACAACTAATGCTAGCAATCACTATCCTAAAGCTTACCGCGCTCTTCGCCGCGGGAGGGAGCCGAGCAGTAGGTGGTTTCCGAGCTCACCCAATTGCTCAATGGCAAGTCAATCTATCAGCCTTGAGGAAATCTTTTTTATAGGATATACGCTAATGTTTAAACTGGGAGAAATAGCCTCAGCTATTTTGTTTAATAGTATATTTTGAGTTCTCTAAAAGCATGACCGGACTAGAACCATGGAAACCTCATACTCTGCTAAGACAGTGTGTGCTTCACAACAAAACATCAGCAATGGCTGCAAGCCCTTGTGGCGTCAACCAATTGTTGGACTTGCAAATATGACGTGCAATGACTTCATCACGTCTACTGCAACCCCAAACCCGTGCCCCATCCGTCAGCTCCATCCTCTCTTCTCTTCTCCTGAAAACAATTGAACGACTATTCCACGAGCCACTCTGTTTCTCTCTAAAAAAAATAATCATATGCAAAGTCATCATATATATCAAGCAGGGAGTTTTTTGGCCTTCTCTTTTCAACGATACCGCCCCTATATCTGCTACTCTCAGTGTCATCATCAGTTTCCTGTGTTGTGATCTCTTTCCGTTCCTTCCGCTGCAACATCGCCACATATTAAAGCAGTTATAATCATTATTTGATATCTGGGAGCAGTTTGGTGCATCTAATTTAAAAGTGTCAATTCCCCTATCCTTTAGCGATACAACATGCAAAGGGTGAAGTCGCTCGTGTAAGCTCCGTGCAATTTTCGTCTTTGTATAATGCGCGTGCTAACAAAAGGACAGCCATCGTGAGCCGAAGGAGTCCGGAAAGTCTGCATCTCACATTCAAAGAGCGCGCTCGAGAAGGGTATCGGATGCAGTCTTAGCCGGACAAGGGTCCCATTTGGCAGATCTACGATCAAGTGCGGCACCGGAAAAGGTTCAGCCCCGCTATCCTGATGAAGAGGCAGCCTTCGCAAGCCGCCCTTCATCTCCTGAGCCGCACCATCGTCGCATTGATTCTGGTGTCGCTGGACTGGAATCGTCACAGCAAGAAAGCAAGGCGCTTGTCAATGGCCCCCCAACTGGCGCTACTGCTGGAGGAACCAGCAGAGGTCAAAATGCTCCACTGCTCAAAGCCAGCATGAGAACCCAGGAGAGATCTACAAGGCCGGGTGGTGTTGCTACTGAGCAAAAGCAACAAATCGGTGCTCGAAAAGTAGGGGTCACCGATGAGATGAAAGCAGCAGCGTCTGCAGCTGCATCTGCCTACTTTCGCCGCATACCTAATGCGCCTGGAGAAACGATGAGGTGTAAGCATTATTGCATCTTTATATAAAGCCATTGCGATCATTTGAGTCCGCTCGTGTTTCTGTCCATTCCTACCTTGTCGCTAACATCCGAACTATAATGAAGCCGGGAAAGCTGTACATCGTTTGAATAAATCTCAAGAGCCTCCCATATCTGCCTGGGGGAAAGGTAGGGAGTGCCGCCCTCTTGCGCATGACCCTTTGGCTGGGGTGCCCTGGAGAGACTCCAGCACCCTTGGTTATTATGCGAACCCTGCTTCCCCGCCTTCCAGAGTACGAAAAAAAGAGCTACAGCGTCTTGCTCAACCTGAGCCCCGCGCTGCAGAGACGGGACAAACTGGGAAAGCTGAGTATGAGCCCGAAAGTTATTCTGGAATGATGAAAGAGCCAGGCAGGGAGGAACCCGAGAGACAGTATGAAAGGCCTTTAGGCATGGAAGCTCCCGTAGAGGAGAAGGCGTATGTGGTACCCAGTACTGAAGGCCAAGCGATGCCCCAGGGGGGAGGTCGTCGTCCGCATGAAACAGAGCTTGAGAGACCTACGGGTGAAGGGCTCGAGGTGCCTCTAGAGGCTCCCATGCAACCTACCGCTGTTGGACCTCCACAGTCTGCCCGAGTCCCCCAGCCTGAACATGAGTATGTAACTGCTGAGGAAATTGCCGCCCGCGAAGAAGCAACACGCCGGGCAGTTATAGAAGAGACAACGGCTAAAAGAAAGGCAGCAGAGGAAGTTGCTGCGAGGGAGGCTGTTACTCAAGAAGCTGCCACTAGAGAAAATATTGCCCGAGAGACAGCTCAGTATGAGGTCGCAGCCATGGAACAGGCGATCAGGGAGGCGTATGCTAGAGAGAATGCGGCGAGAGAATCCGCAGAGGCAGAATTAGCTGTGCTGGAGGAAGCAACCCGTCAAGCAGTAGCAAGGGAAGCGGCTGCTCGTGACGCTGCAGCTGCAACGATACAATCCACCGAAGCTGCGACCAGAGAAGCAGTTGCAAACGAAACACTTGCGAAACAAACAGTGACAGAAAGAATGTCAACCAAAGAGACGGTCACCAGAGAAGCTGTTGCCAGGGAGGCAGCAGCACGTGAGGCTGCTAATATGGAGGCTGCTATCAAACACGCAAACACACGAGAAGTAGCAGCTGAAGAGGTAGCTGTTAGAGAAGCTGCGTTACGGGAAGGTGGATTCGATGAAGCCATCGCTAGGGATGCTGCACTCAGAGAAGTCGCGGCAGAAGAAGCAGCTGCGATACGTGCTGAAGGAGGTGAAGGCTTTATGCAGCAGGAGCCCGGCCCCGGGGATACACTTGTTCGTGAACCTGGTCCTGGATCGGTTGCCGCAGGGGGAGCATTTGCCGAGGGGCCTCCTCCAGAACAGATGGCGACTGGTGGCGCAGCGCCATCTGCCATACCAGCTGATGCAGGTGCCCCTGCGGCCCCCGTGGCTGTACCAGTCAATCAATCTTCTTCTGCGGAACAAAATCTCGGCGCACAGGTCGAGGAACAACGGCAAGGAGTAGCGCCACCTGCGGGCAGGAGGCCTTCTAATGAAGAGAAGGAACTTGAGAAACAGCGAACAAAGGAGGAGAGGAAGCTTGAAAAGCAGAGAACAAAAGAAGAGAAGAAGCTTGAAAAACAAAGAACCAAGGAAGAGAAGGCTCTGCAGAAACAGAGGACCGAGCAGGAGCAGAAGCTTAAAAGGGAAGGATCTGAAGAAGAAAAATCCCGCCAGACGCAATTAAAAAAGGAACAAAAGGAGACGGAGAGGCAAAAAGTAAAAGCCCAGAAGCAGCTGAAGAAGTCACGGAAGAAGCAGGAAAGGGAAGCCAAGAGGCAAGGCCAGCAAGACAATTCACTGCTGTCCAAGATACGTCGGAGTATACGAGGCGAACGACCAGCTGATTATGGAGTGGAGCAAACTGTCCCCGACAGTGCACCTGCGACTCACACCTGATGCCCCCTAACCGTTGTCACCAGTTGTTATTGGATTTCTTTGATCATGAATTTTATAACATTTTTCCACTTCCCCCTTTTCTTTTCCTTTTTTTGTCCATTGTTTTGGTTTCCCCTTGGACCTACGGCCGGTCGTTTCAAAATCGAAGATCACTAAATAATTTTATTGAAAAAGCATGAATTACTTGGTCAACCGAGTGACGTAATGTGGAGAGGGCAACATTTGGAGCATGTGAACTGATGATAATATGTTAATATCCAAAGGTTACCGGGGTTAATGTATCTTTATTTCGGTTGGTTATAGCAAAAGGGTCTTGGTTGTGGGAGTTGAGCGGGTTTATCCTCATTATCTCCTCTTTTTCCTTGCAATACCCCCTCTATATATACATATATTGGGACGCTGTTCAAGTTAGGGGCTTTTTGTCGTTAGTCTCTCTTTATTTGTGGTTTAATTCCTTATCTTCATAATTACCTATCCTCGAATTTTTCCCCTGTTTTCAACATAACACGTTCTCTTTGCTCCCTTGGTGGAAAAGTGACTACCTTTTATGTTTAGTCTCCCAATTCTTCTATTTATTTTATTTTTACTTTTATTTCATTTTGAGTCCAGCTTTCTCTAAAGCAACCTCAGAAAAAGCGAGTCCATCAAGCAAAAAAAATTTGCGAGAAAATGTGGAAAGTGAATCGGATGCAGGACACCCCAAATACTGATGCTCATAGTGTTATTGAATATCATAATGTAATATTGTTATATATATGGTTTTCATATGTTCTAACACATGTTTCACGTAACTATTTGGGTAAATTGATAGCCCATCTAGTATCTTTGGAAGGAAGAAAGGCTCCCCTTTACATTACGCTCGGTATTAGGGCATTCTTGACCACGTGATCAGGATTGCCCTAGTTACTACCTAGGTACGAAAGCTGTCCACGGGTCTCTCTATATTCATCATGATTGATTCTTTTTAACCAGACCTAAACAACTTTTCTCTGCCCTGAGATTTATGGACCTAGGAACTAGTCGACACGACGTGAAGAAATAAGTATGCGAGCTATCAATTGGAGGCTGATGCAGCTTCCTAGATCCTTTCTACATGGCTACATTCCAGCATTCGCAAACCTAGGAATGTGGTCTTATCATCCTGTCGGAATGGGTGTCACGGATGAATATGTTGAAGACATATGAATCTTATGTGTATCAAGATCTGCTTGTTATATTATCCGTACACTATCTAATATATCTGTTTCATACAAAAGATAGAGCTATTTATAGTAAAATATATGTGCGAGCCAAGAGAGCTAGCATAAGCGAGTATTAGACGAGCATTGTAGTAAGCTGATGATGATGAGAAATATTGTAGTAATACGATGTTGGTGGCGTTCAGTAGTGTATAACCTCTTTTTCCTGACACATCCGCTCTTGTAAGCTTCTTGTTGGAGCAAAATGCCTCATAGTCACACGTTCATAAATGTATAGTAATGTAGCTTCAAGCCATCTACTCCGTACTGTACATGCCACCCTTCAACTCTCCTCGGAAATCCGCGTCATCTCTGAGCTATTCCTGGTGGTTGGACATGGTGGCTTTAGTTTCTATGAAATAATTTTCCCCTCCTACGCCCGCATCTGCAGTTCATTTAGTATGCAGGGTTTCAACTGGTAGGGATGGACAGGCTTCTCACACTGTGTCTGCAGGGATTTTGGGACATGGTGGGATTTTAATGCTGACTCTAGGAATATCAACCCCTCTCTTTTTGGGCTCTGTTGAATATTTGCCATTTGCATCCAAAATTCTTAACACAAATGCGGAAAATAAGCAATATCTGCGCGCTTTTCTTGCCTCGCTGATAGACTATAGATCAATATACATTCAGATTCTTTGTGACGCAATTGGCCAGTGGTGTTTCTGCCGCTGAAACGAAGCTGCAGTGATCGCGAGGTGAAGAATCTTGTCACTTTCCTTTCAGCCTTCGGCTAGAGAACCAATTCTTTGTCTCCGGATTTATCTTTTACGACCTGGCTTGAAAGTCAACGAGTTGACCATCCACTGGCCGAGTGGGGAGAGGTTCATGCGTCGTGGGTAAACAAAATCGAGAGCACTAATAGAGGAAGCTATCTGAAATTATTGAAAAGGCGCGTCCGAGAGTTCCTTTCTTCTCTTGGCCTCATGTCATTGTCACACCACACCATCGCTTCCTCGGCTTGACACGGATAACTACCTCATAGCTTTCATTGCCCCGCTAAGATAGTATATCCTAGCCCGCACCTACACATCAAGCTCCATGAGCACACCTAGTGTTATTGTTGGCAACCATGGTTCATCTCGCAGCAGTTCGAAGGGAATCAATTCGACCTATCCAGCGCATCGAAACTATTCCCCTTGAGGAGCTGGAGCCTCAGGAGCATGACTTTTATTCCAGCGTCTATGGCTCTCGATTCATAGCGGAGTTGGAGATGCCGGAGAAAGAGATGCCCAGGGAGGTGGCATATAGAATGATTAAGGACGAGTTGAGTCTGAATGGGAATCCAATCTTGAAGTGCGTTATGGTTTTTTCTGCTTTGCATTTACAATGCCCAGTATCTGTTTGGTTTCGTTAGGGTTGAGGAGCGTGACTACAAGGTTTTACTCTCTCTGTCTAGGGGCTTAAGTGCTGATTTCGGGAAGGTATAGCTTGGCAAGATTTGCTACTACCTACGCTGTGCATGGTAAGAGATCCAAGATATAGCTTATCCAAGCTATAAGGAGAACCCAGATGATCTTGGATATAGTTTCTGCTCGTTTGATCCGGATACTAATATTCTATCTCGAAATACAGGAGGAAGAGGCGGAGAAGCTCATGACTGAATCCTTCAGCAAAAAATTCATCGATTATCAGGAATATCCGCTGTCTGTAGATATCTAGAGCCGCTTCGTCAATATGATCGCTCGCATGTTCAATGCTCCTGGTGAGGGTTCTCAAGGCCACGCCATGGGGCCATCATGTATCGGTTCCTCTGAGGCTATAATGCTGGGTACTCTTGCAATGAAAAAGTGTTGGTAGAACAAGCATAAGGCAGAGGGAAAGGACTTCTCATGCCCAGGTCTGCTGGGAAAGGTGGCTTGATATTTTGAAGTTGAGAAATTCGTCTTTTACACGAGCGATAGATATGTCATTGGCCAGAAGAGGCTGTCAACCTTGTGCATGAGAATACCATTGACATTTGTGCAATTCTAGGAACTACTTATACAGGTCAGTATGAAGACGTACAAGCAATCAACGATTTGATTGTCCAGCGCGGCATCGATTGTCCCATTCATGTCGACGCTCCTAGTACTGGGTTTGTCGCCCCATTTGTCAACCAAACTTGGAATGGGGTTTCAGACTTGAGAAGGTTGTTTCAATAAATGTCTCCGGACCACAAGTATGGCCTTGTATGTGAAATCCCCTCTGCAAATAACACTACATGTCTACCAGTACTAACCAGTCCCCAGGTTTATCCAGGTATTGGATGGGTGGTCTGGCGCTCTCCAGAGTATCTCCTAAAGAGCGGTTCAACATCAATTACCTCGGTGCTGAACAAGCTAGCTTCACCCTAAATTTCTCCAAGGTGCTTCACAAGTCATCAGTCAAACGCGGCTACGTGCCATAATGGTCAACCTCACCCGCACGCGGATTATCTCGGCGCAGCGCTGAAGGAATTAGGTTTCATTTTCATGAGCGATGGTCGTGGACATGGGTTGCCTCTTGCGGCCTTCCGCCTGTCGCCCAAGCAGGGCTTTGAGTTTGATGAGTTATCGCTCGCACATCAGTTGCGGGAACGCGGCTGGGTAGTGAGAATCGTAGCGTTCCTCTCACCACTCAATTTTGCTAGGTAGGAGTGAAATTTATGGTGATCAACTGATCTACAGTCCTAGTTATGAGTCCAGGATCCTAGCCTGGAGATCTTTTCATAAAGCAACAGTGGTCTCGACTCTCGGCCTCAGGAATTCTGGAAGATGGAACTGCTCTGATTCCAAGTCTGCTGCTGAATGTTATGATTATCCTCGAACTCTTATTCTCCCTCAAAAGGAAAGATTCCAGTACCCCTTTGAATGAGATAGAGTGCCACTTCCAACATCGGTGGCTAGAGGAGGCGAGGTAGAAGGGTGGAAAGGGGGGGTAACAATAAACCGCCCCTTGTCCAGTTTCTATTCTCCATAGCCAGGCATACGATACCTCAGTCTTTTGATTTTCACCCTTCATCCACCTGCAATTTCTTCCTGGCGAATTTCTAGAACAAGGTGTGGACGCCACCTACTCAGTGGCTTGCTTGTTTTATAGTTACAGCGATAACTTCCTCCAGAATATACCTATGAGCAGCGGACCGATGGACTGTGCTCCCATTTTCAGTTGCACGCCAGGGGAAGTTTGATTGTGGGTATTAGTACTCGGTTTTATAGACTAAATATCAGCTGTGCATGAAGGATGCGGTCCCGACAGAGCTGTTGACTGAACCCTACAACTATAGCGGGCTTGGCGCTTATTATTTGTTTGAGATGGAATTCCTGTGCGTCTAGGGTAAGAGAAAAAGGCGGAGGATGGCAAACAAATGCTCACCAAGTGCGATCTCAGTCGACAGTTGCGGCTGAAAATTCTTCATAGGGATGAGATTGAGTGGACCAACCTCCACCTCAATTCCCTGGGCTCGCACGTATTTAAATTGGCATGGAGTCTCCATCTTGAGATCTACACTTTCCTTTCCCCAGCTCCCATACCTTGGGGATCATTTTTTTCTCACTAGTTCGGGTTATACCGTCTTCTTCACCTCTCTATTTATATCCATAAGCCTGAAACCCCAAATATTACCCCAATAGCCAATACCCCTTCCCTCGCTGACAATTCAGAATGAAGTATCTATCCATCCTTTCTCTGATCTCTCTCGCATCAGCTACTGTGCCTGTTGCCACAGGCGGATATCAGCCCGGCGGACGTGCAGCTTAGGGGAGTAATCTATGGCGGCACGGAGTGTAGCCAAGGAACATTATTCATAAAAATTGATGACCACGGCACCAAGTGCCCCGTCAGGACAAGAGACCTGTATGCCAGGGGCGGTCCAGGGACTTCCCCGAAGGGCCAGCGCAGGTTTTGCCAACTGAACTTTGACCTTGTTTATCCTTGTGGCTGGCCGTTCTCCATCTTTGGAGCTGAGTATAAGGGCCATGTTTCCCTGCATGGGGACTCGACCGCAAGCTTCAAGACCACGTATTATTTCTCTGGAGAGACGGACCAGGTATGGCTTAATTTTTGACCCCCTTTCTAAAAGACTATTCGCACGGGGTGGTGTGAGGGAATGAATCCATCAGTCAATCACCCACTAATGCACATAACACAAAACCATAGGCGACTAGCACAGTTGACTTTAAGGGCCCTACATCCGAGCATTTCTCCAAGCATAATGTGATAGCTTGGGATACCTGGTCGCCCTGTGGCTCGACCCAAACCATGCTCAACGTGAAGCAGGAGGTGAATGTGCACGGGGCGTGTAAACTCGCAAGCATGTCGGTGGATGGACGGTTTGGCCACATTGTGCTCCTCAAGTGGAGGAGGTATTAGCTTATTTCCACACATAGCCTTTTTGGTGCTGGTGCAGCTAAACATTCGAAGTTATACGGGAAATGGAGAGAGCCGGGGGTCCATCCTTTCTGACTTTGTGATTTCTAAAGGGTATTTGTGCTATTAAACAGTGTTTCATGGAAGGGAGGGAAGACAACCCACTGGTAGTCTGCTTCTGGAGCCATTGTCCATGATTAGTCCCCAGTATCTTCGTCAAAGGGGAAGATAAATAAAATAAAATATGAAATGGCATGAAACGTGGGAAATACGGGGAACAATACACAAATCGCACAATGACAGTGAAGGGGTAAAAGAAAAAACCAGGCTTTTGTTTTATTTCTGACCTCCCCTCGTTTTGAACCGGCCAATAATAACAAAAGCGAAGTTCGAAACAGAATTTCTTCTTATTTTGATAAGGGAAATCGAGGATATAGCTTATTTACTTCTCGTGGCCAGAATGACTATTTTCCATGGAGGCTTGGCAGCCTGGAGATAAGTAGGAATCTGTATACTTTTCAGGCGCTAGGATAATTAAATCAATGGACGCTAGAAATTTAGACAGTAAAGCGGGTACAGTACATACATTCATGGTACAGTTCGTGGATGATGGATGATTGATGAACCCCCAAAGATTCGGGGCTGGTTTAGGGGCTGCATGCCTGGAGCTCGGCAGCCAGGTTAGGCGTGCAGCCCCTGTAACTTCTGTTCTTGCGAGTCAGATTTATTGAAGGCCCGGTAGGTATTCCTTGTGCGCCCCAGCAGTTTTGTTGCAAACCACACTGAGCTCAACACAAACACGAACGGCCAACTTCGAAGAAACTCCATGTTTCAAATTGTCCGACTGGATGCTATTGTCCCTTTCAAAGCATCACTTGCTCTTTCAACCCATTGTCTTGCAGTTTCTTTGATGAGGAGAAGGTTGAGAAATGTTGGCTTTTGGCGGTGAGACCACGGTTCTCTCCATGCTTCATGGAGAACAGAGAATACAATATGTTCCCTTTGCAGACTTGGAGTAACTAATAAGTTACTCCTTTTTTCAGATGATGGTGAAAGCGCTCGCTCACAATCTATCACGCCCTAGCTCGTGGCTAGCACATTTGCACTCGAGACCAGCTATCAGGACACTATCAAATTGCCTCTCTCTCTGCGTTGCTCAAATGCGAATAACAGGGACGGACACATCTTTGCTTCCGCCTCTTACCTCTAGGCACGGATGTCGTAGTTAGTAGTTACTATCGTGCATGTTCTTGGACGCCTATCTGGCCTCGAATTTTCGAAATCTCTACAGTCTAGGCCGGGCTTGATCGAGTGAGAACATCCCCAACGACAACTTAGCGGTTGCGGCAGGAATGCCAGTTGCTTGCATAAATTGCTTCAAGATTTCATGATGGAGCCCGGCGGGCAATCAACAGTCTGGTTAAACTGTCTTATCAGCGGTCGGTAAAGGTTTTTCTTCACCACCTCGACAAAGAATCAGGAGATGTTATTTGACTCCTGAAAGTGACCTCTGCACTTTTTTCTTGAATCATGACTTGAGCACGTCTATGTAATAATAATGTACATGTACAAGTAGTGTAGTGGCAAGTCAGTGTACCAGGCCAGGGGCTCGGGGCTGAGAATGTAGATATCAACCCCCTCCCTCTATTTATTAAATAAAATCTCAACCAAGTATATAATATGGCTTTAGATACATGATTTGAATAGCTAGATCAATAAAGAATAATATAATCTTTAATATATTTCTCAAAATTTATTTAGATATGTGATGAAATGAAAATCAGTTGAGATTTGGAATCTCAGTTTATACCTAGGTAGCAGCTCATACACTCACTGATTATGTCTTTTTAATCTGAAGAGCCCAGACCCGGCGGCTCAATAACCATGACAGTTGAATAGAGAATGAAAGAAATTATTCCTATTCACTGAGAGAAATAAAATATTATTAATCGTGAGTAGAGAGTTTAGAAACTGTTCGGAATATTTTTTGAAACTTTTATTCTGCTTCTTTCTTGTTTTTTCACAGTAGATAATTAGAGCAGAGCAGTTTCAAAGTCTGAGTAATAGGTAAACTTAAAATAATATTGATAATAGCTGAAGAATTCTCTTCACACAATGTTCTTGATTTGAAAGGCATATTTTGATCCATAGAGTGGATGTTGAGTGGTGGAGAAATCAAGGAAGAAGAGGGGGTAAGTTATATGAGAGATGTTATCAGTTTGAGTTAGTTAAATACTGACAGGTTTTCATTCTATTCTTTGGAATAAATCGTTCGTCTATCTGCATTCCCTCCCGTCCGTCACCAAAAAAAAAAAAAAAAAAAAAAAAAAAAAAGGGAAAGGAAAAACCCTTCGGTGGTTACAAATTTACCGCCGAAGAGCTTTCCCCAGTGATTCCCTAGTTACTAGACAACCCCATATTCGTTTGGACTACGGAGTATGAAGTTAAACTCGACCAAGCTTCTTTATTTTCAGCGAGGATGTTGAATCCCAGAAGGTATCCGCCTACGGCGCCCCCATACTACTTTCTCATATTTTAAGATTAAAAAAATCCACATATAGAGGCATTTGCCGAGTGCAATACAATACGCGCGCGCCCATGGCGGCCAGATCCAAGATGTTGCCAACAGATAGATGGGTGGTTTGCCTCAAAGGGATTTCTGTCAAGGTGAGATGAAACAGCCAACTCCTTGAATGAATGCCGTTGTCCACTGAGCCTCTTCATCGGATATTTCTTGTTAAAAGCTGTTTCAACTTCAAAAGGCTTTTAACATGCTTCACCCGACCTTGCCATGAACTGGCTGGTCGATTCTATGTATTATGACCTATATTTTTTTTCTTCATCATTGTTGCTGAAACAATAACAATGTATTAGTTCTCCCTTTATATTTTTTATTGAATTTTATTTATTTACTGACTGACTGATTGATTCATTATTCTTTTTTTAAATCATGTATCAACTTCGATATAATCACCGCTTTCCCGGTATGCTTATACTACTTAAATCCCTCGAGCTCTGTTCGCACGCGCAGAACGAAGAATCCAGAACCCAAAGCCCAGAACCCGCAGCACGGCGCACAGAGCATACGCAGCATCATACCTCTATTTCTTAACTTCTCCCCACCCCGACTTCTTTTTCTTTTCTTTTCTTAATCTGCTTTTCTATCTTTGTGGACCAATGGGTAGAAAGGTACCGATGTGGGACTCATCGTATCCCAAATTTAAAATTGACCATTTAAAAGGGCCAGGAGACCCCACCAAGCTCTATAACAAAACATTAGAAGATTATACCTCAAAAGCCTCTCCCTCGGAAAATCTTGAAAAGTTGTTCAAGCACTACGGATGGGGCTTTGAGTATTCATTAGCCCAGCATGAGGATGAGGCGGTATTTCGACACCTCGTCAAGATTGTTTATTATATGCGAGACGATTTGAAGCCCAGTCAAGAGGACTTCGAGAAATGCAACTCAGATGCAGGCCCTGGCCTTCTACGACCAGAGTGTTCTGCATTACCATTTTCCCTTGACCACCCCCCTCCGGCTAACAATGTACCAATGGAATATTTTCGAAAAGCCATATTCCATTTCCCTTATCAGAGCCTTGAACGATGCCCATCCGCGTTTCCAATCTTGCCAAATGCGTCGGAGAATCATCGCATTAAGCACACTCAGCGAAGGGCTATGGACAATCGCTTGCATGGCCAGGGCGCGGCTGAAGATGAACATCTTGACGATATTCTAGACTGCACGATTGCCGCTGCATACTTGCTTGATGCTGGTTGCACGAAAGCCGACCGGACACCATTGAACTGGCATTCGACACTTAAAGACCAGGCGAAATGGTTCCTGGAGTTGATTTATCTAGATTGGGGATGTGACTCAGATTACCATACACTCAAGCGAACCCCAAAGTTGTCACCAGAAGCTCGATTCGAACAAGTAGCAACAGTCAAGCACAATATTACTGAGATGCTAGGGCAAGATGTGATTTATAAGAGGAAGTACAAGGACAGGCTTATTGCGGCGATATGGGAGGGCTGTACTAGCTCTTTTCATCAATTTCTTGTTCGATACACCCATAAGCCTCTCCACGAAGGAGGGATTGAAATGCCATCGTCCACTGGGTGCATACCACTCAGTGGTATCAGCACGGACACAACGGAAAATACCATCCAGGCACAAATGGCCCGCTTTTTCGAAGAATCATATGTGACGAAATGTTACTGTAATTTATCAGGGCTCGAAAAGGCCCCAGTCTCCACCCATCAGCTTCAACGCAGGTTTCATGAGCTACCATTGCGATTGGCGTTTGTGACAGACCCTAAAACACCGCCGACTTCTCACACCGCCACGGAAGTCACCATCGAATATTACGACTGGAAGTGCCAGCGAAGGAGAGCGAAATACCGATGGTTGGGTGGAATATACCCAATCATGAGTGGCAACTCTTTCCAATACGTCCTCTTCTGGAGTGACTACAAGCGACATGAAAAGGTTGATGAGAGAAATCTGCAAAGGTATGCTCCGCGGGAGTGCGACTGGCAGATCAAAATGGAGTCTTTTAAATATCCAGAACAATCGGAGCGTGTTCCATTATCAGGGTGGCAAAGTGGGCAACCCGCGCTCCTCTTCTATGAAAAGATCCTTGTACCTGAAGAAATAAATCTGAGAGGAGTCCTGCAAGCTGCGAAACATGTGGTATCCTCCTGTCAAGATTCTGTAATTAAGCATGGAGAAATTCAATACCCTCCCGGAAGCAGTTCTCAAACTATTGGCGTCCCTGCCGCCAGCCCACAGCGAGGAATTAAACATTCCACAGGCTATCCCAAAGCCGCAATATCTTCTCAGCCTACGAACCCACAGATCATCCCCCCTCCCAAGCAGCCAGGCCCAACCAAGAGAGGGCCTCCGGAGGGTTCGAGAGCCCAACCCGCTAAGGCAACAAGGGCTCTTCAATATGGAGACGAAGCCTTGCAATACCCGGGAGATTCTGGACCGCCTCGACAAGGCATACAGGCAGCACCAGAACCCCTTTCACACGTGAGTTCTCACAATCGTAGTGGCTATCAGCGGTTACCACAACCACACGAGGACCAAGTAGATCGACCTTCCATGCCTAGGGCTCAAATGCCACCTCCTCCAGACTATCTTGGTGACGCCGCAAACATTGGCCCAGAGTTTGGTCGCCCGAATGAGAATGTAGAATTTGCAAGCCCGTTGAAACCTCTCTCTCCAGAATACATGCCGGACTCATCACGAGTTCCCATAAGCCAGGCGCTCGAGCACGGGGAAGTTCTAGACCCCCTATTTCCGGGAATGCCTTCTGACCCTCTAGACCCTCACGGTTTAGGGCTTTCCGTAGATGACCCCCCAATGTAGGTAGCCACCCTTCCACCATAATTGTCGAATCTGTCTAGCTAACGGATCGCCGGAAAAGGTCACCCTTCTTTACCAATTATACACAACCGATGCCAGGAATGTCTCCACAGCCGGGCCACGCCCAGCCAAGTCCTGAGCATGCAGGCGGGCAGCAGACTTTTAGTTCCCAGCCAGCATCGGCAATTCCGCCGTTACCAGACATCGGCCCTACCACGTACGCCTTTCCGCTTGAAAATTATTTCGCAGGCGGGAGACTACCATCATCCCAACAAGTCCAAGGGGAAGAAACCTTTAGTCCACTCCAAGAGCTCTTCAATATGTATCCGGATGAAGCTCTGCTTCCCCAAGGACCTGGAACAAGTAGAGGACCCGCGAAGCGTAAGGAACCACCAGAATATGAAGCCGAAGAATCCGGCCCGCGTGAAAAAAGACAGAGAAAGGGAAAGAGCCTGAAAAGAAAATGAAAAGAAGAACCATAGAAAGACAAAAAATTAAAAAGAGATCTGCCTGCTTATTGGTCTCCAGGTCAGGTCCGTCTGCGATGAGGGTTTATCCTCTCTGTCCATGTTTCCTATATATGATGTTTTCCGATATAGTCCATTTTCCTGCCGTATGGTTTGTTCCAGGCAGATTCGTCATTTTTTCCTCTAAGTTTTCTATTTCCTTTATCTTTTTATTTTCGCATTTTGGGCTTGTTCTCCTTATACGCTTGTTAAACTTTTATGCGTGTCTCTAGTAGTTGTTCTAGGGAATGGCAATTTTAAATTTGGCGGCCAATTGGACGTAGCATCGGGAACAACATCCTCGGATTTCCCCTCCAACTTCAACTGCCATTTATTATATTATTTTATTTCTTCTCTAGACAACCTTTGATGCTACATGCCCGCTCTACCATGACCAGAGTCTTCCATTTTAGCATGGTTTCCAAGGAGCCTCATCGAATAACTGCAGCAAAAAAAGTAAATCTATACTGGTATTTCTTAAGGCGAATAAAATTATGGTACTTAACTAGGCTAGCGAAGATCCATATTTTGAGCTTAGCGATGATTTCTCCGCATTTTTAATTCATTCCCGCGGCTGAAGGAACAGGGTATCAATAAGAAATACGGGATGATTCCCCTGTAAACTAGCTTTGATTGTCTTCTTATATTTTCTACTTCCTTGTCTATTTGGTTTTTTTCTTTTTCCGTGATTTCTTCACAACACCTAACCCTCTATTTCCTTTGTTAAGGGTACATACAGCTCATGGGAACTCTCCTTTCAGGCTGGTCAACTAATATATGGAGTGTTTTAAGAGAGGTGTTATATTGAGTCTATCTTCTATACAGTTTCTATCATGACACTTCGCAAAATATAACGCTAATTATGCTTTTGCAAAAGGACAAACAAAAGAAATCGCAGCACGACAAGGAGGCGGCGACAAAAAGCAAAGATACCTAACCAGGAGGTAAGAGTTGTGCTAAAGAAAAGAAAAAAGAGGAATCACAACCTCGCGCGTGGCGTATCAGACTTCTTCGGTGCAGAAACATAGCCACCCAGCTTGTTATCGGTATTGGTAATATTTCCCTGAGCATCCCGCTTGATACCCAACTCCAGCAACTTGGCAAACACCTTGGAAAAGTGGTCAAAGAACAGTTCCTTATCCTCTGCATACACGAACACCCATTTCGCAAACTCCACGTCTGACAACAGCGCCATGTCCGTCGGCAACATCATCAGCGGCTCCTCATCCTCCATGTCCGGATCCACATAGTTGAACTGCTTGACTCCATTCGACAGCGTCGTTGGCTTCCATTCCAGTGACTTCAACAGCTTGAAATACTGATTCGAGAAGCGCGTTGGGTTGTGCACCCACGGGCCCTCGAAACCGCTGCGGTTCTTATGTGTGCGTCCCAGCGTGTGGGCACCCGAGAGCGCGACGATTTCCTGGTCGTTGAAGCCCATGCGGTAGAAGATGTGGCGGAGGTGGTCGCTGCCCTGCGTGGCGTCTGGTAGGCGGCCCCGGGGTGGTATTTTGGAGTCATCGACGAAATCAGTCCGGCCGGGCTTCCAGGGGACGTCGGGACCGCCCATGGCTTTGATGGCGACTACGCCCGCTAGTGTCCAGAGGTCTGAGTATGTGATCCAGGGATGTCTTTTCTTGATGGGTTCGAGGAATGTGCGGGCGTGTTCGAGGCCGGCGTTGGCGGGATCCCCGCCTTCGCCTTCATAGCGCATCCCAGCGCCATTGGAGCCGCCTGTGTCGGTCTCCTTGTCATAGGTGCCGGATGAGTGCCTGGATGAAGAGCAAAAGCCAGTTAGATATCGTGATGGGTGGGAAGAACCAGCACTCTGAGTAAGGACATTCTTACCAGGCTAGACGGACAAAGACAGGACCAGCGCTACCGTCGTCATATCCCGGCTTCTTCATCTCTGCGATGATATCCTTGCGGACAGCATCGAAATCTCCCATCTTACTCATTGTTGTGGATGTGAACACTGTTGGAAAGTACGGGGGAGGTGTATTATGAATAATGATATGTTTAGAAGGTATTTGAAATATCACCTAGACCAAAGAATGAAATTTGAAATTATGGTTTGATATATTTGATGAAGAAAGGGAAAAAGAAAGAAAGGAATGTGAGAATGAGATGACAGGACGACGAAATCTTCTTCTATGACAGGCGTTAACCAAGCTATATTACCTAGGTACAACTTCACATGGCAAAACACCGGCCGAGAAAAACAGAGAAAGCTTGTTGATATATGATACGGAAGCTCTGCAATTGCTTCAACCCGATATAATACCCCATTGCTCCACCCGGTTCCTCCTGGTGTTGATTATTTGACTGCAGCGGTTCTCGTATGTGTTGTGTGATAGCCAGCTTCAGTCTCTTCCCAATGCATTGAGAGGTTGGATGTTTTCATTCTATTATTCCCTCCTTATTTTCCTATTTTTTATTTTGCTTTCCAACTCGCAATGACGAAATGACGGGTACAATCTTTTTTTTTTTTGCCTTCGGGAATTTTCTAGCGCACGACAACCACCGAACCAATCAGAGCGCAGCATTTGCGGGAAACGGAGTAACTACCTCGGTATTCGCTCGATTATATAAGCTACGGGTGCGAATTCACGTTGGATCTACAGCAACAACCTTGGAAGACATCACAAGATTGGAATGCACACTGCAGACGCAGAGTTGCTGAAAACAGATGCAGATATATGAGAGATGATGCACCAAGGGAATTGCGCTGACTACTTATAAGAAAGACACTGTGCTCAATGCGCTAACTAGTGGGCTGATCGCAACCGGAATTTCCTCGAAGCGCATGGACAAACCGCCTCCTAGAGGCAGTGATAGCAACAACACTCAATCAATGATCAGATACTACATACATGCTCGCTCCTATACCCCTACCCTTTACTAGAACTATCCAAGCCCATCACATCTCAACCCCCTAAGCTGTTGCTCAAGCGTCTCCACCCTCGTGCTCAACTCCCGTACCGCCAAATCCGCCCCCTCTACCACCCTGCGAATCTCCTCACGATACCTCCCCGCAGTCTCCTCGATCTGCCTATCCCGTTCCCCCAGCATCTTCTTCATCTCCTCAATTTGTTTATCCTGCTCCTCCAGCTCCCTCTCCAGACGCTTCGTATGCCGCCTCCCCACCACGTTCACCTTATCAATTAGATCGTAGATGGGCGCGATCTGTTCTATGCTGAGGTTTTCGGCCGCTGCTTGCTTGGCGATGTAGATTATTGAAGCGGTGAGGTCATTGGCTACTGCGGCTATGCGGCGGGTCTTTTCGGATGGGGAGAACGTTTCGATGCCTGTTAGGCTAAGAGCGTTAGACATAAGTAGGTAGGCCGGCTCGTCGGTGAAGTATGGTAATTTTTTATTTGTTATCTTTTCCTTTTCCTTTCTGTTCCTTAAAAAAAAAAAAAAAAAAAAAAAAAAAAAAAAAAAAAAAAAAAAAAAAAAAAAAAAAAAAAAGCCTAGTTATTTTATTATTTTGGCGGTTGGTGCCGTGATTCTTGCCTGGAGGATGAGTGGAATAAAACCTTGTTAGGGTCCCTCCATTAGCTGCCCTGTCTTTCAAGTGGAATGTTAGGTTTTATATATTTTCAGACGGGGCCTCCAAATGGCTACAACATGGCTAGGAAGAAGGGGAAACAAGAAGCTTCCCTTTTACGCAGTAGTATGCAGATGAAAGTTGCACAAACCCGGACAGCTGAAAGAAAGACATTGGTATTAGTATTTTTGGATAGCTGCAGAGTAGAGGCAGAGATGAACTCACTTTTTGGAAAATGCAGAAAAAAATTAAAAATAAAAATAAACCCCAGGCTGATATCTGCCTGTTCTTGCTACACTACTGCCATGCCTAATACACATTATATGAACTTATTCGCTACAATAGCTATTTGTTCAATCTGACCAGCGCCTAGAATATAGAAAAAGAGAATTCATGCAGATGATGGTCTGTTTTAAAGTGATATTCTGCCATCGGAAGGGCTTGAGAAAGCTCTCTGAGTCTTGCCTTGATGTATAGATCCAGAACAGGAGGTCTAGATCAATCTATTGGATGGAACTGTGGGAATGTTGACACTTTGCCAAAAGTAGCTTAGCGCAAGTCATGATGTCATATCTTTGATATCTTCACTCACTCTCCAGTTACAACATCTAAAGGGAGTAGTAGATGCACATGTTCTCCCAGACATAGACACATGTAGGGAATATAGGATTGTGTTTTTCAAGTGGAGTCTTATTAAGCTGAGCATCTTTTTCTACATTCATCTATTAATTAACCGTACACCTATAAGTCCTGGGAAGAATGTCATGTATCCACCACTCTTTCATAACAACAAAGACTGATCATTTCAATCATGTTGTCCAGTTCATGAGTGGTGTGTATTTCTTCTTCTTCTTTTGGGTACTCCATAAATGATTACCTCACGCCATAAATTGGGTTCACATTTGAACCCTGAAGCCAGAAGCAGTCGTTACCATTTCCATCGATGAAACGTCCGACACCAATCGCCCCAGGCTCATGCGCTCCCCATTCTCGTTGGTCACGGTTCCTGGCTTCGCGCCACTCTCCCTTGCCGTACCGCTGCTTCCAGGGCGCAGCTCTGAATCTCATTGCCTTTCTTGAACTCTGGTTAGACACCAACAAGGTAGTGAACAATTTCTGGTTCAGCCGCGCACACAGCGTGGGTACTACACATTCAATGTATGCCTGTGCCGAAGGTAGCGAGGATCCTTACTGTGGGCTTCTGAGACCATTTCATGACCCACTTTAGATTGGAATCTAGTTCTTCGTCTTGTAGACATGCCCCGGCTTCAAGGAGGAGCTCCACAATGTCTTAAGTCATGCATCGGCCTCGCCAGGGCTTTCTCCAGGGGAGTGAAGGGTTTACCGACTTGTGGATCAACACCTGCACATAGCAGGGTGCGAATTGTATCATTTAGCTTCTTTGAATGGTGAAATGGATCAATACATGAACTGAGTGAGGGCAACAAGAGAGCAGAGTTCAATTGTAGAGGCCGCATTCGCAGAGCTTGGAAACAGATCCTCCAGCATCGATTAGAAGTTGGAGAACGGCAGCCTCATGTGTCTCTGCCACACTGAAGACTGGAGACTCCATCATGGAGTTGGATGGGGTTATTTCCGCTCCATGTTCAGTAAGGAGACGTGCCACTTTCACACTCCCAAAGTGGGCAGCGACCCTCAGGGCCGTGCATGTCAAAGTATCCTCTTGCAAAATAGGGACTCCATTATATAGAGCAATTTTTGCCAGCCTTACACAGTCATGATGCACTGCCAAATGCAAGACAGACGAACGTAGGCAAGAATGTGGAGGCCGGGAACTACAATGGTATAAATACCCCTTTACCAGCGAAATCTAGGCAGTAGCCCGACGAAAACAATCTCGATCTAACACATTTTGCAAGTCTCATGAGGTGTACATGAGAGTGATAAAATCCCGCCCATCAAGAAATCTTGCGATGTTAAGTGTCACAAAATATATCTCATCAGCAAAATCCACAGGGCCTCAAAGCATCATCAGGGAGGAAACAGCCACCAGCTGAAGACATGTTTGGATTCAATCATGACAGTCAAGGAACCTTTGGAGCCTTTTGTTAATCATACCAGAGAGGTATGTGGTGCAGCACATGGACTCACTTCACACTCATTGGATCTAGCAAGAAGAAAACTTATATAGCTGTCAGTTCCATGCTTTATTTTTTTTTCCCCTGGACTATGCAGGAGTAGCCCTTTGAATAAAAGTTGCTGCTGAACAGCTTTTACGAGATTGATGCCATCACCAACCTGTCTGGTTCTAGCAGACTGTGCTTGATCTTTATCCCGCCTGAGTGTTGGATGGAGACACAAAGCGCCTCTCCTCACCCGGGCGATAAAGACTGTTAAACATCCTTGCTCCAGACGGACCACTAGGTAGATCGAGATCGGTCAGAAAGTCGACTATTTACTCCAGACTATTTTGGCAGATTCAACACTTAACCGTGAGCCAGGCTATTTGCGCCCGGCTAAAATTTACAACGCTCTCTGACGAAGGGATTTTACCGCCGCCACACCAAAAGGATCAACCCTTCTGCTGGGGGCGACCCTCTTGAGTATTTATTATTGCATGCGCATGTATGTCTGACAAAATGATATCCATCGACCATCTCTCTGAACGATGTAAATATCATGTTATTTATTTATAACAGTCTCAGCCGCAGATATTCGGCGATCAGAGGAGTCAGCCCGACAAGCACCAGTTCTCTACATTACTATAGTCTGTTGCCTTTTTATTCTGGTCAACGGTGAAGCAACACATGCTCATCCATTCCTATACATCCCTCCTGGACCTACGTGTCTACCATCTACCAACCGCCTTCTTAAAATATTCTAGTACACATCTCTACAATGCTGTCCCTCGCATACCTCCCAACAGACATCCTCTCGCTGCTCCCCCTCTATATTGACAACATTGAAACATTTATCAGCGCCTCCAGCACCTGCCGCAGGCTCCGCTCGGTCTTCTCCAGCACCCTCCCACAGACAATCTTCCAGCTAGCCGCCGCCTCTGCCCCGACATTCTTTTCCCCGCACCCACACTTCCTCGTTATGGCCGTGGCCCCGCAACTCCGCGACTGGGCCCTGGGTAGTGAGAAGAATAGTAGCTGTCTCTGCGCGGCCTTTCAGGGCGGCATCGAGGGCCTGTACGACTTCTGTGTGAGTGATAATAGCCTCAAGGCCAGGCTCACCCTGGACAGGATTAGAAGGCTCTATGAAGCCCGCTTCACTATCCTCAACCCGTTCACGGATAAAATCGACAAAATGGCCGGCAAGCAATGGTACGATACGAAGGACTTTTGGGACGGCGGTGTCAGTGAGCCTGCTACCGTCGACATGGAGGCGCACCGCGCTGCGATGCAGATCATCATTTACGGCGAGCTGTTTGGGAGTAGCATGCGACCATTTCTGGAGCCAAGAGCTAGTAGGCAGGAAGGGCCGGATTCGGATTCGGATTCGGATCTGGATTCACCTCTCCCATATTTTGACTTGCAAACTCGGCTCAACTATATCAAATATTGTGTCCCCGAATGGGTATGCCGGAGTTACCCGGGGTTTCAGATATTGCCTGTGGGCCCTTATGCGCTGGAGAACAGGGACGATTTGCCCGCGGATCAGTACGCACTGCGACATATCTTGACGTGCCGACGGTGGCGGCGCATGTGGGCAGATGCAATGGCTATGGTAGGCCCGCTCTTTGCGGAGTGGGATGCGGAGCGAGGCCCCTTTGAGAGGGCCCAAGCGGGTGGTGAAGTTGAAGGGGTGTGGAGATTGAAATTGTTCAGAGATGCACTGCAGACAATGGGGCTTGAGGGGATGCAGCTGGTCACTCTGCCGCAGAAGAAAATTGCTCCGGAGCTCTTAGAGAAAGCACGTAGGATGCGAGAGCAGATTGCGGCGTTGGAGGCGCCTCCTCCGGTGTATATTGTGGGCGATCGTTTGAGGGCTAAGGTTTCGAAGGCACCTGATCCGGCGCAGGATGTTTATGTTTGCATGGCGCCGTATTGGTTTGGGGTTGGTGCAAGGTCGGACGAGGGCAGTTAACCAGCAGGAAGCTCAGCTTTCAGGGGGGCGGGGGTCATTAATAGAAAGTATACCTTGCAATGACTGATAAAACTTCTACTCCGCTCTATGGTTGTCTAGCATGATTCACATTTATGTTGATTACGGAATTCCCTCTAATAATAGAATTTTTCTTATTAAGAGTGTTCAGTTACTCCTCACGATGTTTCTGCTCGATTACTATTTCGAAAGATTAAGGGTATAATATCTTGACAATGTCAATATAAAATATGGGGCTTTCGTCAATATGCCTCGCGTTTACACATGGCTATACATATTCCGGCGGGCAAACACGAGCTAATTGGGTTGAACTGCAGAATACATGTGGATATTATTATCGGGCACTTCATTACAATAAATATATACACATATATATCCGATCATTTAGCCAAGTAGCAGGTCATTTTCCATGCTTCCCCATTGTGAGAATCGGTATCAAACAAACATCGTAAAACCATTCCCCACGGCAAAAATATTTAAACCAACCCCGCATCCCGAGGTTGTTTTTCCTCTTAATATATTTACACACCCGCAAATGTCTGTACTACTATGCATATATGTAATGTACATGACAGTAAGATTTAAGTTTCCATCGACCACTCATTAGAATCCTGTCATCTCCTGCAGCGACAGCAACATAGATTCTTGGCGCGTACAACCTACTCAATCGCAAACATACTATCCCCGCACGAAACCCGCGATGCCCTCCTCCCCCCTCCCCAGCATCCTCTGCCTCCACGGCTCAGGCACATCCGCCGCCATCTTCAAAATCCAAACCATCCGCCTCCGCCGCGAACTCCAACACCACTTCTCCTTCGTCTTCATCGACGCCCCCTTCGAGACTGAGCCTGGCCCGGGTGTCCTGCCCGTCTTCGCTGATGCCGGTCCCTACTTTACCTGGGTAGATCTCGCTTCCCTACCCGCTTCGCAGCGCTCGCTCGCTAGCACGGATGACACTGGGGGGAAGAAATTAACGGCGCTGCAGAGGAGTATCCTCCGCGGCCGCACGCAGCCGATGCCGGCGCGCACGGTGGAATTGCTGGAGAAGACGATGCGCGAACAGGTTGAGCGGGATGGGAGGGGGTTTGTGGGGATCATTGGCTTCTCTATGGGGGGCAGGATGGCGGCTGGGCTGCTTTTGGAGCAGCAGCTGCTCTTGAACTCTGGGAATGCGGATGGGAATGGGGATGCGAACGGGAATGGGAACGGGAACGAGAACGGCGTCGAGGGGCATGGGTTTAAATTCGGAGTGTTCATATGCGCGACATCGCCGCCGATAACGAAACTACATGATCTCCTCGACCATGAAAGTGGGGATGGGAAGGGTGACAAAATCGCGCTGCCTCAGATCGATATCCCCACGCTACATATACTGGGTAACAAGGACCCTTGGGTGGACCCCGGGGAGCTATTGGCTACTACTCACTTCAGTTCCGCGAAGAGAACGGTTCGCAGGCTAGATATGGGCCATCATCTCCCGGCCCAGCAGAAGGATAATATGCAATTGGTCGAGGGGATATTGGATATGGCGAAAGAGGTGGGGGTATTATAACATGTTAGATGGGCTTACACTGTTTTAGTTACCTCTAATTTTTTCTTCCTTCCCCCCTCCCCCCTTGTCCCATAGACGATTCCCCATTGTCAGGTGTGTGCGTTTTAATGGTCGTATAGATCTCCTACTGCAGGCTGAGAGGGATATACTAGAGTTAAACTAGGCCTAGGTACGGAGTACACCTGTATAGATTTGGGACGTTTGCAGATAGAGGCTCGGGATGATGGACAAAGAATGAGCATTGTCAGGGCTATGCTATTGCATCTTATTTCGGGTATTCTCCGAATTTTTGTATGACTATCATCATTGACCTGCGACACATCGGCTTAAATCAACTTACCTAGCTAAAACTCCAGTAAAATAGCTTAGAGGAAGTGATGTACGGTTATGTACTCAGTAAAATCATTTCGCGCGGATTTTATGGAGAGCTCCTTTGCTTTGTGAAGAGTAGTACTGGATACATCAAAAGTAGCCTCAGACCCTAGGATAAATAACAGTGGGCAGATGTAAGGAATCAGTGATTTGTGAACCTCTCTCGCCTGTTGAACTGTGAACCGCCGCGTAACAATACAAGTAGGCTTCCTGGTCATTTATATGAATTATTAAATATATTACTTCTACACACGCTCTCACTCTATTATTCAAAATATTTTAATAGAAAACATTGTTTTTTTCAAAGTAGAAAACATAAGTGGGATATATAATTAAAAAAAAAAACATTCTATATTCTCAGTTTTCTGTTCAAAATGTCATTTTTGAATCATTCAGAATCTTGTATGAATTGACATCTATAAAAATCTTAATGATCCATCCCGCAGTATTTTGGTTAACAGAGCCCTATAATTTCAGGGAGCCTAACGAAAATATAGGGGTAACCACAGCAGTCTTGACATCCTTCATAGATACGAAGGAATCTCATATCGGTAATAAGCCACCGGAGATAAATGATGTATCTATCATGAGCGAAGTATGTTTGTATTAACAATATGTTGGGGTCCCGCGGTTGATCGGCTCTTCTACCAGCAGGCGCTGGTGGTGATTGAGCTCTTTTGCCCCAGTAGCCTACACAATATTACAAAGGTGCTCATCATCCTCGGTGGGACGGATATTTGCAGTGTTTGCATTATTACATCATTTTCACCAAAAAAAAAGGGTGCAATGAACAACATCGAGGAGGGGATGAGCGAAAACACAAATATAACCTTCTCCCCTAGATTCAGCCCTTCCAGTTACCATGGTCCGCATAGAGCAGCTCCCCGATGACTTCGATGAATCCCTTGATCTCAACAAACCTCGCTCTACTGGCCCTACACTAGGCGGGCAGGCTTTGTTGAACGAAACACCGTTCGGGATCAAGAAAAATGTCTCTTCTCCACCTGACTCAACAACCCCTGCCATGCCTCCCGGCATGGCTTCGGTCAAGTCGCATACAGCAGAAGAAATACTCGACTTGATGAACAAGACTCCGCTGTTTATGACCGATCTTTCGAAAGCAACAGATGGAGGTATGTGTGTCCTGTGACTCCTCAAAGCCTCGTACCCCCCGTTTTCGCAAAGTTTTCATTTAACTCTCCTTTGTCGCAGATGAGGAAAATATTGGCATTGAGGCCATACGGGCTTTGCAATATGAAGGGACACGGGCGGAAGTGGCGCAGGGGCTTCGAGAATCAGGAAACGAGGTTACGAGAGAGAAGAAATGGAGCGATGGGAAAGAATTTTATACCAAGGCGATTGCGGTGCTTACGGGTGAGAATAAATGGGAGAAGAGTGATGATCCTGAGGGCGATCTTGTAAAGGAACGCAAGATTGCGGAAGCATGCTATTCGAATCGCGCATTGTGTAATTTGGAATTAAGTAAGAAAGTGTTGGAGTACTTCAAACCGTGGCTTTTGTCCGGATGGCTAATGACATGAAAAACAGAAAACTACAGATCAACCACGCTCGACTGTGCATCAGCGCTAAAACTCAACCCGAAGAATGTCAAGGCCTACTACCGATCTACCTGCGCTCTTTTCGCCCTGGACAAAATCCCCGAAGCAGAAGATACATGCGCGCGAGGACTGACCCTCGACCCATCCAATAAATCATTACAATCCATGTCCGCCAAAATATCTGCGCGCAAATCTGTCCTTGAGGAAATTGCCGCCAAGCGGCGTGCCGAGGAGGAACGAGCTCGCAAAGAGAAACTAATCCTCAACACGGCACTACGCGCGCGCGAAATTAAAATCCGGACTTCCGACCGCCCGCCCGAGCTTGAAGATGCTGCTATACATCTCTCACCAGATCCGCTGTCACCCAAAAGCACCCTCGTCTTTCCCAGTGTCTTCCTATATCCAATGGACGCACAGTCTGATTTCGTCAAAGCGTTTGCTGAAACCGAGACGATTGGCGATCACCTGAGTTATATATTCCCCTTGCCGTGGGATTCGCGGCAGGAATACAAACTTGATTCTGTGGACTGCTTTATGGAGACGGCGGCCGGGGGGCTTATTAAGGTTGGGAAGAAAATTCCGTTGCTGAAGATTTTGGCGGGCGGGAAAGTGGAAGTTGTTGATTCGTTGGTTAACATTAATATCGTGCCGACGGGCAAGTCGAAGCAGTGGATTGAAGAGATGAAGGCGAGGAAGGGAGCTTGATCTTGAGTTTTATATGTGGTTTCCGTACGGCGCTCATTTCTGTTATTGCGCGCGGATACGGAGTCAGACTAAATATTGAGCCCAGTGTTTCTTTGTAAGTGGTTTCGGCCGCTTTTTGTTGCATGTTAACCGGTTAGGAAAGAAAAGTCATTTCCTTGACCTCCCGGCCGCCATCAAATCGATACACAATAATGGTTTTGCATGAAAGAAATGAGAAAGTTCTCACACAGGCCACAATCAGCAGGATGAATCATAAGACGCAGGAACTTACTATTATCCCCGATATGAGCGTCTGATCCCTAATGACTTGGCGATATTCATTCGGGATAAGAGGCTTGACGCAGCCATCATTGGCAATCTAACTGTGCAGATTCGCTGGACACCTGTTAGGCGCCGGTGTTACATGTATCTCATTGGGTCCAAACTAATGATATTGGGCAATATTCCAAACCTCATCGATGGTCAGGAGGATAGGGATCTAACAGTCGGACCTGTTTGCTTCGCCTCAATGGACAAAATAGCAGACGCGTAATTCCACCTGGACCACAGGTTGAAGCAAAAGAGCATATTGTCAGCATTTTTGAATCAACTGCAGGATATTGTAAAGAAGAAGATCGATACAGCAACACGGAATGTTTTATCCCATGTAGAATCTCATCAATTCGGGATGTAACCATCATTGGGCTTCGCAACGCCAGCAGGGAAATCCGGGGAAGGTTATATGTATTAAAGCAATATGAGGCTTTGAAGTTAGTCAGTTGACATGGTATCATCTTTTTTTTGAAGCTTTCCGGACATATGAAAAGCAGCAGAGATTGCAAAATCGCAAATGGATAGAAGCATCCAGGCTGAGGTGGACTTCATGAGGACGCCATTGGACTAATGACGATGACGGTATTCATCATCAGAGATCGCGAAGCGAATTTCCAACAAGGCTTAGTAGGATTTCTGATCTAGGTGATCGCTCAAGAGTTAAAGACCGACATCAAGCCCATGGCTGTCACCGTGGCTTCTATATTATATACAGAGGCGTGCTTTTCTAGCCTATTCTCCTACACAAAGCGACTCATGAAGCAAACAGATGAACAGACACCAGGCTCTTTCTCTGGCAATCACACATTCTCCCCATCCAACCCACGCTCCCTCCTCATCCCCGAGCCAGTCAGAGTCGGGATGAAGGGATCTCCCCAGGCCCTAGGGTGCATGGATATCCACTACTGCGACCCAAGTGTAACGGCGGCGTCAGTGGGGAAGGATATTCCAGTGCCACCGACAGGGAACAGCTCCATAATAACTATCCGAACGGACAAATGAGAGCACCAAACCACCGTCAGTCATGCATGGCAATTTGGTAAACTGACGGATGGACGCCGTGATTTGTGCTGCCTGCGGGATTTGACGTCAAGCTGATGATGCGGAGGATGGAGTTGAAGATACCGCGAGAGCAAAGGTGTGTAAGGGCGTGACAGTCGTACAATACGACTAGTCCTAAAAGCAAGGCGCCAGACTGGTTAATCAGCATTCTCAGCCAATGATACCTCACTGTAGACGAATCTGGTCACGGGACCATAATATAACGCAGGAAGCAGTAATGCCCATACGGCCGGCAGAGAATTTCCTCACCGCATCTCTCCAGAGAGCCGCAACACAACGCAAGTCGCAACGCAACCTCAGACTCATCCTCAACGCCCGAGCAGCATCTCAATCCGCCCACAAACCCACTCTCGCCTTTTTTCCCGATTCCCCCATCGTCAGCGTCACCATTGGAGCTGCCTGCCGGCGCTATCTCCCACGCCGCGCCCGTAATATCCCTTCCCCTCCCCTACTAATAAGCTTGGAACCCAAACGCGAGTCACCAGAACAACACGTAAAGAAACAGTCCTTTCTGAGCCCATTTGCCAGGCAGTGGGCAGATAAAAGACGCCTTTCACGGACACCCCCTACGCCTTTCGTTTTGCTCCGTGACTTCGTGGTACTTGGCAGTTTCTGAGTATTTTTCCTTGATCCCCCTCCTTTTGCGGTTGTTGATCAGTGGCTGCCTGGCATTTTTGCTACTGTTCTGATCCCGAAGATTATTATTATTATTATTATTATTTCCGGCATTATTTATTCTCGCTATAATTATTTCCCGCCCCGAAAAATAGGAAAACCTGCACGGCTAATAATAATAATAATGAATAACCAACCCCATTCTTCCTATCCGACACTTCAGCAACATCCAATGGTTGCGATCTCTCCCGCAGGCTACCCGATGCAACATCTTCCCCAGGCTCAGGCTCAGGCACAAGCTCAAGCTCAAGCTCAAGCGCAGGCGCATGCGCAGGCTCAGGCTCAGGCGCATCTTCAGGCTCAGGTTCAGGCACAAGCACAGGCTCAAGCGCGTGCTCAGGGTCTGCCCTACTATCCGAATCCCAATCAGTTTCCTCCCCAATCGAGAGCGCCACAGATCCACCACCAACCTGTACAGCATGGTGGTGGCTACGGACCCGTTCCACTGCATGCTGGTACGTCAGCCATGATGATGTCTCCCGGCCTTCCCCATCATTCGTCCGGTCTTAGTCCCAGTAGGTCTTCCGCCCTCCCTTCTTTTCGTCTGTTTTCTACTTGATCTTATTTCCTTAGCTCCTATTTTGTGTTTTGAATCCCCGCCACTCCTGTTCCGTTGTCCTATGTATTACACCGTTGGCCAATCAAATTCTTGCATTTCGTGGTCAATGACCTTCCCTAATCCCCTGCTATCTCTCGCTCCCAATCTTCGTTCCTACATAAACCTAGTCTTGGCGTGCATGAGACTTGGTCGAACCATGTAATCTTCTTTGTGGTGGAATCAGCCCGCTGACTGACTGGCGTCTTTTCTGTCATTTTTTCCAGTGCCTCACCCGTCAAATTTCTCTAATCCTCAGTTTATGCAATCAATTCCAGCTACCGTGGCTCAGTCCCCCATCCCTCAATCGCCCTCGCCACAGAATATGGTCACCCTATCGCAAAGTCAACCACAAACAATGACTACCATTGCCGCATCAAATCCTCTTTTTTCCACCCCTCCCCGTCCCTCCCAGACTCCAAACTATCAACCACAGCAACAACAGCAGCAACAGCAACAACTCCAACAACAGACACACTCCCCAGTCGCCGCGCTCTCCCCCCAGCAGGCTGCCCGTGAGAGGGCCCGTGTGACCGTTCTTCTCGATATCAATTCAGCGCTGTTACAGGAAGTGGTGAATCTCCAAGCCTCAGGGAAGGCAGGTGTAACCCCCACCCAGCTCGCTGCCCAACAATCTTCACCCGTCAAGGAGGGCAGTACAGCCTCTCCGACTTCCCCTACCGACATCACGGGCTCGCAATCGCAGAACCCTGGCACTGGTGCAGAGGGGTCCAAACCTACGTCTGGACCCGCCAACAAGCCCAGCATTGAATATATCGACTGCATGCGACGTCTCCAGGCGAACTTGGCTTACCTTGCTACTGTTGCAGATCGGGCAAAGAAATCAGGGGCTGCGGCCCCACAGGCACCCGCAATCATGACGCCACCACCAAGCCTTCCCGGTGTTGCGGACTTATATACCAAGCTGAATGAACTCTTTCCCGGGGCGACCAAACCAGGTGGCGGACCTCCATCTACCCCTCAACATCAGCAACATCACCAGCAACGACAGTCTTCAGTGCCCCAACCTTCACCACAAGGAAATGGTGCGCCAGTTCGTAACTCGCCGGCGGGAACGGTGGGTTGAGTGGACGCGCAAAGAATGTAAAGATATGGTTTGTCTACTTTTTTTTTATCTACTTCCCCGTTGGGATTTTTCTGAAGGGCTATTCGGAGCTTGCCACAAAGCAATGTCAAAACGTCGCGAGTTCCTCGGGTTGCAAGACGCACGGGCCACGAAAGTGCAACCTGACCGCACGGACGATGCTGTAACTCGGCATCACAATGTTTGGGCGTAGCGGAAGCCCTTGAGAGAAAGGATCCACGCATGCACGAAATAGGCGTTTGGATTGCCGCAGCCTCCTCACGAGGAGCATGGGGGGGATGTGTTTAGAAAGATGTATATTTTCAAACAACAGGCGCCTCACTTGAACAGTCTAGGGTGCCTCCCGCCCGACCGCTGAAATGGGAAAAAGGACAGGTTCCACAAACTCCATTTTGTTTTGTTCGTTCGACATCTCGAAAGCGCGTCGTACGTTTGCGAATACAAGGTGTGAGGAAGGGCGGTATGTATGTGTTTGGAGGTAATTGAGGGAGGGGCATGGAAACGGATATGCTCGCGCAGATGATGGGGATAGTAACGCGCTCCTGATTTATTCTGGTAACCGTTCTACGCGACGGAAGTAAAGGGGGATCACTAGAATATATATATTATTATATGTACCCTGTTATATCATTTTTTATTTTCTACTTCTAGTAACCACGACGAGATATCTATGCGCCTGTCTGGCCTGTCCCTTTCACTTGTTTTAATTTCTTCCATGGTATAGTAGTCGGGGCACTTTGCTGGCAATAGATCAAATAAAAAAAAATACTCAACAATGCTCTGGCTTCTCATGTATTTTAAATACCCGGTGCTGCCACCAGCCACAGCCGGCGATATTACAATAATAATACTGCATACACGTACTGTCACGGCAAGCCAAACAAGCCAAACATTTCTTGGTCTTTTCTGCCGCGACAAAAAAGTGAAGGAAAACGAAGGAGTTAACAAGGGACAACAAATAATAAATGGACAATCCAACAACGCCATCAACCCTCTGCGATTGAAAGATAGATACACCTCTCTCATTACCCCCGGACACTGTACAACCTGTTAGATATCCCGCATCCATTAGCTTGGACCCTGTGGATGAATCTTCGTTGTGGGCTCCTTAAAACCCGCTAGTCGCTGTTGCTCGCTGCCTTCTGGGGTTCTTCCATTGAGCTTTAGCCACAGCCTTTGTCAAAACCTCCGCTTGATTAGTCCAGACAGAGAATACGGCTTGACGACCTGTTCTCAGCCTCGTTATCTTCTCTTCTCTTCTGTTTTATTTTCCTTTTATTTATTTATTTATTTATTTTCCGTTCCCAATTTACTACTTGTGCGCCTTCTCCGTCTTTTTGCAGTGCGCTGTATCTAATCCCCGTGGCGGAATTTTCTCCCGCTCTCCACCACACATTATCTGCCTACTACCTCACATATTAGTTAAATCACTAAGAGTCAAAATCGAAAATTCAACTCTCAAAAAGCGAAAATAGAAAACAGCCAGCCGCAGCACCGCGCTCGCCGATCCCTTTCCTATTCTCCTCTCCATCCCCCCCCTCCCCCGTCTTCACGCCATGGAAATGAGCTCCAAGCGCAAGCACAGCAGTGGGCCTATCTCCCTCCGTTCCGCAAAACACCTCCGCCCAGACACCTCCTCCCCGCAGCCATTGAGCCCAGACGAACAAACACTCGGCGAAGAGGCCGTCTACGTCCTCGAAAATGAAGACGAAGATATTTCCCACATGCTTCCCCTCGCCCCACCCGCCGCTGCGCAGACAGACTCGCCAGAATGGCAGGCCACCATCGAAACGGTCGTGAAGAGCGTCGTCTCGATCCATTTCTGTCAGACGGCGTCGTTTGATACGGATTTGTCGATGTCGAGTCAGGCGACGGGGTTTGTGGTTGATGCGCAGAGAGGGTATATTTTGACGAATCGACATGTGGTTTGCGCAGGGCCGTTTTGGGGGTATTGTATTTTTGATAATCATGAAGAGGTTTGTTTTTCTTTTTTTATTTTTATTTTTAATGATTTTTGGTTTTATACCCTTGCAGGTGGAACATTTTTACTGATCTTGCTCCGTTTCTATGCTAGTGTGATGTCCGACCTGTTTATCGAGATCCTGTTCACGATTTTGGTATTTTGAAATTCGACCCCACCGCCATTAAATACATGCCCGTCACGGAATTGAAATTGTCGCCGGACGCAGCAAAAGTTGGTGTCGAAATTAGAGTCGTGGGCAATGACGCCGGTGAGAAATTGAGTATTCTTTCTGGAGTTATAAGTCGTCTGGACCGCAATGCTCCCGAATACGGCGAAGGGTATAGCGATTTCAACACAAACTATATCCAGGCTGCTGCTGCGGCTAGTGGTGGAAGTTCCGGAAGTCCTGTCGTGAACATAGATGGTCATGCGATTGCGCTACAGGCTGGCGGACGTGCCGATGGCGCCGCTACGGATTACTTCCTACCCCTCGATCGTCCACTGAGAGCCCTGGAGTGCATACGCAAAGGCGTGCCGGTCACGCGGGGCACAATCCAGACCCAGTGGATCATCAAGCCGTTTGATGAGTGCCGCCGCCTTGGTCTATCTCCCGAATGGGAGGCTGCTGTCCGAAAAGGCGCCCCAAAAGAAACCGGTATGCTTGTTGCGGAAATCGTGCTCCCTGAAGGCCCTGGCGACGGCAAGCTACAGGAAGGGGACGTGTTGATCAAGGTCAACGGGGAGCTCCTGACACAGTTTGTAAAGCTGGATGCGATTTTGGATGCCAGTGTGGGTAAGGATGTCCACCTTCTTGTGCAGCGAGGTGGTGAGGATAGGGAAGTCTCATGTACAGTTGGAGATCTCCATGAAATCACCCCTGCTCGCTATATTACCGTTGCTGGTGCGACGTTCCATGACCTCTCCTACCAACAGGCCAGACTTTATGCGATCGCCTGTAAGGGGGTGTATGTTTGCGAAGCTGCGGGTTCGTTCAAACTTGAAAATACCTTTTCTGGATGGATAGTAGATACGGTGGATAAACGACCTACGAAAAATTTGAATGAATTTATTGAAGTTCTGAAAACCATTCCAGGTAAGTTCTACTGTCATTATCGAAATTATTAATTTTGTTTGCTAATTATGAATAATGGATCAGATCGCGCGCGAGTTGCTTTGTCATATAGGCATATTCGAGATTTACATACCAGAGGAACATGCATAGTGCACATAGACCGCCACTGGCATCCACATATGAGGGAAGCAGTCCGCAATGACGAGACTGGACTATGGGATTTCACGAACATTGCAGATCCACTTCCCGCGGAAACCCCAGTTCCTCGGAAAGCCGATTTCATCCAACTTGACGGTGCCAACCATCCAGCAGCTGCAGATATCGTTCGCAGTTTCGTCCGCGTCTCTTGCACAATGCCAGTGAAGCTTGATGGGTATCCACAAGCCCGCAAAGCCGGATTTGGCCTCGTCGTCGATGCGGAGAAAGGTCTCGTGCTTGTTTCCAGAGCTATTGTGCCTTTTGATCTTTGTGATATCAACGTAACCGTAGCGGACTCTATTATCGTCATTGCCAAAGTGGTTTTCCTCCATCCATTACAGAATTACACGATTATCCAATATGACCCTAGTCTCGTGCAGGCGCCGGTCAAGACAGCGCGGCTGAGCACTACCTACATCAAGCAAGGCGCCGATACCATATTTGTCGGCTTTAATCAGAATTTCCGCATCGTCGTGGCCAAGACGGCCGTTACTGATATCACTACGGTCGCCATACCCCCCAACGCTTCTGCGCCGCGCTACCGTGCTCTCAACCTTGACGCCATCACCGTTGACACCGGCCTGAGTAGCCAATGCTCCAATGGCGTCCTGATCGGCGAGGACGGCATCGTCCAAGCACTCTGGCTCAACTACCTGGGCGAGCGCACCGCCAGCTCTCACAAAGACGTAGAGTACCATCTAGGTCTCGCTACCCCTTCTCTCCTCCCCATCATTAACCAGATCCAAAATGGCACCCTACCCAAACTTCGAATCATGGATATGGAGTCCTACGTTATCCAAATGAGCCAGGCGCGCATCATGGGCGTGTCAGAAGAATGGATCGAGAAGGTCGCCATCGCCAACCCGGCACGCCATGAGCTATTCATGGTGCGGAAAGTTGACTGTGCCTCCCCATTAAAGGAGGACACCCAGCAGCTTGAGGAGGGTGATATCATCCTCACACTAAACGACAAGCTCATTACCCGCGTCTCGGAATTTGATATAATGTACCACCACGAAACCCTCGACGCTCTTATTGTCCGCAACGGCCAGGAAATGCGTATTAAGATCAAGACTGTCCCGACAGAAGATCTGGAAACGGACCGTGCGTTGATCTTCTGTGGTGCTGTGCTGCAGAAGCCGCATCATGCCGTTCGACAGCAGATTTCGAAGCTACATAGCGAGGTCTATGTCAGCGCGAGGGTGCGTAAATTTCCATTTCATATGATAAAGAGAGCTAAAATAAAACATGTATGGGTATGCTAAATGATTGCGTACGCTATAACAGAGTCGCGGCTCCCCGGCCTATCAATACGGCCTCTCACCAACAAACTTCATCACGGCCGTCAACGGCGTCAAAACCCCAGATCTCGACTCGTTCATTGAGCAGGTCAACACCATCCCCAATAATACCTATTTCCGCCTCCGCGCTGTTACATTTGATAACGTCCCCTGGGTCGTCACCATGAAGAAAAATGATCATTACGTATGTTTCCTCCCTCAACCCCCCTCCCCCTCAAGAAAAAAAAAAAAAAAACATTTTCTGTCGCTTATTAGGAGTATTTATTTATTAACGACAACCTGCACAGTTCCCCATGTCCGAGTACGTGAAAGATCCCTCGGCTGCTGAGGGCTGGCGGACCATCTCTCACGATAAAGAACGGCGTCGCTCGGACTCGGATAACGTCAACGCGGACGCGATGGATGAAGGGCGCGATGAGGGGATGAGTGATGTGGAGCCTGATGGTGATGAGTAGTAGGATAAAGTGTTCATGAGATAATAGAGTGTTTGCCTTTTCTTTTCCCCTCATTGTTTTTCACTTGTTCCAGAACATGGATTCGTTCGACTCTATTTTTCTAATTGTACTCCTGGAATGATATGGTTTTTTTATGGCAATAATAGAGTGGTACTACTGCACATGAGCGTGGCTCTTCATTTCATCTTCTGTTGGTGCTTGAGTGAGATATTGTTTTCAGTTTTCTGGGGTATTTGGCATGTGGTATCCAAGTAGCGGGGGTCTCTATTTATGTACTGTACCTTGCTGTTAATGGTACCTCATTTCTTATGAGCTAGAATAGAGGGTTTTTATATTTTCTTATCCCCATGTTTAAGATTACGTAGTCTTTTCTTCATCCTATGGCGTTTCAAAAATTGGGTATTAATACAATTTAACCAAGAAAAAAAGCCTTCTATTGAGTTATCCTTACATTTTACCAATATATAATCAGCATCGAGTGGCAGGGCATGATAATTAGCTCACTGCATATTCCCGAAAAGTGCGTCTGGACAGAAAGAATGTCCCTGACGAAAAACCAACATGACCAACCACGTTCATCAAAAGAATTCGAACAGCTCATTAGGTGTCTCAATGGATCCCCTTGAGCTTAAAAAAGCCGACTTTGAGAAAATAGAATAGAGTCCTCCTCATCAATATACCTGTACATACAGTAATATTAGTCGCATCCCTGGGAATGTAGGGGGCAAAGCATTGGATTTTCTGTCCTTACTTGGGAAACTCACTGATTAAGCAGGGCAGCAATTTCATGCTCGTTGCACTCAACAGCTGCCTTCCAGGAAGAGTCCAACGCATGTAGCTCCACATCGGTGTCAGATACCCATTTAAGTATGACTCGCACAACTTCTGTGCTACCGCGCCTGGTCGCCAACTCTAATATATTGTCAGGACCTCGTCGACCTGCCGAACTGTTAATATCCGCGCCGTTATCAAGAAGGAGCCGGACGACGTCGGGGTGGTTGTGAACTGCGGCCTCTTGTATTGGACAACCGAACTTGCCGACCGTTATATTGACGTGGGCTCCATGTGCCAGTAATACCCATACGGCGTTTTCATGACCCTTGGATGAGGCCGCATGCAGAGCGCTGCCGTAATATCCCCCCTCCGCATTAATAAATGCCCCATTGTCAATCAACATTTTGATGATCTCAACGTGACCCCTTGAAGCAGCTGCCTGAAGTGCAGTTCCGTACCTTCCCCCGGGAGTGTTAACGTCGACTCCACCGGCGATAAGGGATTTTACCACACATTGAACACCTCCAAGAGATGCTGCTTGAAGCACGTTGCCGTACAGACCGCCTTCCCAACGAGAGTTGGCCCCCTTGCTGAGCAATAACCGTGCGATGGATTCATGGCCTGCCGCCAATGAGGATTGTAGTGGAGTATCGCCTACCCAATCCACTGCGTCGATGGTGGCGCCATTCTGTACCAGCGTTTCTACGATACGAAGGTGGCCCTTGGAGGCTGCAGCGTTGAGCGCGTTACCGTACGTGCCACCTTTGGTGTCTGGGTTGGCACCCTTCAAAAGCAGCTGGGTGCAAATATGGAGATAGCCCTTTATAGACGCAGCCAGTAGAGGGCTCTTGTAAATTCCACTTTGAATGTTGATATCCGCGCCATTTTCAAGCAGCAGGTCCACGACTTCGTCGTGGCCGCATGTACAGGCATCTTGGAGCACTGTCCCATATATTTCGTGGTGCGTATTAGGGTCTTGGCCCTTCTGAAGCAGTAGCTTCACTAAATCGGCATGTCCCCTCGTGACGGCATCCTGTAGCAGAGAGCCAGAAGCACTGATATCGGCTCCCTTTTCAAGGAGCAATTGCACAGTTTCAGTATGACCTCCAATCGTGGCAAGCCGTAGAGCGTTGCTGGATCCATCCTTCATGAGATTAAAATCAGCTCCCTTGGCAAGGAGCTGTCTCGTAACCTCGACATGACCCATAGTACATGCAGCCTGCAGTGGGGTACCATAATGTCCTTGATACGCGTCAGGATTAATCCCCTCTGCAAGTAAGATCTCAGTCAGATCGGCTACACCAATTAGTGCCATGTAGTACAACGGAGCGCGTATGGTTTTTCGTGACTTTGTGTGGTTTGGATCTTTTGTAGGGTGTTCCGGGTCGTAGAGTCGAATCCAATTACGGTATGCAAGGCTATTCGATGACAGGAGCCTCATAGCCAAAATCCGGATTCTCTTTGTAATGCTTTTCGCTGCTCGTACGTGATGCACCCAGTACCTAGAGGCGTACCTGGCAAGTGGAAAACGGGTTTCCATTCCATCCTCAACAACAGTGTCATGGAAATAGTGCAACAGATATGCAAGGCAAATCTCTGCCATTTCCGCATTGGCGGACGATTCAGAAATGTGGTACTGAGAACCAGGTTCAGTAGAAGTAGACAGGTTGTCTGACACAATGAACTCCCTGACCGAAAGATGAGCCAACTTGAAAACTTCGCCACGACCTTGTTCAACGTCGACTCTCACAAGCGGGGAGCATATATCTAAAATTTCTCGAGGATCGAAGAATCTTCTTCTGGTATCAAATTGAAGATAAGCATTGAGGTCGATCGTAAGCATCTCAGCCATTTCAGCGATCGTCAGTGGGCGGGCAGAGAAGGCCAACCAGTGCAATACTTGAGGAATGTAATTTATCCGTCCTCCAAAGGGATCACGGAGAATCCGTTCGTACATATCATTCAATGACTTAGGTGGTGATCCAAGGGCTGCTCGAAGTGCTTCCTCGCTAAAGCAATCTCCCAGCACCTCAAGCTGACAAAAAGCCCACTGAAACCTAGCGATTAGTTAGAAAATTAAAATAAATAGACAGAATGGGGGAAGCCCGTAGGCAAGTGGCAATTCTTAAAAGGGGCTAAAGTCTTACATGCCATCAGCTTTGCTCATCGTGTAAGTTTCGATATCTTTTAGAATACCGGGATATTTCTCCCATCTCTTAAATTTTCTGTCTGTCCTGAGACATTCCTGGACATACATGCAAATATCACGATTTACCTGCGTTTTATCCATAGCGACTTTTTGTACGTTTCCAGGCAATGAATTAACTCCGTCCTCAATATATTTTCCCTGTCGGCTCGTGGATAGGATGTGGACTTTGGAAGACGAGCGACGTAGAATATCCCGAATAATGCGTAGTAACTCGGGAACGTTGGAGCATACGTCAAGGGCATCAATTACAATGAAACTTTCTTCGAAGCTTTCAATGATCTCGAGGAGCGTAGCAAGAAGGTCGCTTGCTTCCAGTTCGAAATTTGGCATACAAGACATGTCATAAATACGTTCCAATCGAGGAATATCGCGACATTTATAACAGAACTGCTCGATAAGCGACCGCATCATTCTCTCAGGCGCCATCTTATCCGGGTCGCTGAAGTCGAAGTAAAAATATGCGAGAGCTGAAAGAGGCCTGGGTAAGCATTCCTGGGCCATATGTTCGATGACCGCAGAGCTCATCACCGTCTTGCCGCTTCCGATAATCCCATGCAGCCAGCAAAATGATGGTGCACGACTTTTCCACTCGTCGAAATAATCGCTCTCTATAAACCATGATGCCGTGTTGGGATGCCTCTTGCGCCTTGCTCTGCGATAGTTGAGTGATGGATCCACCGCAGCGAGCCGTCGGTTGATCCTCCGTTGGAGGTTTTCTAATTTCAAGGATTAGCAGACGTCGTGGATAGGATTAGATATTGCTACGCTCTGCCGCGCTGCGCACCTAACTTGGATTTATTTGCAGATTGCATCGTATTGTTCATTTTGAGTAGCATAGATCTAGAAGTTTTATTTTCAAGGGGGAAAAAAATGTTAGTTTTGCTACACCGTAGGCTCTAGACAAAGGGGTAAGAGAACTCACGTTTGGTCGACCTGTACTGCCTGGAGAAGACTCTCCGTATGCTTTCTGATATTCAGAATAATTTGGTCTGCTTCCTTTTTCTTCAACGGCCACCGTAATTGCTGAACAACTCTTCTAGTTTTCGAGGCATCCTGCAAACTCAGGCGGGAGTTCAGACTTTCCAACTCTTTCTGGCACAAGTCGAAAACTCCGTTATACCACGGAGCCTTTAACATCGGCAGCACGCTCCCCGTCGCTGCTTCATCCTTGTCTGCTTCTTGCTCTAACAATGCCAATCGTTCCAGGACGGCCTGGAGATCTCCTATCTCCTGGTCTATTCTTGATGCTTCTACCTCTGAGGCATTGTAGGACCTAACCGCGCTAATGGCCGTAGTAGTCGCTTTTAACAATGTGATGAGGGCTGCAGCGAAACCCACAAATTCCATGACGAATGTATTGTATTGTTCAACACTCTCGAAGCATTCCCCAATCCACTTCAACGTGAAAATATCACTGACGATATGCGATGGTTGCTGCTAACATGAATTATTAGGTTTATGAATTTCAAATCCTATTGTGATCTGTCGTGTTGGAGTTTATATGAGCAACTCCTGATAGGAACGGTTGAGGCAACGAGAGCGATCCAAGAACGGATAGGGATATAAGAGGCGCAGTTGACCCATGCCCTCCCCGATTCAACTCCGATATGGTCTACCATCGTGGCGGGCATTGAATGGTCAACATACTTCAGGCTGATGAACGTCCTGGACATGATGCTGGGAGCCAATTGGGAGTGCGGGGACCGAATGTAATTATCACGCATTGGAAGACAAGCAGGAGGGGGAGAGGGAGGGGGGAAGGGGGAAGGGGGGAAGGGGAACAAGGCTGCCGGGCATTGATTTTGTCTGGGCACATTCTGCTGTGGTCAGGATGCAGAATAAACAAATTACTCGACATATATTCGCTCTAATTCCTCATTCCCTCGGATGCCTTGAACCCAAAAAAGACGCGTGCACGATCGATGTTCCCCCCACAGACTGGTCCACCGACGCTCAACTCCATTACCCTCGTTTGAGTTCGAAGGCAGCGGGATGTGTCACTACGCTGTGGCAGTTTTTTCCTGCGGCCATCAAGGACAGCAGTATCTTCGTATATGCAATGAAGGGACATTGTTGGTAGAGAGGAGTTCACCTCGACAATGCCCGGCGGACAAACTCCCAAAGGAGACAAAAAGAGATTTCCAGGGCCATGTTTGTCCCGACTGCTCTGCTAAGCTATCTCGAGCATCCACACCATCTTCTGTCGACGAGGTTTGTTCCCAGCCTCCTAAGTAAGCAGCGTTCGTGAAGTTGGGCTGATTAGCATTTGATTCATCCAGTCAGAGGCCGAGCTTCAACGTGGCTCTGAACGGCGCCGAGGAGGAAAAGCCCAAACCTGACAACCCCGGCCTGCTGACAAGAGATGCGGAAACAAGAACGATAACTACTACTCAATCCCTGTTGTTGTTTGTTGCCAAATGGTCCTCCTTGTCTCAACGGACGAAAATGTCAATTCGTTGGGGTTCACATGTTTTTCCTATTATTGCGCGAGGGGTTTTTTTTTTTTTTTTTTTTTTTTTTTTTTTTTTTTTTTTTTTTCGTTTGTTTGTTTGTTTGTTTTTCTGGGAAACATTTATTATTATTAGCATGAACATGAGCAGAATCTGCTCAGACAGCGCGTGTCTGTCAGCGCATATACTTACTACTAGGACTGTTCGGGACTTTTAGTAAGTTAGAACACGGGTTACAATTTCCTAGGGTTGAATTTCAGCGGAGTTGGGATAGGATTTTGGATAATTTTTTTTCTTCTTTCTTCTTCTTTCTTTGCATTATTTTTTCTTCCCCCGCAATGTTTGTTTGTATGCAAGTGCTCCGCTGTCACCCGCCACCACACCCACCACACCACACCACACCACGGAAGCCTTTAACCACATTTAACCACATTTGGGTCCAACCAAGGCTGCGGAACCGATCACTTCAAGCGCTTAACCATGAGATCAAAAAGTTCGTAAGATAGAGCTGGCTGCCTGCAATGCATGCCGCCCCCCGGCATCCGTGATCAATCCTCATCCATCGGCGAACGAAGCACAATTAGCGTATTAAATACACGAAAACTACTAGATAATGCTATCTTGGAATGTGTCTAGTTATTTGACCTATAGTTATAAGTTAGTTAACTAACTTAGTTAACTAACTCTACTCCGTAATTAGGATTGAATGGAACTATTATTATTACGTAACTACACAGTACAGTACAGCACAATCTTGAAGCTCTATCTTTATTCTATCTTGCTCCCTTTCTTTTATACTAACACCAGGCACAAGCTTGAGTGAATGACAGAGAAATTCAATAATAATAATTAATGAATGAGGAAAGTTGGCAGTGAGAACATATACTGCGTAGAGGAGAAAACCCAGGATAGCTGTTATAGAGTTCAATGGTATTGTGTTAATTGTGCCTCGCGGCCCGATAATGATGGTTAGAATTCCACTAAAATATTAGGGGTGCCCTAACGAAAATACCGGGTGGTAAGTATCCAGCATACCAGCGTAAGGCTGCTAACGAGAAACAATGAATCACTTACTGCGTAGATGCTCAGGCTTATGGTATTCTATGAGGTTGCAGGGAAGCTAAGCCAGTCCAAGTCCTCTATTATTATTCTCGCATCCCGGAGCTCATCGGCGGCATCCGATAACCTTGAACCCTGTGAGGTTTCAGACATCACACCCGAACGAATGTCAAGCATCCTTACGGCGAAAACAACTTTCGTTGTCCTTTGCTCTGTTACCTCACCGTTACCTCACCGTCCCAGCGTAGAACCTATTATTTGACCATTTGTGTGGTTGGTGCAATAAGGAGCCAATGAGATGCCTCCAACTCAGCAGAAAAAGTACGCCTAAATAACCCCATACATAGTGTATGGCACCACGAGTCCTCAATGAATGCAAATCGCCATCAACATATAGTATAGCACCACGATCTCTCAGTGACTGGAGCTCTCATTTGTTCAAATCAAAAGTGTTTTTGTTCTTTGCCTCTTCGGGCCTTGTTGAGCTCTACGAAAAGCTCTGCGCTGTACAGATGATGCGCAAGGTGCACAAAGGTGGCAGTGTGCAAGGGCAGAGAGAGTGGGGGAAGTTCTAGCGCCTAATTTACACAAAAAGCAATCTTCTGTTCCGAGCTTCCTGCAGAATTCATGTAAAAACATTATATATACTCTGTACAGATTCATCTGTATAATAGTAGTGTTGATTAAAAATATCACTAAAATGTCACTTTTACAAAGATCATTACTCTGTACTGTGAAAAGTAGTTGCAGAATCTCTCTAATATATGAGCATCATGATGTTTTGCATTAAGTGTACATGTGATTCTCATAACTCCAGAGTCCAGATTCGATAAAACAGGGGTCTAAAGAAAATTCCTCCTTTTCAGACAGGGCTGTCTTTGCATACCTGTCTTCTTTATTTGTATTGCGGAAAATCGTGGTCAATGAAAAGAAAAAGCCAAAAACAGGCAAAAAGCAAAAAGGAAAACCCCTGTTAGTGGAGACTGACCATCCTTGCCCATCCCAGCCCCCCAGCCCCCCAGCCCCCGGCCCCTCTCCTGGCGCGAACTCTGGAATCCGTGAGAACCAGCATTCATTATTGGTGTCGCATTGAGTGGAGTGTTTGTCAACCAAAGCGATCTCGTTGGAACGCTCGACTGAACCCCGAACTGTGAACATAATTGGCTTGAATATAGACCGCCGACATTGGAAACTTGCCCTTGCTCAACCCTGGTACAAGACTGCGACTCTGCAGCCAGCCTGTACGCACCTACAATGTGTTTAAATTTTGAGTCCCTAGGAGAAGGCCTAACAACGCTAGGCGTACTGGCCCGGGTTGCTCAAGCACAAGGATCAGGCGATCGCGGCAAAACTCGACTCTCACTGTGCGGTCCTTTTTCTTACTTCTGGCTCTCTCTCCTCCACCTCTTTAGCGGCCTCTCCTCGCCCTCTTCACGGTCAAGTTAACCGGGAGAAGGAAAATTGGTTTTTATCTGCATCAACTAGGAATTCCCTTCCGTGGAAGACGATGGCCGTTTCCCAAATCAGGGAGTTCCCAGACGGCTTCTTCGGAGACTGCGACGTGCGCATTCTACTGAGATTCAATTCCAGCCATATTCCTGGAAAGCCAGGCAGGAGACACATAGAACTCATCACCACGTTCTTTGAGCAAAAAGTTGGACGACGATATAGCGATGACCATGATTATGTCCATCTACCAAGCGCAATCTTTGAACATAATGTCAAGTGTTGGATGGTCATAGACTTATCGGTTAAGCGACGGAAAACTTTGGACAATGTGCCTTTATTTTGCTACCGAGTGCGGACAAGTAATGACGGAGCATCCGTGTATGTATCTACCTATCCTATGTTAAATTTCGAGAATGCTTCCCCCTAATTTTTGCAGCCAGTTTTTCCGCGTCAACTTTACCAATGCCAGGCATTACTCCAACATTTTCCCCTGGGGACGTTTCCTAGGTATGTGTATCCTTTTCTTGCAGCAGTGTTCATGTATAAAGATTCAGTTAACAAAAGAAATAGGTTCTGATACATCTGATGACTCCGGAGAGGATGAGGAGAAAGGCGGATCAGCTACTCCTGAGTCATCTGATCTGGATCATCCTGGGGGAGCTCTTGAGGTGGCCCAGCCAACCAACAGAACAGATGTTGACAAAGGCTTATCAACCGCTCCTCAATCAACTGATCCAGATCACCCTGTGGGAATGCAGAAGGTGGACACTGAACCAGATGCTGAGAAAGTCTTGCCAGTGGCTCCTCAGCCCACTGATCCGAATCATCCTGTGGAAGCGCCTGAGGTGACTTCTCCAACCACCGGAACAGATGTTGAGGAGAGCCTTCAACCGACTCAGGGAGTCGGCCACGATGAATCCGCTAAGGAGCTTGAGTCAACTGCACCAGCCGATGTGGACGAGCCTATTGCAGAGCTTGAACCAACCCAAGCAGCCGATGAGGTAACGCATACTAATCAGCTGGAACCGAGTAATACGGCCCATACAAACGATCCGAACGCTATGAGCGAGAAGGAACAGGGCAATGAATCAAAAGACAACGATTCGCGAAAGGGTACGGGGTCTTTAGAGACAAAAGAGGTTCACCCAGTTGATCCCTTTATATCTACTTGGGAAGTTCAGCAGTGGGTAGCAGTTGCGCCACTGAGCCCTATCGACAGATCTCAAGAACAATCGAATAATCAGTCCGCGGATTCGAAAACTTCTACCCCTCAAGCAGCAAAAACCCAGCCCCAGTATCCGTGTGAGAAACCTTCACAACAACCCATAACACCAGGAAAGGAAGCGTCGACCGCTGCATATCATTCCACCCCGAAAAAATTCAAACCAGGGCTGTGGTCACGGTTTTGGAAAGGTGTTAGTCGCCTCTATCATTCCATCTGATATTTCCTGCGCAAGGGATTTTCAAGGCACCAGCTTGATTACGCGAAGCTTATAGTAGGTCCGAGCTGCTGAGTGCAGCAGAGAAATCGCCCTCCAAGACGAAAATATACATTCGCTACAACTTCAAGACATCCCACAGCCTGTCTTTCATTACTCCTACGACACAGAGAGGTCGTCTATTTTCGATTGCGCGCGCGGAAACGCCAAGCTCTTCTCCAATTAAAACCTTTTTTTTTCTTTTTTTTTTCTTTTTTTCTTTTGGAGGCGTTGCCGAGCAGTCAAATCGGGGCAATTCGAATCAATTCGGAATCCTTTGAATCTCATTCAATTCAAGTAATATATCATTCTGTAGTAAATTTAATAGAGAATTCAAAATATGAAATTGGAAATTCTTAAAAAATACTTTTGAAGAGAGATAAATGAATTCGAAAATAAATATTTATAATTAATTATAAAAAATAAGAAATTCATTAACTTAGCTAGAATTAAATAATATTATATTTAAAAATATATATTATTCTATAAAGAATTTAATAGAGAATTTTGAATTTAGAAGTTATTTTCTTGAATTGTTGGCATTACAATGAAATAAGGAAAATTTTTGTTACTTCTTGATGTTGTTATAGTTTGATTGTTCAATTCATATATGCAATGATGTCCACTCTATCTATTGAAGCAATGCAGCTAAGACCAAACAAATCAGTGTGTCAAGTTACCTCTCCGGTAATTTTATACTAACTTGTTTTGTTAGCTGCTCAAATATGACGCCAAGTATAATGATAAAGATACTCAGCAAACCTGCAGTAAAAACCTGTTTGCATTAATTAGCTCTACATTGCACCTAAAGTTGGCAGTTTTATGATTCCATCCCATCATACACCACATATTTCATCTCCCATTCACACTAGCCAGGTATTTCTGGATTTCGCCACTTGCTCACTGAGTGTGCCTCACAAATGCAGGAATAATCAAAGCAAGGCGCTATAACTGTGTCCTGCATGCATAAGTACCCAATTACTGTAGAATTGTATGTAGTGCCGAGAGGTCTTGATCCGGTTGCTTCATGTTGATTTTGAGTTCGTGGAAGTTGTCGTCATGCGAATATCATAAATTGGTGGGATGAGGCTCTGAAGAAAGTCTGAGAAAAACTTGGTAAGTTATGATATGGACCGGGCCGAGAATTAGAGTTAAGGTTCTTCCTGGACCGAGATTCTCGAGTTCCGTCGAATCGGACAATAATGTACGGAGTACTAGAGGGATCCTGCAAGCACCTTTCGTAGTAATGGCCTTCCTAGTATGCGCATGTAATTAGTGCCGTACAGCCTTCCTTATTCAGTTAGTTATAATAATTGGCGCTTCATCATCAAGTTAGCCTCATATCTCATATTGTTGTAAGGCAGATTGATCATCAACTCCACCTAGGCCTTTCTCTATCCTATCCATGTTATCTATCCCTCTGATTTGCATTCACACCATACCATCACCATTATTGCCATCAAGCTCTTATATTTTCAAGATTGAAATCAAAATGGGTGTATGGAACAGGTGGCTGATATCAATATGAAAGACCTCACTTTTTATTATTATTATTGGAGTTCAAAATAACTGTACAAGCGGCGGCAGTGGCAGTGGCAGCTGCAGCTGCTTATTACAGTGACGGATTATTATTATATCCATTACCCGGCATACAAGAGGTTTTCAATTAGATGAATACAATATTTACAAGGCCTATGCCACAGCAGCGCCGAATCGTGGCATCTACGTGCGTACTAAATATTTGTACAGTCGTCCAATAAAAGAGTACTGGCGGCTTGGCGCCGAGATTGTAAATATCAACCTCGTCCTCTATTAAAAATACAATTTTACAGTATTATAAAGTAGATAAAATTCAAAATTTAAAAATATAAAAAATTAAATAGAGAGTGAAATGAATATCTCTCTATATAGAGAATAAAATACTGTTAATTATAAGTAGAGAGTTTAGAGAACTAATTAAATCTCTTTTTCAAGCTGCTTTTATTCTTTTTTTTACATTTTTCATAAAAGATAATAGTGAATATAATAGAATAGAATAGTTTCAAAGTCTGAGTAATAACTAGAAATGAATATTCTCATTTATAAATATTTAAAATAGTATTGATAACATTAATAGCTGAAGAGTGCTCTTTACGCAATAGCTTCAGTTTGAGAGACATTTTTTGGCTCATAGAGTGAAGATTGAATGATTGAGATATCAGGGAAGAAGCAGGGTATAATGATATATGCTCAGCACTGAGCCGCTAGTACACTCATATATTGGACACAACTGTACTTCACTCAGGTACTCCGCAACGCACGATCAAATGGGATCAGCAAAGACTTCATGTACTAGCTTGAGTCTTTTGAAAACCTGCTTCTTCCTTCACTTGAAGATTTGTTTGATTTGCTTCCTGATCCGTTTGTGGTAGTTTCCGCATGAACATTCAGAAACCGAGGGGCAACCAGGGCCTATACCCATATCACAACACCTCCATTGATATTGGCTGCTGATGCACTGTGAACGGCCGGGCCTGTGCTGTATTGAGGCATCTCTTGATGGTTTCTCAGTACTATTTTCTTTCGTGTGTATATTTACTGAACACAGCCGGTGTGTGTATCTCTTTGATATTGCATGAAGTTAGCCCGGAACGAACACGGAAACAATACTAACACTCCACTAGAACGAACTTCTTGAATACCCTCCATTGATCTAGCGTATTGCCATTTCCGCCATCAGGCCGGCCACAGTTATATGTCCCCTAAACTCCATCATCTTGAGCATGCCAAAAATTTGCCGGCGTCCTTCAGAACCTAGGCACGACCCTACCCCAAGTGAATTCCTGATAGAGAAAGGAGAAGAGGGCTTTTGTCAAACACACTCCACAACCAGTACAACGGTAGATGTAATCATTTATAAACCTACTATTAGGTGCAAGCTGTGCCTCACAACCCCCTCCAAGTCGACAAAGTTGCCGTATGGGTTGATTTCGTTCCGAACCAAATTTAGATGGGCTTAGTGAGACTCGTGCTAGCGGTGTCGAAGGACGTTCCTGCTTCTTGCTCTGATGGAGAGATTGCTCCCAAGTCTTACTTCCTTTGAGTAGAATGGAGGACTCAATTAATATCATTCTATCTAATTCAACAAGGCTCCTGGAGCCTGTTTCAATGACAAGTCCGCCAGATTGTTCTATATGGGGTGTACTCCTCAAAGACTGCAAAGCAAACGCTGATGAAATGTGGATACGGACAGGGTGAAGGGCGACTACTCTCTTTGTAAACTGCTAAGTTTTAGTTTTTTCAAGCCTTGAGTAGTGAAAATCGGCATTGTTTCAAACCTCTTTGCATGGCTTTGGCTCAATCATTATTGGAAAGTTCTTTTTGATGTAATGGCCGTATATTTCATTTTCCAAGGCCATACGTGTGCAGCTACTGCAGAAAATGAAGCCACTACGGCCTCACCGACTCTATTTTTAATGCTGATTCTGTCAACGGCAATGGCTGTTGAAGTAACGAGCAGGCATTCTGGTTCACTCTGAGGCAAAGATTGACTGATATAATTGATGAGAACTCAATTGAGAGTAATTTTGCACCTCTATTAAACAAGCAAGTGAGTGGTTTGATCTATAAGAGCAGCTGGACAAGCAGTGCATCAGTATCAATATCGCAGTTGCCATTCTGTGGGCTGGTGGATATCTTTTAGCGGTGAACTGCGTAAAGAGAATTGGCCCATATCACATTGAATGACCTCGGTTGACTGCAGAGGACATAGCATCCTGGGTGGACGGTGACAGGAATTCATTTGGCTTTCTTGGCTGGGAGTCCGCAGGAATACAGACCGAGAGGACACTCGTATGCAACCTCGCAGGGTAGCTTTTGCCGGGGGCGATGGCGTCAAGCAATCTATTTGTCCATTGCAATCCAAACAGACGAGGAAATCAAATACATCCTGTCACAACCAATTCGCGGACTATTGTCCAATTTCAGAATTGTATCCACACTGTCAAATCATCATCCAAGGTGTCACCATTGAACACCCTCATGAGCAAATTGTCGTTACACAATGCTCCTAGAACATCCAACCAGTGGTCGCGGTGCAGCACCTGGGCCAAGTCCTGTATAAACATAGAAGGAGCATGATCGCAAGGTTTCATTTGCCTGGCATCCAGTACTGACGGGCGGTGAAAGGTGTTTTCAAAACCTGCTGCATTGAACAAACCTGCGTCCTTCACCTGAACTAGTCTGGTTTGGATATTTTATACTAGTGAATTGTATTAGCAATCAATGTATGAAAAAGTGACCCATCAGTGGAGGGCTGTAGGCCTTGGACAGTCTCTATACCCAGGTCAGTCTCTATACTCAAGGGGGCTCTATATACCCAGGAGGACTCTATTCTCAGGGGATCTCTATACCTGGGGGGCTCTATACCTGCGGCCCTCTATGATACGCTGCAGTCTGAAAGCCAAGACTGAGCTTCCCCTTTCTACTCACGACGACGACAATCGACCAACATCGCGAGCATGTTGAAATGGCAAAGGCCAGCCCATTCTAATATTGTTTTTTTTTTTCAGGCTCTTGGGAGACGAGACTGTGTCTGTGTCTGTATCTTCGTCGTTTGTGCTGCGGAGACCCCGGCTGGATCTGAGTTTGACCAAACCAATGTTTTCAGGGGAACCAATCAGTTTCCAGCTTTGCCGCCAGCCAAAAGCGTTCTCGGACATGCATACACGACACGGGCGGTGTGGGACATCTTTATGCTTTCTACTCCGTACATCCCATCCCGTCCGTGAAGAAACAGAAAAATGGAAGAAGATCGAGTGAGTCTCGCTTGCTTGGAGAGCTGCTCTCTCTCTCATGTTCACTTGCCCATTGTTGCCGCCAATTATGGAACAAATAATCCGACATTGCTTCTTTGACGGGAGGCACAATGCTAGAGAAAAGAATGAATGATATTACGGCTTCATGGGTTCTGCAACCCTAACAGCCCTCTCCGTTTGTCGATGGCCGCTTGTCAATCCGAGCCTGCATCTCAGTCACTAAAACTCCAAGTCTAACCACCGTCTACCTACCCCAAATCAGCCAGATGGGCATGTGGATTCTCTTCGTATTTGAATGCACTATGGTGAAACCATTAAGGATCGCTAATAATACCTGCCAAATCCATTTAGAACCCCAATGCGTGTCTGCTTGTTGGGAACACTAGTCAACTTCTAGCATGCCTCTGGGATCTGCATATCGTACCTGGAAGCACGCAAATACGATATCAGCTTCGGGGGAGCGATAGCTCTTCTCACCTCTCCCCTATAACCGTTAGCCCCATTCGGCTTTCTCTTTTGTCCTCCCATCTTACCCTTGCACTGCTCGTATTGCCAGTGGTACTGCCTCTCTGCGTGGGAACTTGTTAACAAAGATCGGATATCATGGGAAACGCGGAAGCGATCAGTAGAGACTCCCAAAATTGCGAATATATAAATGATCAGGCCTTCTCTCATGAACCATGGACGGCGAGCATCATCCACAGACTCCTCCAACACATAGGGCACCTTGAGCATTATTTCTCCAGTTTTTGCAGAATATACCAAGGAATATGACAAACTCCTCCCCCTCCGTCTGGCAGATTTCATGTCGGAATCTGGCCTGGCCAAAAGAGAGATGACTTGACTCAATTGGACCCCAGAGCGATAGAGACAATTATATAAGGAAGTAGAGTACAAGTACGTGTGTAGCCCTCGTTGAAATATCAAGGCTAATGTTGGATTAGATGTCACTTCCTTCGCAATGGCAAACATGACATTGTACACAGAGGCCGGCGAACTCATAATCTCACTTGAGCGCTTCAGGCCTATGTTGAAGTCACTTCAGTGCGGAAGCAAATGATGTTAACCTTCACTTCAAAAGCGAATTTCGAGTACGCCATCCGCGCATGGAAATGGGTAAACGAGGATGAGACCCATAAATTCATCATGATCGCGGATGATCCAAGCTGTGGTCGTCTTGGTGAGCGAGTCCCCTACTTGATTCACAATGCGGACTACGATGAGAATAATTTCATTGCCTATCTTTATGGCGAAGAGAAAAAATGGGAAGAAGTAGCTCATACTTTTGACCTCGAGTATGGCAGCGCCGAATTGCCCGACTCCTCTCAATCGCTTCACAAACGCCTGGGGATTTTCGAAGAAGGTTAATCTCCCGATCAAAAAGCGCTTCAACAGCAGCATTTTATTAATATAAAAGATCCAATCAGATCTATGAGACTAGACTGCTTTGACTGTGGCACATCTGGTCGCTTTCGAGCCCAGATGAAAATCGAAGTCAAGTGGCTGAAGCCACAGGAGGTTCCCCTGACTATTTCGCCGGACAAGGTTCGAGGAGATCTAGGACTTAAACTCACCACCAAGAGACAAAATCCCCGGTAGATTCTCCTTGAGTCAGTCGAAAAAGCTATAACTATTCCTATCTGGGGCACCAGTATTAAAGGAATAGGTGAAGTTGGTTTTATATTAAAGCTTTCATTGGGTATTTCAACACGTAACAAGAACTCCGCCATAGCTAACTTGCAAAAGTTTATGACCAAAAATTCTCCGGCTGGGCACCCACCTTCTTGGCGAAGCCATTTTCGCTGGACTCAAAGTACAAGGGTAGTGCCAATGTGTACCTGCAGAACATTGGGCCGTCCTTTAAAATTTTCAAAAACGGAGTGGAGGCCATTCCTCCGGCTAAATTACCCCTGTTTGAGACTACAGTCGATTCGTACAATAGTAAAGGCTCCACATGCGCAAAGAGGAATAAACAAGGCATCAGTATCGACACTTATTATTATTAATGCTGGTGGAGCTCTTACAATCCGTGCCGGGACAAGTGGGGATACTGTGATTACTGCAGATTTGAACGACGTACCTCTTGTTAATTTCAAGACGGGGATAGACATGGACGAGGCCCAGGAGTTGGAGGGAGGAGGCATTCCACGTCTGCCAACGCCAGAGCTAGGGGATAAACCGAAGCCGAAGCAAAGCCAAAGCCAAAACCAAAACCCAAGCCGAAGCCCACGAAAAGTGGCCGCGGATGGTGCCCGATATAGATCGTGTCCCAATACTACCAAAAAGTGCATTGCGCACGGCCAGTACCCAATTGGAACAAAGGTATACATAAGCTGCAAAGGCAAGGGAAAAAGTATCCATGGCTATGAGTATGAATCCGTCGCCTCGCAGCCCCCTCTCAGAGTCCCTATTTTCTATTCTTCATCATTCCTGCCTTCTTTATATTTACGTATCCGTCAAAACACTTTCGGAACACGAGGCTGATCTGGCCATTCTTCTACAGCTGGTGGGACAAAACAAAGCAGAAAAATCATGCAGAGGTAAGGAAGACTCCGTCTCTATTCATATTTCCCTACTTGACCTAACGGGCGAAACTCTAGATAAACTCCCTACTTGTTGAATGGAGTCATATCTTATAGGTTTCCTTTCCTTCTAAGCCGTCCAAACGGGGGGGAATGGTTATTTGGATAAGATGATCGCGCACTAAATGTGTACGTGAGGAGGGTGTCAGTTCTGCACATACCAAGCCAATTCCACAATGCTGTCCTTTTTTGTGTTTTCTTATTGAGTACATGTTATGTATTTACCTTCTTTTCACTCCTTAAAACTACTTCTTGCCTACGAATGGGTTGAATAATATTACCCCCCTCTTTTTTATTTTTATTTTTTATTTTTTATTTTTATTTTATTTTTATTTTTTATATTTTTTCACTTGAGAGCGTAGTGGCTATCTATTCAAATGGTGATGATCAAAATCCAATAGTGAAGATTGGTGAGATCTAGTCATACAAACTAATACATTTGCTTAAAGTAGATTTTCAGAGGGTGACTCGCATGAAGGAAAGGGGGAAAATCAAATGGATGAATTCGGCTGAAAAGGTGAATCACAAGCATTGAGAGCAAGTGCACAACCAACTCTCCAAGGGTATCATATATCATATCCATTGAGCGCAACATAGAGACATAAATTAAAAAAGTGAATAACACAAGCCTGTGCCTTTACTTGAGTGTATTAAAAAGGGGGATCAAAACCTGTCAAACCAAATCACAGAAAGCCATTCATTCCTCAGCATGCCGCATACCCAACATCACCAAACGACAGCACAAATTCTAAATATTCTTCCTCCCCTTCTTCAGCCTCCCAATGGGCATGTCCCCCCTGCGCCACAAACGAAATATGCCCTACCTGTTCCTCAGACCGTACATCACCCAGCATCACCCTGACATCCCTCAGCTGGCGCGTTCGCACCAGCGCATCCTGGAACGAGCCCGCAGACACCGGCGCGTGTGGGTTATCCCGCGTGTATGACGAGACAAAGCCTAGGATATCTGGCGCGAGCGTGATGCGCTTTAGCACGACGCTGGCCAGCGCTAGGATCTGTAGCACGAGGGAAGATGATGAGGAACAAGGCGAGCCAGGAGCGGTCGCACTTGTACACCTCGCCAACATATCTGAAGCCGCAGGCTTCCACGGGCACGAAGCAATACAGCGGTAGGGCCTCGGTTGAGCAATCGCCCATTGCTTCGTACGTGGCCGGATCCTTGGGCAGCGGGGTGCCGCGGTAGATGGTTGCAAAGCTGGCTGGCCAGGAGGAGTTGAGGCCTACTTCCATGCGTGCGGAGAGGACTTTTGGATCCAGTTTCCACAGGTCCATGTCGATGCGGCCGCCGCGGAGGAGGGAGGTGTCGTTCACCCAGCGCTCGGTGAGTGTGGCGGAGTAGAGGTAGTTGGTCGATGTGTCGCGGTCGGTTGCCGTGGGGAGGAAATAGAAGGTGAAATTTATGTAGTGAGTTAGGGACTTGTAATTTTCGACTCGCTGTGAGGGGCGCATGGCTTGTACGCGGCAGGATTCAGATTGGCATTCGACTCGAGAGTCGACTGAGAGGTTGCCGAGGGTGCAGTTTGCCAGTTCCCAGGTGTGATTGCAGCCATGCTGGGTTCTAGATCCGAACCCGAACATGAATTTGGCGCAGGAGGATATGTCGCCGCCAACCCCATCGGTCATTGCTGGGAATTCATCAACAAGATAAGTGAGCATAGAGTGTCCGGGTCCGCTGCTCGCGCTAACCATATTATATGACAGTGTAGCGAGATCTTCTTTTTCCGCGAGGATGTTGTTCAAACACTGGACATCAAAGTGATGTGATGTTCGGTGAACGTCACGTTCCTTCAGCCACGGGCCTTCCGACAGGAAGACCTGGAGAGAGGTAAATTGTACAGCAGAATTCCAGTCTACCATGCGCCAATCGCTGTCGTTCTCACCCGGCTTCAACGAACTTATATCCGGAATTTTGACATTACCCCAAAGGCCCATGCCGGTTCCCGCAATGGTTTCAGAGGCCATCAACGATGATGTGTAGAGGGATGCTACTAGATCTCCCCCGGTTTGTATGGAACTAGTCCCAATCAGCGAGGTATCATGGATTGAAAGGGGAGATATATACCAGTTGGTAGCATTATAGGCTATTTGCCTTTTGTCAGCATAAAGTCAAGATGCAGGAACAAAATGTGAAGCATGTCGTACCCCAAGCCTTATTACTCTCTCCGCCCTAAAGGTGCCATATATTCGAAAGAAGTAGCCGACCAGAGCTGCGAAAATAATCGGGAAAATCGTGGGAGTCAACGTCGTGGCCAATATGATTCGATCACCACGCTTGCTCCTCGTGTCCCCGTCTATCGAAGCCGCTTAGATTGCAATGACTATTTCTCATTGTCAGACCAAAAGATCGGGGACAGGTAAAGATTGGAAGGAATAAGAGAACAAATGATGGATGAACAATTAAAAATAAATAAAATAAAAATGGACATCTTATGATCTGTGGCATCATCAGACCTCAGAATCATTTAAAACAGTACGACCCCGGTGAAAGCTCCAGGGAGAATGGCCAAACAAAAATCCCATATCGCACTCATAACCACAGAGCTCGGCGTTTTACTGAGTGCCACGGCATTCTGGGTCGATACCGGATTCGTTCCATCCAGCAAGGGGTTAAAAGACGTTCGCGAGCCATGCTCTATGTTCAGGCGTGTATTAATTGCTGATAGCTGAGGGCTGCTGTCTCCGGGCGTTGGAGGCAAGCTGGAGTCGGAAAGATAGATGTCTATATGATGACATTTCGGATTCACCACCGTTGACGGTTCTTCAGGGCCTCCCTTTGGACCCGCCAGCCCTAGAGACTACAGGTTGGTTGTCGGGGCCAGGAGTTACCCGCTGCTGATGTGAAGGACGAAACAACACTTTTGTTATTGTGTCATGGAACAAACCCCGAGGTGCAACATGCTTGCTGGCTTTAAGATTGAAAATAGGGGTAAAGAGCGGAACCCATTCGCTGCTTAGCAAGTTCGCAGGCGTAGTTAATAGTAATCATAACAACGAAGGGTTTGAATAGAAAAGATTTCTGTCAAGGTCGGGTCTGAGAAAGAGCTGCATCCTTGGTTTACTTACGCAGCGCCAAAAAATTAGTCGCGTTTGCTGTCTTGCTTTGGAGGGAACAAAATGTCTACTAAATCCTTTCTTCATCTTGGCTATGTCTTTTTATTCTATCATTATCATTGTATTGTACATTGTACGGTTCAATTTCTTCTTCTTCTTTTAGTTACATATATATATTATTATTATTATTATTATTATTATTATTATTGGAACGGGGGGAATATGGCTACATGCTGGCCAAGTGTGGATGAGATTCTCAATACAGTTGGTATTCTTGGTGAGATAGTTATCGACAAGTGCTGGCTGGAGAGGTGTATTTATCGCATGGCATTGCTGAGAGAAGATGGGCAAACCCCTTTCTCTAGTTGTAGAGATGGGAGGAGTGCAAAAAAACCGGCGAAGAGATGTGGAAACATTTGACTCTATCATTCATATGCAGGACAATAAATAATAAGAAGAATAGAAATAGTCGTAGTAACAAAAACAAGCTGTCCTTCGCTGGAATATCTGAACAATAAAAATCCGAAATTAACAATCAACAATCAATATATATACTTCTAAAAATCAAAACCAAAAGCCCTGAACTCAAGACAATGTTAACAAGGCACGTAAACGCAAAACGCCTGACATCCCTACAACCTATCCTCTTTCTTCCTACTCCAAAAACCCTGCACATACCTAAACCAAATACAGGCGAGAACCTAGAAGTCGCCCCGTCACCTGCCACGTAGCCGTCATACAGAAATGTAGGAGCAGCCAAAACCAAAAATAAGCGATACAAACAACTCAAAACTGCCGTTATCTATGAGGTTGCAAACGTCCACCCGCCATTCCTCTTCAGGCGTTCCCTCTCCGCTAGATCCCATTTGATCTCATCCTGCGTCAACCCGTCTGGCCCACCCCAATTGGCACTACTAGTCCGATCGCGGAATCGCTTAAACCGGTCTTTGTTATCCTTGAAGATCTCCTCCATGTGCAACGGCGCAGTGGGGCCGAATACCTGCTCCCCATCTTTGCCTTCCTGGCTAATGAGGATGTTGTTTAGGTTTTCGGGTTTGGCCCAGTCGGGAACGTTGTACGGCTCTGCGTCGGAGTCCTCATCTTCGCTGTCCGTGAGGATTTCGGGAAGTTTTATGCTATCACCGTTAGGGTAAGCCGGGGAGGATTTGAGGATTTTCTGTGGGCCGTGTGCAGGCGTTTTGTGAGTGGTAGCGTGGGGTGGGTTTGAGTTGTCAGCGAAGGGGATTTTGCCGCTGGCAAATTTAGACATTTCCAGCGGGTGGCCGTTCCGATGCGGCTGTGATTGCACGGGAGCTGAAGGCTGGAAATGGCGGGGAGCTGTAGGGTTCTTGAAAAGTGACGGGCCAGCCTGGTGGTGGGGTGGAGGTGGCATCGTTGAATAACCCTGGTTGTACATTTGCTGTTTAGGAGCCTCCTGTTTGATGTTAGCATACTTCAACAATTTTGCGAGAAGACAAAGATGTACCTTGCGAACGTTGGACTGGCGGATTGGAGGTGCCATCGCTGATCGAATTGGTGGCTCAGAGGCGGCAATCTCATCATCTGTCTTTCGCCGTTTGCCGTCTGCTTGGTGCACAGCTGCTCCTACTTTCCCAGTAACCGGACGCCCTGAGCTTTCATCCTCCAGAGCTCTCTTCGGAGGTTTGGCCGGATTTGGTGGTGGATAATTTACCGGACGAACTTGCCCCTGTATACTATGCAGTCTCGAAGGTCTGGTGGATGGTAAGTCGTTTCGCTGAGATCCTTGTAACACAGCCTTCTCTTGTTGAAGAATAGAGCCCTTGAAAATCCGCACAAGTTAGGGAGTGGTGTAATCTGGAAACAATAAGGAGGCAAAAAACCTACCAGGTCATTCACAGGCGTTGGCTGCTGGTTACGTTGCTGCTCTAATTTTCTTGCATTTTCCAATCGTCTCTTTTCGATGGCTTGCTTGTGGGCAAGTTTCTTGGGGTCGTCTACTACCGACCGCTCCCGTTCTCGTCGTTCGGCCTCAGCACGGCTAGCTTGCTCTTGTCGACGTGCCTCTTCTTGTCGGCGCACTTCTTCCTGCTGAGCTGCTCGCTTCCGTTGGGCTTCACGCTGCTCCTGAAACTTCCAGTTAGCGTAAACCGTGGACTACAAAATTTACAAGCGGCATACCTCTCTTTTCTTCTCGGCGGCCTGCACGGCCTTTGATTTCGAACTCGTGGCAGAGGTGGCGCTCTTGAAACTACTAGTAGACGAATTCGTCTGCATTGATAATTTACTTCCTTTTTTATTTACACCTGGTGCAGGTGCCTTTGGCGCTGGAGTCGGGTTCGGGGTAGGCTCCTGAATACTCGAAGAGAGGGACGAATTGGACAACGGGATACGCTGTGAAAGAGTTCCAACCCGAATAGACACGGGTTGGGGCTTTGGTTTCTGGATGTCTCTCGTAGGTCTAACAGGACGACGGCTGTCATTCTGCTTGGATTGATGGTGAGGTTTCGCAGGAACAGCAAATTTGTGCTCTATATCTCGGCTTTGTTCCGGTTCACGTACAGATTGTTGCGTTGGTGGTCTTCTGGGGTTAGGTCTTGTTGCAAGGGGATCTCGGGCCGGGGTTGTCCCTACTGATTTGGGAGGTGGACGGTGTTCTGGTGCGACATTAATAGTAGCTTGCTTTTGTATTTCCTGCTCTCTGGATTTTCGCAATTGTTCTTCCATGCGCTGCATCTCTTGTCGTTCTTTCTCTTTTCGCTTCTCTTCTCTCTCTGTCGAACTTCTGGTTCGTCGTCCTTCCTGTAATGGAGGGCTCTGAATGGCAGGAGGCTGAGGTTCTTGGGAAAACATTTCTTGTAGTTTTGGATAGAGACCGGTGTGGGAACGTGTGGTAGTAGGCGATGGCGACAGAGCCTCCTTTCTGGCAGCTGCAGATACACTGCCCGTACTTGTAAATAGTCCTTTGGCAGTTTTCATTATCGACTGTAGTCTGGATTTGGAGGCACTCAGAGGGCCATCATCCCTTCTTGGTGAAGAAACAGGAGTAACAATTTCACGGTCAGATGTGGTTCTCTGATGGCCTATGGTATTTGCTCTCGGGGACGTAATTATCGAGGTGGAGGCCGACTTCGCGTGAAAAGCAACGCCAAAAGGCTTGGCCGCAGGCGAACGCCTCTCTGGCGATCGACTATACATAATCCTTGACATACGGTCCTCTTGAGGTGCTAGCTGGCGGAGCTGCTGGGGAGATTCGGCAGTCATTTCTCTCACAGAATGGGACGACTGGAAATGTTGCGGCGACCTGGGTAGTGCTGTTCTGCTATCATAAGTTTGAGCCTCGATTGGGGATGGCCTCCGTGGTTCATCAGCAGCAGGCTCAACTTGCGACGACAGCTCAGGATATTGAACCTGGGAATTAACATTAGGTGCAGGGGCTGGGATTGACTTGGTACTCCGCGATGACTGAGACTTGCCAAGCATATTGATTTTCTCGTGGAGCAGCTGCGTTGAGGATTTGTTATAAGTAGTTGTACCCTTCATTGTAAGCTCGGATTCCTCGTGTAGAGGAGGAGGAGCGCGGTCTTCAGCAGTTTTCGTACTATCCTCAATATTTCCTTGTTCGGTGTGTTCTTCTGGCAAAATTTGTGTCATTCTTGCACCTCCAGTTTGGCGTCCATAATAACCACTCTGAATTGATTTGGATGAATCAATATGACTGATCCTCGACAATCTATGTCCTCCCATGCTTCGTTTTGTTATTGGCTCCCGAGCTGGAAGAGAAGCGAAGCTCAAGCTACTTTTACGGATAGGAGGGCGGTCAGGAGTTGATCCATCAGAAGGAGATCCGATGTCGTCGAAGTGATGATCGAGAGCAGCATCGTGTTCATGTGTTTCTACTTCCATCACGTTGGCTTTTTCAAGAGGTGTGGAATCAAGCCGTCCGGGTGCGTGAACTGGTTCTCGAGGTGATTCAAGATGCGCTGTGGTGGCGACTTGTTTAGGGGCGGCCATGGAAGTCGATTCATAAGGGTCAGTATCCATGGGCTCCACGGTGCTCTCCTTACTTGGCGCGATTTCTCTTGCGGAGTGGAAGGAAGCGTCCGTTGTGCGTCGGTCAACGGACGGGCTAAGATCATTACGATCGCCAGGGATGACAAGGGTCGAGTCTTCCAATGGCTGGGTAGCTGTTTCCACATATTCTTGCTCGGGCGCAGGTTCGTGTTCTGGCTTGCGTGCTGGCTCCGGCTCCAGTATCCGTTGGGTGTTTTGGTTTGACTTTGGCTCTCGCTCTGCTTCTGGTGCCTGCTCTGGTCCCTCCTCTGGTTCTGGCTCTTCTGGCACCGATTTTGATTCCGGCTCTGACTCCTTGTGCGGTTCCGAATATACTAGATCCATTTCATCATCCTCGTCGGGCATGCCATGGTATCCAGAGTCTGTATTGCAAGTGGGTTGTTTTGCTTGGTGGTATTGAACTGGGGACGAGTATTTCGGTTGCTCTTTCGGGGACGGTTTGGCAGCTAATTTCGTGATTTCCTGATGGAACCGGCTAGGCGGCGCAGGGCTGTTTCGGACATTCTGCTGTGAAGAGAATATGTCGCTCAACGGCTAGAAAGAGTTAACAGTCGCGTTTTATTATTTAACAAGAAAACCTCATAATCCGCGCATAAGGTTCATGCAATGGTGATACGGTGCACTTACAACCCGAGCCTCTCGTGGGGTCTTATGCTTCCTAGCTGTTCTTGGAGTCTTTCCCCGTAGCTTTCCTGGGGTCTTAAAGATCTCGGTTACGTTACTATTCGCATATATCAGCTCCTATTCCCATCATTCTTCAATGTACCCGCTATAGATCAACAAAACCGAGGAGGGGGCTGAGTGGTTGGTCGTACAATTGATTCCTGCTGAAGATCTCTGCCATATGCTCATTCAGCCAATCCATCTCATTCTGCGCAGGATACTCGATTTCATCCATCTCCTGATTGATCAGCTGTTGTATATTCTCCTTCTCAGCGGCGATCCAGGTTGAGGAGCCCACAGCTCTCTGCGCCCTCGTTGTGGCTCCGGAGGCCATTTTTTCGATGTAAACAACGCGACTTCAATGGCAGATGAGGGACGCGTCGCAGGAACAAATACGCAGATAAAAACGGGCTTCAACTAGGCGGGGGAGCCTCTCGCCAGTATCTTGCAGTCCGGCGCTAGATGCAGTGGCATTGGGGACACATTGGGTGGTTGGTGTGAAGTATTGTCGTTCTATCGATGGTTTGATATGGATCTTTCGACGTCGAGTTGTCGCCAAACAAGGAAGTTGCCCAAAACAGGACCGGATGACTAAACATGCTAACTCGTCTTGGAAGCCGCGAGATCACCTGCCTACGCTAGCCCTAATGCCAAGCCCTCCAGCCCTAACTCCGCTTTGGGTTCCTTCGGCCCGAGCTCCTAAAATCCGCATGTGTCGAGATGTTTTGAACAAGACATCACCCCGAGTTACAGCATCTAGCAAAGAACCCGCTATTTGCTTTGGAATTGGTAGATGTGGGACATGGAGAGCTCTTCCGCGCGCTGCTCGGCCATCCTCCAGTGCCCGCCTGTCCATGTAGCCTCCACCAAGCACAGCTGATTGCTACTTGATCTGGTATTTCGTCAGGCGGCGTGAGTGATGGGGACCATGCTGGTAGCCCGGCTCTCGGAACCTTCCCGAGTCAGAAGTTTATATCTAACTCTCCATGTATATTTCTATTTAATCGATTGAATTGCTACTTTTGTTGATACTTATAGGATCTTGTCACATCTTTTGCACTCTTCATCCTGCGCCTGTTGTACGGAATAGAATAGCTAGCCCACCACCCGAGAAGGCGACGGCAACCCCTACGCAGCCCACCAATTGGCTGACCTATTGGGATTTTTATTGATTATCTGTATTGACCTTGTCTTCTCTGCTCTTCTTCTAAGAACATATTGACTTCATCGACCACCATGGCCTCGCGCCTCCTCTGCCGCTCACTCTTGGGCTGCTCACGTCGCCAAGCCCCCACAAGGAGAACAGCCGCGGTACGGCAATGTCTACAAGAGCGATCATTCTCTGCCTCCCCGTCAAGTAGAATCATGGAACTCAGCTGCTTCTCGCAAAACCAACTAATGGTCCGAGATGCTATAGCGAAGATCTGCTCTAACTTTCCCGATGTGGGTGATTTTCTCGTCCTTACATATGGATTACAAAATGCAGGCACATGTACATGTTTTTCCTTGAAAGAAAAGCGCAAGCCCGATTGACATCAAATATTTGCAGGAATACTGGGCTGCGCGCGACGAATCAGGCGAATACCCTCATGAACTGCACGCGGCATTGGCCAAGGATGGCTGGATTGGAATTGCTCTTCCCGAGGAACTGGGCGGAGCTGGCCTTGGCATATCAGAAGCGACGATGATGTTACAGACGATTGCACAGTACGTTGACTTGCGATTTATTATTGAGCTCTTTGGCAAAAGGACAAAAATCAAAAGGGAGAAAAAACTCAGAAAAATGCCCTGACTGAATACTAATAGGAGCGGTGCCGGTCTCGCTGGTGCGCAATCGATTCACGCAAATGTTTACGCTACTCAGGTATTCATGACAGTGTCCAGACAATTGACTGGCCGGTAACGCTAAATATTAATTGCAAACATCTAGCCCGTTGCCAAGTTCGCGACAGAAGAGCAAAAACAGCGGATGTTGCCCAGGTTGATCGCCGGGGACTACAGAGTTTGTTTTGGAGTGTAAGACAGACAAGCCCCTTTGCCTGGTCATATACCTTCTAGGATTGCAACCTGACGAAGAAGTAAAATAAAACAGCACAGAACCAAATACGGGGCTTGAGACGCTGAAACTCCGCACGGAGGCGATTAGGGATGGTGACTCGTACAGGGTATCTGGACAAAAAATGTAAATCACCAGCAAAGTGCCATCAGGCACAAAACACCTTTCGCCAACATATTTAGCAAAGAAAAACGAAACTAACCCGGCCCCTTCAAGCTGGATATCTTCCGCCCAAGTCGCCAAGCGAATGGTCCTCCTCGCCCGCACCACGCCGCTTGAGGAAGTCAAGAAGCCATCCGAGGGCCTCTCGCTTTTCTTCATTGACTTCGACAAGGATGCGTCGGGCCTGGGCCTGCGCAGGATTAAGAAGATGGGCGGCCGCGCCGTTGACGCGAATGAGGTCTTCTTCGACAACTACCGCATCCCTGCGGATTCCCTCATCGGCGAAGAGGGCGACGGTTTTAAAATCGTACGTCCTTTACCCCCCTATTCAAAAAGAAAAAAGAAAAAAAGAGGGAGAGAGCAACATAAAAATGGAGTATGCGGTTCATACCGTTATATTAACCACCCCCAGGTCCTCCACGGCATGAACGCCGAACGCTGCCTCCTCGCGGGCGAAGCGCTGGGACTGGGTTACATCGCACTCGAAAAGGCCGCCAAATACGCCAAGGAGCGCGTCGTCTTCGGCCGGCCCATCGGGCAGAACCAAGGCATCGCCCACCCGCTCGCGGACGCCTATATGAATCTCGAAGCGGCGAAACTGGCCACGTACCATGCCGCGAGGCTGTACGATGCTAGCAAGACTGATAAGTCGATTACGCAGAAGGCGGTTGGAGTTGCGTGTAATTTGGCGAAGTATCTTGCGGCGGAGGCAGCGTTTACGGCGTGTGAGAGGGCGGTGAGTTTGGGATTGACCTATTCTTTTGCTTCCTTGGTTTGGATTTGCTCATTTGCTCACCTTTTTATGGTTACTAATATACTATTCTTTTTCTAGGTGCTCGCGCATGGTGGGATGGGTTATGCACAAGAGTATCATGTTGAGCGATATCTGAGGGAATGTTTCGTGCCGCGGATTGCGCCTGTCAGTCGAGTGAGTACTCTTTCTCTTCGACAATCAAATATTAATTGGGTATATTTAGGTTGTGAGGATTCGAGAGCTAACAGTATAATTAGGAGATGATTATGAACTATGTCAGTGAGAAGGTGCTGGACCTGCCTCGTAGTTACTAGATAATTTGAGGGATTTTTCCATTTTCTTCGTTGCCGGTTGAGAGTGACGACATAGCAGTGCAATAATGGGAATGGGGAAGGATTGTCATAGAGTTTTTTTTATCCCTGATTTTTCCCCCGTTTAAATTTCGTCTGGTTATATTTTCCCATACCAAGGTATCCATATTGCTCTATGATTGGATAGATGGAGTTGGAATAACCCTTTGCCACTGTTTATATAAATAGTATAACACTCATTGTTGGTTTGAAGATATATTTCATCATTGCTTTCATCATAGTTAACCTCTGAACAGCTCTACATAATCTGACCTGTGTATGTGGGTTAAAGGTAGAAGCTTTGATAGTTTTTATTGTGTAGTTATTTATTTGGCTAGTTATTTAACTGGTTAGTTAGTTATAGTTATTTATTTCATGTACATAAGTTAGCTAGTTTGCTGCAACTAGTTCACAAATATTCATATTGCTCTCACATGCTAGCTCTTTGGTTGTGTGCTGGCTGGCCCCTTTTGACCATATCTGGGGGGGGAATGAAATACACAGACAAATAATTATTATTATTGTCAAAAGATTGATCAGTTGTTTAAGTATTTTATTTATATTTTATAAATTTATTTAATGTATTTCCAATGCACTTATTAATCTGCAGAATTTAACTTGTAATATTTAATTGCCAACAGTGGTTCAGGCTAATCCAAATTATTTTTTATTATTTTTTTGTTTTGGTTTTGATTTTGATTTTTGATTTTTTTCCGGCTCAAACCTGAACCTGACCATTTCTTCGTGCTCTGACGTTAACTACTTTCCTTCATCCACAACCAAACCACAGCAACAAAAACAAACATCACCAACTACACTCAACTCAACTCAACTCAACTCAGCTACGTCCAGCTTCATACATCTGTCTCCAGCTGTCATCTCTTCTGCTTCTTCCATCGTTATCCCCATAGTCTCTGCTATCCATCTGCTATCTCATCCATCCAGTTCAGCTGCCTCTCGCCCTACTTGCTTCTACATCATCACACCACACACATGGCGAAGGAATCTACACAGCCGGGCGGAAGCCCTCATCTAGGTAAATCTGAATCCCCTGCGTATCCCTTATTTAATCTTCCAAACTAGTAGAGTTGCATCCTGTACATCACTGTAAGGTAGGTCTATACTTCTGCTTCTCCCCTCCCTTTTGTGCCGCTCTATTTCAAGCTACGTACGGACAATGACATTGACGCAGTTGTGCTTTGGATTATCTAGTCAATGCTCGCTTTCCCCCCTTCAATTCCACCAGCATGACGGAGCAGCGTCCTCACAAATTCTCTATAGGGGCCCAGATCGATGCTCTACAATGCGAAGAAATGTATTCTGACAAAGGTGCGGACCGCGGACCGTGTGAATCTCGGCCAAATTAGGAAAACAAGCTCAATGCTAATGTATTTTTGTTTTATCATTTCCAGATGTCTTTCACCACATAGGAAGCACCAGGGTTAAAACCAATGGGACGACTGATGCCACTGCTACAGGGCAACCTTTAACTCGTATGTGCTTCCTGTAATTGCGTGCACTGCTTCTAAGTTACATATTTTTTTTATTTTTATTTTTTATTTTTTGCTGCTTTTGAGCAAGAACAGAATTCATGTTAACTCCGATATCTCGCAGATTACCATTCCCGCATTTACAGCTTGTTGAGCGTTAGTTTCCCCAATTCGCATTTCTCTTCAAAAGGTATCAGGAAGTATCAGTGGCTGATATCATTTTCCAGTGGGAGCGCCCTCGAACCACCGCCGTCTCATTTGCTACGATTGTCAGTCTTATTATTGCAGCCCGATACCTGCCTCTGCTACGATGGCTCTTCAAGTTTTCGTATCTGTCTCTTGGATGTGAGATAGCAACCTAGGTTCCAATCTCGTTACTCCACACCTCGCCATCTTCTAACACACTATTGATATGCAGTCACCATTTCCCTCGAAGTCGCCGGGAAAGTCATGTTCTCCCGTGGCCTAGCTAGCTCCTCCCGCCCCCGCAAATATTACACCATCCCCAAAGATACCGTAGAGAGCATCCTGGAGGATCTAGAGCAATTGATGGACTTCTTCCTCATTGAGTTCCAGCGCATTCTCTTCGCGGAGAACCTCACCTACACTCTTGCCGTAAGCTCTTTCCTCTCCATAGGACGCAAACTGATCTATATCAATGAAGCTAACCCATAAATTCCATCGCCACTCAGGCCTTCACTGCCGCCCTGACCTCCTACTGGCTCGTCCGCTTCCTCCCTCTCTGGGGCCTGGCCCTCATCCTCGTTTCCGTTGCGTATCTAGGACCCCTGGTATATATTAACAACCGAGAAATTATCGACACCCAGATCGATCAGATCCAACAAATCGTCAACTCCCAAGCCACCCAGGTGAAGGAGATGGCCGGTCAGCAGACCGCCCACGCCACCCATATCGTCAAGCAGTACGTGGGTGACTACACTGCCAAAGCAAACGAGTATATGGGCTCCGCTCGCTCTCTCCCACACGTCGAGCAGGTTGCTCCAACAACCGTACAGGCCCAGCCGGAACTCAGGTCCGCCGCCGAACCCGCCGTTGAACCGTTAACTGAACCTGCTGCTGTCGCTTCTGATGCTGAACCTGTCGCTTCTGAACTTGCTGCTACTGAGCCAACAGATGCAGTGCCCGCAATCGTGCATACGGACTTTCCCACAGCACCCAAAGATGACATCGTGCTCGGTGAAGTTCCGGCACGGGAATCCAGAGAGGAGACGAAGTCAGACGAGCCACTTCTGGCATAAATTGCACAATACATACCGGAGGATCGAGACCTTTCTTTTCGCTCCCGATTGCCATGTCATTCCGTAGCCTGTGAAGTGGGCATGGGAAAATTAATAATAATGACATAAAAGGACAGGCAGCAAGGAGACTGAGAGGAAAAGAGGACAGGTTGCGGGTTTTCCCTCTTGCGGAACTTTGTAATCTTATTTCTATTATATTGTTCCGTTGCGAGTGAGTGACCTAAGTGTTACGTTCATGATACTAAAAAAAGCTGCGTGTTTTTTATCGTTCTTTTTTCTTTGTTATTTGTTCTACTCCTCTCCTCCGGTTTTGAACCCAACCTTTTCTCCTGGCCTTTTCGGTTCATAGCAAACAAAACCCTTGCTTTTTTTTTCTGAGCTTGGGTTAATTAGTGGATGATTCATTACTTTGTTCCACTTCGTTCTCCCTCTCTTCACCCCCCTTTCCTTCCTTTATGGCCTGGTATGGTGGCAATTAATGAATGTCTTTGATCTTCCAGGGTCGTTTTTTCTTTCTTCATAAAAGGGTCGGGGTTGCCGGGGGGGGGGGGGGGGGGTGGACGACGGAGGGGTTCATTCTATTTTTTCTTTGGCTTTTCCCTTTCTGCTGGACGCAGTTTTGGTCCGACTGGGCATAGGTTGAAAGTTCGAGCAAAGTAAAGCAAGACAAGGCAGCGCAGGGCAAGGAAAGGCATAAGGGAATTACTTGATGATTTTTCCTGTCGTCCTTCTTTTTTATCATGTCACATTTGCATTTGCTCTTTTTTTTTTTTTTTTGTAATTGTCGTTTTATCCTGTGTGTTTGGTCATTCCGTTCCATTTCTCTGCCCTCGATTTTTGAGCTTTTCTCTTTTCTTTTTTGTTTTTGCTCCATTACCCCTTTCATAACAAGTGTTTGCTTGCTTTGGATGACGTAACTTTCTTTTTCTCCTTTTTTCACCCTCAAATTCTTTCGTGTGTTATCATTGTCAAACTGTGAGAGCTTTATTTAATTCATCCAGGCAACTACTTCCCTCTTACCATATTGGGCCTATTTGTTTGTTTCTGATTGCTTGCTTGCTTGTTATGCGTTAACTGCAAATGGCTACCCTACCCGGCCATCCCTCTCGCTTTGTATTTATTCAAAGGGGATATCTTGTCATTTCGATTTGTTGTCGTCCCAAATTCTCAAATTCCCAAACCCAAGCCCCTGGAAGAAATATTCCATCATTTTGTATGAGTGGTTGATAACGGTTTATTTTGAAGGTCGTTTTGGTTTGTCTTTTTCTTTGCTGGATCGCGACAACTGAGATAGAGCGCATGGTTTCTGTCAGGGCAGGAGAGAGCGAGCTACCGAGGGGAAAAAAAATAAAAAAAAAGAATAAAAATAAAAAATAAAATAAAAAAAGAAAAGTTGATATATTCAGTGGGGGACAGCTTACATACAACCTTTGAACAATGGCCACGCAGGTTGCGTACTTCATCAAGAGAAGCTATTCTTGGTTTGTTTGGACTTTGAAATGGAATTGATATGGGTGATTAGTGATTACAGTGCTGTTGGTTGCTACGCCATTGCTGATTTAGGTGATATTTTGGACTTCCAAGTTCAAAAATACCTCACCCTCTCTCTATGTGTTGATTATTATTGCCGTCGAATAAAATGGATGGTTGGTTGGGTGTATGTATGCTATTGAACATGAGTATGAGTATCACGTAAAGTATCAGAAATGAAAATGTACAGTTATCACCTATCAATGTATTATATTATATTTTTTATTGTCAAATTCTCTCCTCTCTCTCTCATTCTCTCTCTCTCTGGCCCTCGCTTGCGTGCTTCCCGTCCTAGCTTCTTCCTGTCCTGTCATTCCGTGCGCGTTGCCAGCGACCAGCCAGCCAACATCCCCGTTCGTTTCCATTATTGAAAGAACTGATGAACATGTATCCTGTCAGGCTGCGAATTGCATACCTAGGAACCAGTAACTACTTACTGAACCTGCAGGGTCAATACGCTCCGTTCCGCAGTCCAATGCACGTGGGGTTCGCAGCTCTGCAGGTATGCTGCGCATTCCCACAAAGCTACTAAGGTATATATCCCCGTGCCAACGTCTGTCTTTCACCACTTTGGTCACCTTGTGCGTACATGTATGTACCCCGCCATTAATTTAGTATGCGCAGTGGCCTGGGAGATACAAGATGAATACAGCATGATACCTTCCCACGTTAAATTAGCCTAATGGCCCAGAGTGGCCAAGGCCGTGGTGAAATATCAATATGTTCTGCTAGTTAACTACATGTATATCCAGTAAATCATGGTGTCTATCAAGGATGACTAGGGAGGGGAAATTAGTGATTGTTAATTAAAAGGCGGTGGGGTGGTGAGGGAGGGAGAATGGGTGGTATGTAATTTCATTCCATTTTTTTTTTCTTTTTTCCCTTAACGGTTACCATCCATATATGTCTATATGTCGTATGAGGAGGACCCAAATACTCCGTACCAGCGAATAAATTTAAGTAATTGAAGCATGAAATAATAAAGCGCATATTGCTAGGCGTCACATCGTTTCAAAAAGCTGAACAAAAGAAATACGAAATAAAAGGGGGAAAAAGGAGAGTAAGGTAGTTGACCAGGAAAAAAGGGGAAACGAGAATGAAAAAGCGAATGACAGAATAATACCATCGGACGTACTCCTCCAACACCCAACATACAGAAATGCCCCACGTAAGCGTTGCGCAATTCCCAATGTAAGTACCTGAAGAGGTAGTTCTCCAATAGGTGCGCGATAAAAAAGAGACAAAAAAGAGACCAAAGCAAACCACCCACCCCACCGCTGCTATGCACAAGTAAGGTGTAAGCCAGTATAGCCAACCAACCCCTTGTCGCCTACTTTAAACGCATGGATAGTTAGATCAACAAAAAAAAATGACCTTACCCTCAAGTCAGCCGATAAAAGTCAAGGAATATCATTTCGTGTCCACAACATACCAGCAGAGCACTTTAGGGAATGTTGTCTTCTTTTTTCTTTTTTTCTTTTTTTCCTTTTATCCCCCCTACGCTGAAGCCCGCCTCCTCTTCCTCTCATCCACACGCACTACATCCTGCATATGCAACCTCATAAGCATATACGCTGCCCGAGCATCGTTTGTAAGGGGTAAAGGCGAACTACGCCGTTTGGCGTCGCCAGCTTCGTCCATTTCCTTGTTGGAGATTTTAGGTAATGAGCCCCCACGTTCACGTCCACGTTCGCCTTCAGGGCTGGCTTCAGTTTCAACATTCTCGTCACCGCCGTCACCATCATAGCTCTCGTTATCCGTATCGTGGTACGAGTCATACTGCAACACCTGCTCGGTGGGTGTGCTCTCTGCCGAATCCTCTAACTCCTCCGGCTCTGTCTCATCGTTGACATCTATATCCATATCCATGTCGTCCACTAGCTTTGCAGTCTTGTTCCGCATAATACTAAGGGAGGAGAGTATTGTCTGAGGAGAGGGTATCCGGGACTGGCTGGTTCCCGTCGTCCGCGGTGTACTTGCTGGAGGGTAGAGGCTATCCCATGGTTTGGATGGGGAGAGGCAGTATGCACCTCCGGCGTCAGTGTAGGCGGTGTATTCCCTATCTCTATTGGCCCCGACTCTTACTCCTATCAAATGAACCGGCTTTGCTCGAAGTTCCTTCCTCCTGCTCCATCTGGATTCATTGGGATTTGCGCGCGGGTAAGGTTCAGCAAAGCTACGCATCTGGTTTGTATTGCTCCGTGAACGCCCTTCTAGAAGTCGATACTGTTTAGCTGAATTCGCCGCGTCGCGCACTATGGACTGGTCGATCACCCATCTGCCAAACCTCGGATCGTCGGGGGGAATGCACATTGTGAGAAACTCCACACCAAAAAGGGGTGTCAGGGCGTAGCGGATCTTCCAACAGAAAGTAGCTGCAACGGCCTTGGCTGCTTCGAAGGGCATCCAATATCCTGGTAAAATCATCAGAGCTGTGAGTTCTGATAGGGGTTAGATGGAAGAGTCTCACCTTGGGCCGCTAGTGCCCCCCCTGTGATGCTGTGGCAAATTTCGCGGAGACCAGGGTTGGCATTTAGCATTTTCGCTGGGGCTGTCTGCGGAATGGGTCAGTTTCACACTGGGGAAAAAGGAAGAACTTCATACCGATAAACATACCTTGGAGTAGTTATTACATCGAAACAAAGAGGTAGTTCGAACGAGGCCGATGTTGTAGTCCCACATAACGGTATATGTCTTATCGTCGCCGGGAACTTTGAAGGTATACTGGAACACTATATATAATATTTCAGACCAACGTATACCTTTGGGAATAAACGCAAAATAATTATCAAAATATGGGGCCACTACTCATACCTTCGAAACTCTCCCGTCCTGTCTTCTCTAAAAATGACTTCTTCTCGCTATTATACGGAATATGCCTTGGATACTCGGTGATATGACCCATGGGATGGATTTGGAATTCTTTGTGCGCTGCAGCAAGCTCTGGATTCTGATACTCGCATGGAGGATATCGCAGCTCTCCCCGCGTTCTACCCCGAGTGAACACGGCAGCATCCTTGGACACCTTCTGCTTCTTCTGCCTTGGCGGGGGTGACTGGCGGTACTCTCTTGAAAAGCGACTGGGACAAGGTGTGGGGAGCTGTTGGGGATATATCTCTCGCGCTTCAGGTTCTGGGTTAAGGAGCGAGGCAATAGACGTCATGGCTTATACCAGGGAAATAGAAGAAGTGAGGTCGCCGTCTGGATCAAAATAACGTATCTCCGCTCGATACCAACGGATGTGTTGCACGTCTCGAAAAATTAAAAAGTGGAAAAACGATACTCAGGGTAAAGGGGACAAAATGAGGAAATGGGAAAGGAGCTTGGGCCAGTGACGGGACAACTGTGTAATTTCGAACGAGAAAAGAGAAAAGCATTGACAAATAGCCAAACAGAAGCGAGGACGAGGGAGAAATTTAAAGCTGGATGGGATCTGGATAAAATCTAGCAAATGTCACTTCACATGAAGCAAAAGCGCAGATGCGCAAGGTAAACAGATCTACTCCCAAGGCCAAGGTAAAATGCAGATTGATGCATATAAGACTAAGAAGGTTTGTCGGCTTTTGGCATTATGACATATGGGTGAAGGAGCAAGGAGAGAAAATAATGACCCTCTTAGTCTACATCAGGCAGATTCCGGACCGATCTCTTTGTCAGGAACCTTCCGATAGCCCTGGTGAGGAGGCGATGATGCTCTGCCGGCTGCTGTTGGGCGCTGAACTGGCGGGTGAGGTATAATGTGCCATTCCTGGGTCTCCTCTGCTTGTTTGTTTGTAGGTTGCTAGTGGCCACTTAGCTTCCTACCTATATATCGAGGCCGGTTAGGCAAGCGGTGAACAAGACACAAATGGCAGGCAAGTCAGGAGACACAGGGTAAATGTCTCAGAGCTATCCCCTAGAAGAAAGTTCAACATCTCGCCCTTTTCGTCAAGGGGTGTCCTGATGTCGACGTTGAAACAAATGTAGACCATTTGAAATGAAAAATCCCGTAATCAAGTTAATGGCCCTTCATCTCGGAATTCTGGCATGGCAGCTAAAAAATGCGGCTGGAGCAGCGGTTATCGCCCTGTAACTTCGTTTCAGTACTCCCTGACGGCTGAGAGATAGGTCAAAGATAGAATTACTGATACACAGCGCGCCGACCCGAATGAAAGGGTTAAGCCCGCTGTGCCTAGTAGTTTTTGTCAGGCAAATTGCATCCAAGTTAGCCAGGAATGGAGTGCACCCCATCGAGGCAAATCAGTTCCACTGACAGATGCAAACACCCGCGGAACGGGTGAGGAGGCGCCACATATGTACTTTGCACCTATCTAGAATCCGGACGCTGTTCAGGCAGCCGTTCCCATGGGACATCGCACCCTTAGGCATTCTTCAGGAACGCTGGTTGAGCGCTCTACCTGGCGACCTAGTGCTCATCAGGTATTCACAAAGAGCAGTATTAATTGCGTGGGGATACGGGGTAAAGAAGTAATACATCGAAAGTAGAGAGGATGATAGCATAGTATGACATGAAGCTCGGGACTCAGGTTCCCGTCTTTCTTCATTCTCTCGCTATCAAATATCCCTCCCCTCGCTCAATATTTCTCTTTTGATTTGTTATTCTTTATTCGATTTTTGATTGCCATACGCAATGCAATCCAGGTCGCTCTTTTTCTCGATTCACAGCCCCCACCGCCAGAAGCAAGGCTGGAAAGGCTTAATAGGTATCATCTCAAGCCTTAAAATTAACTTAGGAACAGAGCGTAGAGGCGAAAGGAGAATGTCTTGGCCAAATGGCTGAGAAGTATACCGGGTATGTACTGTTTGGTACAGCTCGTGTTACGGGTAGTTGCTGGCCGGTCAGACTCGCTAGATGCAGGAATGGGAAGATCAGAGACAAAGATGCAAGATGATTGGCCCGTGTATCGGAGAATAAACAGCCAGTGTGTCCAAGCACCAGTCATGAGAGCTGTCATTTTGTTTGGATTTCGAATGTTGAGGACGGGGGTATAAGGGGGTGTGAGAAGCGTAATGAATGATAAAATGCCAAAGCACTGGCATTATCTGGTGTTAAAATATGTAAGTAAAATGCCAGAAACTTTTCTGAAGACTCGGAAGATGTGTGGTACTGTCAAATGCCGTAACCTTTTTTCCTTCGTTCAGCGAGGTCCAGCTGCCCAAGAGTCAGAGGCAACGCACCAAAGCGTGGAGAGGATTGCGTTGAGAATCTCACATCCGCCTCCAAATCTACGCTGGCCCCAATGCCCTCATCCTAGGCAACCCGAAATAATGGGGGTTTCGCTTCCCACCGATGAAACCGTAATAATCAAACCCAGTATGTACTGTACATACAAAGGGCGGTAGGGGAATTTTCCTCCGATCCATGACTGTAGTGATGCAGCTACCCGCAGAGTTCTTCAGGCACGGATCCTCCCTCATTTAGAGAGGACAGCGAAAGGGAAACGAAAAAGAAAAAATCAAAAAAGTCGTTTAGGGCAGAAGTAATTTTAAGCAAGAAAATAAAATAGTAAAATAACATAAAAAATAGAATTGGTCTTTCCCGTACATTGGGATATTGATTTACTGTAAACCCAATGGTGCCCCCCAACCCAAAAGTATCCTTGCTACGGATTGCAAAGGAGCGCTTTTTTGAAAGGGAAGATAGCACCGTTATTGATGGTCAACTCTGCTCCTCTTCTCAGGAGCCAATACGGATTATTGTTGCTGGCAAATGGTGAGAAATGACGCCAGGTTGTCTTTTCTCGCCATGGCCCTTCTAACCGGCAAAGAAAAGAATTGTTCGTTCAAAGCCTAAGTGGACCAAATAGTCAGTTGGTTCTTCTGGTTTGAGATGTTTTGAGTATATTTGTTTTAATGTCTGTTTTGTTTGTGGCTGCTGGACTCACCTTGGGTCAATTAAATAAACTAACTGCCTTCTGGGAACATTGCTCTGCTGTTCTACATATAATCAGAACAATGAAATCCGAAGTTTAGAAAGATATAAAACAAAGCATGGAAATAAATGAGAAATCAATCATGATGCAAAGCTGCTGAGTGCTGTTGGTAGAATTTGATATTTGATCGAGGGAAGTTTAGCGAAGATGGTTTGGTTTGGGAAAGTTATGATGTTGTGCAAGATTTTAGCCCAATGCGGAAATAGCGTCAGTACAAGGGATTCAATAATGTTCAGTGCAGCCCAATCCACCATTATTAAATCGCATAACCCAAGTGTACATTTCACACCCACTAGACTAGAATCACATTAACTTATTATTTACAATTCATCTAATCAATTCAATTGGCCGCTCAAAAACATCCACACAAAGGCAGAAGGTAGATTTCCCAGTTGCCCATCTGTATGTATGTAGCTGCCCGCCTCATCCGGAACCTCCCAAGCCAACTCATTTCTCGCACACGCTGCCTTTCAACTCCTACCCTATGTGCAGTACTATATTGCATATGTACATTACATGCACATGTACATAGTGCACCTTGGCGCTCTCAGCTTTCATGGCAAGCAGGAGAAAGGATTGACGTGTTGGGGTTTAGAGTAGCACATCAAGAAAAAAACCACATGTAGCCCTTCCTAATCTATGAACGTGAAAATACCCAAACAAACCATAGTGATATAAGATATCTCATTAGAAAGAGAAAAAAATTCAAGGGAGGGTCCCAAGAAAACTGTAAATAAATAAATACAAAATGCAAGCAGAGATAACAAACTCGAAAACTGCAGAACATGCAAATAAGGGCATTAAAAAGTACCAAAGTGTAGAAGAAACTATGTAGGAGAATAAAGTCCTACAATAGCCACACACTACCCACGGTCAGTCATCCACCTCCTTCACCTAATCAATATCAGAAAACTCTTCACTCGACCCATCGCCATCATCTTCCTCATCTTCCTCATCGCTATCAACATCAACTACGTACGTAGGTTTCTTTGCTACCGCGGCTGCCCGACGTGATGGACGACCCCCAGCGGTCCGTGCTGGCACTGGAGCAACCACCTCATCTTCGGAATCATCCACATCGAAACTATCATGCCGTCCCTTTCCTTTACCCTTTCCCTTTCTAGCTGGTACCGGGGAATCGAGAATGTCATTCGCCATCGCATCGATATCATCGCCGCCGTCATCATCGGACAGTGAATCTGTTAGTTTCTGCGACTTAGCTTTCTTCGCAGCATAGGCTTTGGCGGCGGGGGAAAGGACGGTTTTCTTGGCTGGGGCCGCAGCGGTGGCTTTGGGTTTGGTAGTGGGCTTTCTGGCGGTAGAGGTAGACTTGGTTGTTTTTGCAGCGGGCTTCCGAGGGGCGGTACTAGGCTTTGCTCTAGCAGCTGCCGCTGACCTTGAAGTGACGACCGCGTCCGAATCGCTACCTGCACCCTCACCCTCATCACTGGAAAATTTAGCATCCTTAGGTTTCACTAGAAGCGACCTCCTCGGAGAATTCTGAGGAATAAGTTTCGAGTAGTCCGTTTCATCGGGATCAAAAATATCGTTACTAGTGGCTTTGGGAGTTTTTGATGATGACGATGTCGCCGGTTTAGTGCCGGCGCTAGTACCTGGGCGTGAGAGTTCGGAAAAAAGAGTACGACACTCCGATGATGCGTCGGCAGAACGGCCAATTCCCTTCACCATCTGGCTGACATCCCCAAGCAAATCATCACCATCGTCGCTGTCAGACTCGCTTGAGTTGTTGAACGTGATAGGTTTGCGATTCGTTCTCGCTTGGCGTGCGGGCCTTCTCGATACGATTTCCACATCTGAGCCATCATCATCGTTCAGGGGAATCCTCTGAGGTGGAGGAGCCGCTTTCCTACTTTTCTTCTCCGGCAAAGCTGCAGACTTAGATTCTTCGAAATCGCTTTCAAGTGCAGCAGCTGACTTCCCTGGCTTTCCTTTCGAGGGTTGTGCTTTCGTTTTCTTGGGAGGCACAGGCATCGGTTGAATATCATCAGGTTCACTTGGTCCACCAATCCCTGTGTCCATATCCACATCACGGGGCTCGGCAGGCTTTGGGGATGCCGTCCTAGAAGTTTCTTTGACTTTCGGCTCAAATTCGTCGAAATCGCTCAACCCGTCAAGCTCAATAGGCTTCATAGGTTTAGAAGAAGCAGCTCTCGGCTTCCTAGTTGGGAGGATTTCTGGTTCGAAATCATCCTCATCATCCAAACCGCTCGCACCGTCGGCACCACCAAAACCCTTGTCGCTGCTCGGTTTAGGTTTCCTAGACGCATTACTGCTCACATAGTTAAGAAGGTCGGCCTGCGGCTTTATTCGATTCATAGTAGTTGATTTGGCAGATTTCTTCGGTTTAGGAAGGCCGAAATCACTATCATCGTCATCGGCAGCCTTGCGTTTCTTACCACCTTTAGTAGCCGTCTTGAGTTTCGTAGATACGCGACGGGCACTCTTCGCACGCTTAGCTTGACGGCGACCTTCGTCCTCAAGTTGGAATTTCCATTCCTCTAGGAAAGCATCGAGATCAGCTCTCCAGATATCTTCTTTGGACAGCTTGATAAGTGTATCAATCTCAATTTCCTTATCTCCAATTTGGCGACGAAGCTTTTCCACTCTTTCCTTGGTCAAAGACCACAATGGCATACCAAGCAAATAGTCGAAAGAATTAGCGGCAAGCTCCGTATCCTCGCTGTCGCTACTTTCCTCGTCGTCCCGATTCACGACAGGTGCCTTTTCGCCTTGCTTGGCAGCGTCAGAAACCTTAGCTATAGCTTTGAAACCCTTCTCCTTCAGCTCTTGCACCAACTGTGCCTTTGGCTTTTTCGAAATAACAAGCTTCCCGTCGATAATCATCTGAACAAACCGAGCTTGGTTGCTCAGTTTCTCCAGATCTTTCTGCATCTGGGAAAGTTGATGTTGCTTCCGCTTTTCATATAGCTTAATCCTGACAGAATAGAATTCTTGAAGGATATGCTCGGGGGACTCGTACTTGGTGATTCGCCCTTCGGAATCAAACGCCACGAGATTTGAAGTGGCGAGGGTTTTGGTTAGTTTGAGCTTCTCTTCCAGGCCTTCAGCGATTGCCTTCTTTGCGTGTTTCTCATCCAACTGAATTACAAAGTGGACTTTGGTATGGGTATTGTAGTCCTTGTAGTCCTTGATGAACGAGGGGATTTTTTCCGCCTTGATGATTTCCTCGAGACGATCTTTAAAGTCCTGCGTCCAGGAACGGATGGGTAGCTCGGTGATTTCGATTTCATTGTCTCCAATTTGCGAGAATCTCCCGCTAAATTTGTACCGTTCCCCACCCATCGAGACAACCTCCCCAGTAAACCCTCGGAACCAAGGCTGCATAGGGACCACAGGTTCACCAACCATGAGACGCTTTATATTCGCGACAATTTCCTCAGGATTGTAGTTCGGAATGGAAGTGCTCCAGCCAGTTCCGATGCCGTCAGCACCGTTGATCAAAATCATAGGCACAACGGGGAAGTAAGTCTCCGGCTCGATTACCTGGCCATCATCAACGTTATATGTCAGCAGAGGCCCATCTGCCTCGTGGAATATTCGTCTGGCAAACGGTGAAAGTCGGGTATAGATATAACGTGGGCTAGCAGCGTCAGATCCACCTTGCAAACGAGAACCGAAGTTTCCACTTGGCTCCAAGCAGTTGATATTGTTTGATCCTACAAAGTTCTGAGCTAGGCCGATAATGGTTTGCTGTAACGACGCATCTCCATGCTGATAGGCAGTCAGTCCAAGAACGTAACCACTGAGCTCGGCTACTTTCATATCTTTTTTGACATTGAGCTTGAAGCAGGTATATAGGACTTTACGTTGTCCCGGTTTCAAACCGTCAATAACGGAAGGGATAGAACGGATGTTGTCAGCCATACTGAAAAGGATAAGTTCCTTGTTGATGAAATCAGTATAGGTGATCTCTTCAGTCGTATGGTCTAGGAAAGTACCAGGCTTAAACTGACGAAGCCACTCTTTCCGCTCATCGGCCTTTTTCTTTGAAAATGCAAGATCTATAAGCTCTGCCTCATGATCCCGCATGACATGGAATTGCTTCAGATGCCTGTCCAAGTCACGGAAATAAATTTCGGCGTCATCTGTCGTACTGGTACCCAAACCCTTGTAGTACTTCTTTTCCCACCGTTTATCGTGGCCATGGATCTCTAGCCATGTTTCGTATTCTTGCATTGTGAAAAAGGATTTGGATATCGTTGGGTTCTTCGGATCTCCCTTCCACACTTTGACGATGGGTGTGATAAATTCGATCAAGAACTGGGGTATTTTAAGCAAACTTGGGAATGCAACTTGGAAAAAGTTGATCAATAGGCCCTTGATATGGCTTCCATCATGATCCTGATCAGTCATTATCATGAGATGTCCGTAGCGGAGGCCCTTGGTGTCGGTATATTCTTTCTTGTGTTGGAGCCCGAGGAAATTTTTGATGTTTTGGATTTCTGCATTTTTAGATATCTGATCAACAGAGGCGTCCCGAACATTGAGCAGTTTTCCGCGCAAAGGGAATACACCAAAAAGATCAGGTCCAACAATGGCTCGGCCGGCCATAGCCAGTCCCTTTGCAGAATCTCCTTCAGTCAGAATGAGAGTACAGTGATGTCCGTCTTTCGTTCCAGCTTTATTCGCATCAGTTAGTTTCGGGTTGTTCATGCGTGATCGTCGATTGCCGTCCGACTTTTTCAGGATTTGATCAGCCTTCTTCTCAGCGAAATGCATAATATTTTCCATCACTTGCGTTTTCAGGATCTTTTTGAGGAAATCATCCGACAAGACACATTTGCTGCCAAACTGGCTCGGCTTCGTTGTCAACTGTTCCTTAGTCTGGGATGTAAACGCAGGGTTGACGATCTGCGAGTTCACAAATACAAATATGTGATTTCGAATTTGGGCTGGTTTAAGGGTGGCACCGGTTTTGTTCTTCTTTTTAACCACCTCCACAAGTTTGTTACAAATCTGGTCGGCAACTGTATTGACATGGGAGCCGCCTGATGTTGTCGCAATGGAGTTAACAAATGAAACCTGCTGAAACGAACCATCCGAGACAGCAAACCCGATTTCCCATCGGGGGTCTGGGTTGTCAGTGATGATCTCGGATTTGTCCCTGGAAGCTTCTTCACCTCGCTCTTTTTTGATGGCATTAGTATACATTTGCATATACTGTTTGAAATTGCGGACGGGGACGCGCGATCCGTTTAATTTAACTGTGACCTTGCAAGTCCCTGCCAGGTCATAGACTCGACGCTTAACCAGAGCCTCGAAGTCGTCATCGATCCCGTCCATTCCGAACTTCTTGAAGTCTGGAGTGAATGTAACCTTGGTATAGTCATCGCCTTTGCAATCCGTTATCTTTGGCTTTCCCATCTTGGACATATTGTCGGTCCATGTTTGTTTGTATTTCTTCTTTAACTTTGAGTCTGCGGTTTCGAGAGTAAATTCCGTGCTGAAGATATTACAGAGCTTGGCACCATAACCGTTACGTCCACCAGTCACCTTTTGTTGGTCGTCATTGTAGTTGGACGAGGTAAGGAGGTGACCGAAAATCAGCTCAGGTATGTAGACTTTTTCTCTCTAAAATATTCCAAGATTCATTAGTAGGGGGCAGTGGTATGGGGCATTGGAGAGAATGTGTACCGAGTGTATCTCAATGGGAATGCCGCGACCATTGTTCCAGACACTTATTTCGCCAGATTCCCTGTTTACCGTGACCCGAATCTCGTCCATGTTTTTATCGTTGTGCCTATTATCGGCAGCGTTGACCAGAATCTCATCAAATATTTTGTAGAGACCAGGCACATACGAAACTTCTCGAAACTCCATTGACTCGGATTCTGAGTTGTAAACCCACATTTGGTTCGTTGACCGCTCGATAGAGCCGATGTATGTGTCTGGTCGTTTAATGATGTGTTCTAGTTGGGTAAGCTAGGTACATTGTGAAGTTAGCATGACCGCCCCTTCCGGGAAAAAAGGACATCAGCGACATACTTTCTGGTACCTCTCACTGCTCTCCTTTGGGGTAGCTGCGCCATCCATTCCGAACGATTCATTTTCCACATTCCCCAGGGGCTTGCTAGATGTCTTTTTGGAACCCCCAGATTTCTTCCCCTTCGCAGCAGCATTTGGGGGAGTAGCTGAGAGTAAGGACGCGACATCGTCACCGCCAGCTTCATCGTAATCTGAAAGTTCTTCCTCGGTGTCTACTTTCGCCTTCTTTTTGGTGGCAGCTGCACCTTTCGGCTTAGCAGAGGCTTTAGCCGTCTTTTTCGCAGGGGCTCTGGGCTTGGTCGCTGTAGCAGCTTTCTTGGGAGCCTTTGCTTTGGACTTCTATAGGAATGGATTAGCAAGGCATACACACCATTCAAAATTACTGAAAGGGGTCAGGTCAGGAGGCGGCCACAAGTAAGGATAGAAATCCATACCGGCACCTCTGGGATGAAATCAGAACTAGCACCATCGTCCTCGAAAACGGAGTCTATTGGGGAGTCCATTCTCACCGGAGTGAGATGGATGTCGAGGTCGACAAATGGCAGCGCGCGGGGAGAAACGAACGAAAGCGGAGGGCAATATCAATGCGCCAGACGCAGCGTCAAGCACTCCTGGCAGAAAGCGGGCGCTGATGAGGAGGCAAGGCGACAAGAAGAAGGGGAGAGTAGAAGCGAGCGTCGTCGTTCGTTGTCGTTGTTGATGTTGAAAGGTGTTGAAGAGAGGAAGGGGCAGTAGTGGCGCGTCTTGTTTGTTTGATGTTTGTTTTGCAAATCGCGATTTTTGCCCCCGGATGTTGCTGCATTGGGCCAGGGCTTTGCTGCTTTGGGTGCTATTATTGTAGATGACTCAGCATTTGATGGTCCAACTTGGAAATTTGACAACAGAACCAATCTGCTTTAAGACTAGTGCGTAAATATCTACCTGGTAACCTCGGCGACGATCACAACAACATTTTGATAGTTATTCCTATCTTAGGGCCTGTTCGGTGCGTCCGTACTTTTTGAACGCAATAGTGAATCTCATTAAAAATAGTGTATTTATCAATTATTAGTAGCAAGCCAGTGTTGTGTCATTACACTATTTCATCTTACTCACTGCTCTGGAATGGAGAAAGAAAGCTCATAAAAATGTGTTCTTTTTGAATAGAGTTCAGAGTTAGTTCAAAAAGAATGTGTTTTTATGAGCTTTCTTCTAATCAATATTAGTTAACTTAACTATCTTTACTATGAACACTATTCTACACTATTCTACACTATATTATCTCTAAAAGTGCTATTCTACACTATCACACACTGTTGAAGTTAAATACTGTTTATTTATAAGATCTTGATAAGAGATGTAAGTACAGCTGCTCAATTCACTGAACATCTGATCATTTTCATCTGTACTTTGTAAAAAGCAGCTGTATTATTAGTACAGACTAGACTGACCGTGTGACTGTGTCTGAGACCAGGACCAGATTTTTTGATAGTTTTATTATCAATTCAACTGATCTCATTACACAGTTTTATCATTAGATAGTAGTCTTATACTGTCTCAGTGAGACTTACTGTCTACTCTTATCACATTTTTCAAATGAGATCATGATTTTCACTTCTCAATTTAAATTATTTTTATTGCTTTAAATGACTTTAAATCTCATTTGAGTGTTATCAAAAAGCATTACTTTTTAAAAAATTAAAAATAGTCTAAAAAAAATCTTAAAATGTCTAAAAATAGTAACTTTATGTCAAGAATGAAACTAAATGAGATCAAATGAAATCACTTTCTCATTTTTTTCAAGTCATGATTTCATTTTAAGATCTGATATATAGTCACTTTGCATGGTTTTTTGATAGTCAGTCTCAGTGAGATTCATATCAAGAAATGTATGAGATCAGATTAAATGAGATTAAACATGAAATTCATAATCTCAGTGATCAGTCTAGTACAGACACTCTGCTCACTGAACAGTCATAATATTAAGACTGTACTTTTTAAAAAAAGTGAAGATCTGTATAAAAAGAACAAGTATATATAAACACACTGAACAGACTCTTATTATTACTGAAGCAGGTGAAATATGTTAACTCTTATAGCTGTTGCGGTTAGTAATCTTACTAGATCACATGAACCATCACTATATTATGTTTCTATAGATAGATTTATCAATATAATCTTTAACTATTCTACAGATTATAGCTTGAATGACACATTTTTCTTTTTAAAATATTATATCAACATTTTTAATATGAATAGTTCATCTTTTTTAAAAAGACTCTTACTTTTTATTAGAGATATTTCATTTTCTCTGAATCTGTCAGTCAGTGAATTCATATACTTTATTTTTTTTAAGAAAGTGTGTTCTTCATTGTGAAGAATATCACTTTTTTATTTTTTTTTTTTTACACATCTAGAAGAAGCAGTGTAAGAAATTCTGCTTCTTATAAATTCTTTATCTCTATTTCTATCTCTCATGTAACTAATAGAGCTAGCAGCTCTTGACTACACATAACTATATAGACTGAAGTTCATGAATACTATTTATAACTCAGCTTAAATGCTATTATATATTTAACTTCTATATTTTATCTTTCTACTGTGAATACTTCTAATAGTTAATAGTACATATCATATCAAGCTGCAAACATCTGAATAATTATCTGTAAGCACTTATTCTTATATTTCAAGCTCAGTCAGTCAGCAATCACCTGTTATAACTGAAAGAACTAGAAACTTACATACTCTCATCTCTGTAAATTCTACTGCAGAGACTCAGAAGCAGTCATCTGAATTATAAATAACTCTTATAAAAGAAGTCTCAGAGAACTTATTAATCACTTATAGAATATCATTCTCTGTATCTCAGACAGAGAAACTCTCTGAACTTATAAATAAATTAATCTTAGTGAAGAATATTCTTGAGCATCTTCTATAAGATTAAACTATTTTTTTATAAGAAATACTTACTATCTGTAAACACTCTTAAACTGAGTCTCTAGACATAATCTTCAGAGATATCTATAAACTGAAAAGAAACTTTCTTAAACTGTAATCACTTAAGATTACTTATCAAATCACAATCTATAAAAGCTTTTACAAGTTTGTATTTGAAATTGACTTACAAGTCTGACTATATAATATGAAAGATGAAGAAGCTGTTATCTATATAATAACAGATCTCTATTACACTGAAGTTAAGAACTGATTGAATTATCTAAGAAATAATTATAAAAGATTCTGATAATCTATTCTCAAGATCTATCTAGAGAATAAGTTGAAAGACTCTGTAAGCTGAATAGAGAACATCTGAGCTATAATCATCAATATTAGAAAAAGAGATGAGAAATCTGATAAAGACTACTTACAGCACTTCATAGAATTATAATATGAATTAAAATCTGTGAAAACAGAGCTCTGAAATAAGATCTGAATAATGATGTTTATAAAGAGACTGAATAAAGATATATAGAACAAGCTTATTGAGTAAAACTCTAAGTTCTTAGCTCTAGAGAAACTGATGACTCTTATTTATTACTTACAGATCACTGTGAGAGTCACAGATCTGTGAAGAGCAGATCATTAATCAGCTCTATAAGAGTCAGAATAACAGAGAATAGATTTATTAGAAAAAGATAATAAGATATAGAGAGATTCATGTCTGACTGCTGAGTAGAAAGAGAGAGCTTTATAAGCTTCTATAAACAGAGTATATAACAGAGAGATTAAGAAAAAGAGACTCTGCTTTATCTATTCTAAATCAGAATATCTTCATACAAACTATTCAGATAAATTAAAATAGAAATTTGAGAAGTTATAAACAGAGTCAGTAACAGTCTTCTTAAAAGTCTTGAAGCTGATATCTGAATCTGTTACTTTCTCAATGAAAATACTTACTTATAAAGAGAGACTGTACTGCAGTACTGCTGCTCTGCAAGTATGAGAAGTATTGATAAACTCAGAATCTCAGATCACTGTAATATCTCTAAAGCTTACAGAGTGAATGAGCTGAAAGATGAAAACTGAGAATCTGCTTTTATAATAAGCAGAATATGAGAACTCAGATCTGAGAGCTGAAAGATTTACAAGAGTCATCTTTAAATTGCAAGATCTCTCTGAAATCTGAAGAAGATTTGTAAAAACTGTGATTATTACAGATATTACAGATAACATGTATTTAAAACTTATATAACTTCAAAGACACAATTTATACATAGCTATTCATGAGTCAGATTTATACTTCTGATCAGTGTTGACAGACTCACTCACAGAGATAGAAGCAGTTAATGCTATAGAGTTAATTAGAGAAGATAAGCTCATCTATATAATAACTTTACAAGTGTCTGAGAATCTCACAGTCATGAAAACTGAGCTTCAGATATCAGAGAAATACTGAGATCTTACAGAGATGTTCAGCTCAGTTAAGATAGCTGAGCTTTCTTCTCACTATAAGAAGAATCTGATAATAGATTTGATAGAAGAATAGAAATTCTTCTGAGAATCAATCTATAAGCTCTCTTATTATAAGACAGAGGTCTTGCAGATCTATGTGAAGAAGAATCTGAAGAATAACTTTATTCAATCTTTACAGATCTCTGTGAGAGTCTCTGTGATATTCATGAAGAAGAAGAATGAAGATCTCAGATTATATATAAACTATTACAATCTGAACTTCAAGATAATAAAGAGCTGCTACTTTCTATCTCTGATTAAGAATGTAATCAACTGTCTCATGAGAGCTGTTATATTCATATAACTGAATATAATTAATATATATACACAGCTGTGAATACAGTCTGAGAATGAATAAAAGACTGTCTTTAGAACTGTACTGAGATTGTTTAAATATCTAGTGATATCTTTTGATCTGACTAATACTCTCACAGTATTTCAGTCTTTCATCAATAAAACACTTCATATATATCTGAATATCTTCATAATAATATATCTGAATAATGTGATAATGTACTTTACAAAGAAGAAAGAACATACTGAGCATGTACAAAGTATATTGAAGATCTTAGATGAGACAGAACTGTATATTAAGCTTACAAAGTGTAACTTCAGTACTCACTGAATTAATTTTCTAGAATATGTAATTATTATAAATGATATTCAGATGAAATCTTCACAGATTGAGACTATTCTATCATGATCAGAGCTAACTAGTATTCATAAGATTCAGATCTTTCTAAGCTTTGTGAATTTCTATAGATAGTTTATCTTTACATTTACAAGAATCTTCTTAACTCTTACAGATATGCTGAAGAGTGAAAATAAGAAGAAGTCATTCTGTAAATAAAGAATGAAAAGATTATTGAGAAGAAAGAACTGTAAGAACTTTCTTATCTCAGAAGCTTATAAGATCTTTACAAGATTGAAACAGATATTTATAAACACAGTGATACTGTTTCACTTTAATCTCTTACTTTTAATCAGATTAGAGACAGATGTCTTCTTCTTTATAATTTCAGAAATAGTCTCATAACTACAGTTAAATAAGAACTGAGTTTCAGTGATCTTT